TCGTTGTTGCTAATAATCTTGGGACTTCTGCATTGGTGTGTTTTCCGAGAGTTGTCTATATTGCATTGATTTTGTGCGTATTGATATCATGAAGCAGCCCTCCTCGTCTTCGTCTACTTTTCACCGGGATTCGTTGGGCTGAGCTCTGACTGTCCTCCCGCTGGAGCTTTGTGACTTTAAACCGTTTCTCTGCTTTCTCCACCCGCTGCAGCTTTACTCGGGGAATAGAGGCGGCTGTGTTCCCTGTGAGTCAGAAGCATGTTGTGTCTTTTTTTTCTTCTTTTCCATGGTGTAATATGTGTTTATTGTACAGTAGCCTGTGTTTTTTAGTTCACAGACGACTACAAAGCTCACGGCTACACCCTGTGGTTAGTGTAAAGCCAGGCACATGCGAGCAAACACACACACACACACACACACACACACACACACACACAACCTGGCAGGGAGTTGATACATTCGCCCTCAGACGGGCACAATTTTATTTAAGTCCATAAAAATAGTTCACTGCGTTCTCACCCCTGAATTCCCCCACAAACACACTCCACTTCCTGTCTATTCCCCCCCCCCTCCCCCCGAAAATCCTGTGTCTGTTTTGTAAGGGCCTCTCCGGGGGCATATTTCACATTTAAGGAATTTCCTGTGTCCGGCTTTTATCAGAAGGGAATGACAGTCTACGCCATCTTAAGTCTGTGTGTGTGTGTGTGTGTGTGTGTGTGTGTGTTCCCATCCATATTCAGTACATGCATATGAATGTGGGAGACGAGACAATGTGGGTCACCTGCTGGGTGGCAGAGAGGAAGGACCAGTTTCCTTCCATCGCAGATGGACAGAACAGCTCCGGCTGTTGCATGAGAAGCATATTGGACATTCCCAATGTGTCTGTGTGTGTTACTGGTTGTGCGATTGCGTGCAGGCCATTGAGATGATCCGACGCTCACACTTGGCAAAACGACGCAGCCGTCTATTTTCTTTTGGAGAGAGAAAGTTTTACAAGGCGCTCTGGTTTTAATGCGTTGAAAAAGCGCTTTTCACGAGTCCCGAGGCCGCCGCCGCGCTCTGTTAACAACGACAAGCGGCTGTGTTGTCCCGTAGCGCGGTCAATGTAACGGTTTCTTTTTTTTCCTAAAACAGGAATGGAGCTGAGATCATCTGGCGTCCCGTGCTAGTGCTGCTGTAAATAAACACCAGGCTGTAGATGTATCCCTCGGTCATTGAAATGAATTAACATGGTGGTGGAGCGTACTGTGCAGACTGTCCTGAAGTAAACAGATTGAACGGCTGACGCGACGTGGGCTTGACCGTTGGGTTTAGTTGGAGCGAGTCCCTTTTGTGGTGTCTATATGCAGAGGATCAGCTTCTGCGTCTAGCTGCTCTGAAGAAACTGACCTTTGACCTCTGACACCAGTGTCCTCAAACAGCTTTTGGTTGGACAGCAGCGTCATATATCTATGAAAGGCTTTTTGTTGTTGAGTGAATTAAAAGCTCTGGGAATACAAAAGGAAGGAGTTTTTCTCACTTCAAAGGAAAGGACTTGTGGCTAATAATCATAGGGGCGATGTGGCGCAGGGGGTAGAGAGGGTGAGCTGGTTGGTGGTTCAAGTCCCGGCTGCCCAATGTCCCATGTCGAAGTGTCCCTGAGCAAGACACCTAACCCCTAATTGCTCCCCGGGCAAGAATGTAAAATGCCATGGGTTAAAAATGTAAAGTAAGTCGCTTTGGATAAAAGCGTCAGCTAAATGACCTGTAGTGTAATAAATGTGATGACATTTGATGAGCGCCATATGATTGACCTGCCTGAGCCACAAGCGTATCTGCTAACCTTTCAACAGAAAGCCAGATAAGCACGGATTTGGGTAATTAGATTTCTCGGGGACTTAAATCTAATTCCGATTGTTTTTTAAGGCAAACAGCAAAACAAGCAGATGTCACCGTGTTTTCTCCCATTTCGAGGCAAAGGGAGCAGTCCGTTCCTGTAAAGATGGCCGTTGTGCTGGATGGAGATTGCTCTCGCGATCCCGCTGCTGCTGGAGCGGTGATCCGATCCTCGGTCATTAAGATGCGTCTGCCAGTGACGGCGATTACACGGTCTGGCTGGAAGTATTAACGCGGCTCGGGCTGTAAGGCTCCTACGTGTAGTCTGTGGTGGTCAGCAGAAAAGGCACCTTGTTAGGATATTTCTTTATTTCAAGAAGAAAAACTGCTAATCTAAATAGATCTTCATTTTTATTTTTCTTAGCAGTTAAAAAGACTGCAGTTAAAGAGTTTTAATATATTTATTTTATTTTAAATATTCATAAAAGTTTTTAGTGGCTCTGGGGGAGCGTTGTCAAGTCTGATAAAAATCACCCTCACGATGCCATGGTAATGTCACCAGGGTTATCTTTCATTTTAGGGCCACTACTTTTGGCATTTTGGCCTCTGCCCTCTTAGTTTTTGGCTGTTTCAGTCTTGGTGTTATTGCAATCTGTAGTGACAGGAGAGGGTAAACCCCACCCTACAATATACCCCATTTTATAGTATTTTTTCATTCTAAATAGTTACTAACTAGAGCTTGGGACAATAAACTTGTGTCCTCAATTTCTCATATACTTCTATACATCCAGACTCTTTTTTTTGCATTAATAAGAGTGGCCCGGTGCTCACTTTGTGCTTTTTTTTTTGTGCCTTTTGTCTGAAAGTCCTCAGCCATCTTTAATCCATATCTGCATATATTCATGACATCTGCTCTCTGGTGAAACCACAGCAGTTCAAGGTTGTTTTTTTATGGTGGCTCACACAAAAGCCGAGCTGCAATTACAGCTTCGATGACACCTAAAAACCACTGAAGCCACTGCAGCTCGAGCACCTGCAATAAATTTGCTCATTCAGTGAAATCCAGTCTGTGCAAGTGCTGTTGCATAAAAAAAAAAAAAACATGAGTCAGGCTTTCAAGCAGTCAGCAAGTCTGGAATTCATATCGGCTGATTGATTTCAGCACTTGTTTCTTTTTTTTCTGAAAAAACATTTTATACTTGATTTGTTAATCTTTACGACAAAGAAGAAAAAATAACATCATAAAATAAAAACATATTTTAAAGGTTCCTATAGGAGCAATTCACTTGAAGTAAAGATGTATTTGTTGTTTCCAGACTCTCTACGAAATCTCCCGTCCAAATCGGGATGAAGGAGCGCAGGCAGATTACGCCCAAACCGATGACGATCTATTCAGCTAATCCTGATCATAGTGCGTTGGCCGTTCCCCAATCTCAGTGCTGGAGAATCAGCGATCAACCCGCACCCCCCACTTCCAATACAGCCACGCGATTGACCTACCTTTTCATTTGAGATTTAGATTTAGCTATGAATTGTGACCCGTGAGAATAAATCCTATGCCCTCAAAATAATAAGTTCCTCTTTTTTTCCAACTTTTGTCTCTCAGAATTCAAAAATCGTGAAGAAGTTCCGTCTTTGAACATTCCTTAAACCCAGTGAGGCACTGCAGCGTGTCCTGTTTGCGGAGCTATTTAATAAGTGCGTGTCTGATGTTGAGCCGCCCAAACAGGGTTAACGAAATGTGTAATCTGGTGAGGTCGAGCTCAGCCTGCCGCTGTGTCTGTTGGCGGTTGTTGAAGATTGGCGTAAGCGCGACCGCCCTCTGCTCTCTGCCAGCGGAGGCTGATGGGAGATTAGATGTCGACGGCTACGCTAGCTCGCTAGCTTAGCTCTCTTGGCTAGCGCGCTCTGCTGCTCCGGTCCAGGCCTCGCTCTGTAATCGGAGATAAAGGCCGGCTGGCGTTGACAGGGCCGTCTGCGGCTCTCCGAGCTTTCATCATGGGCGGTGGGGGGCTTTCACGCCACCCAACCTTCCCTTCATTCTGTGTCCCCCTCCCTCGTCTCGCATCTCCCAAAAGTACCGCTTTTGTGAAAATGGTCTCCTTATTCAATATGACAGGTGATGGTTAGGTGATTGGGCTCCAACAGGTTGATTACAGTCTCACGCTGATGGCTCTATCTGCCCCCCCCTCCTCCCCCCTCAAGCTAACGATGGGACTGAGGGAGCATGTGTTGCGGGCAGGAAGCATCAGGGCTCCTCGTCCTCTAATTTCCTTGTAAGTGGTTTTGGAAACAGTTTGTAGATGCGTCCATTTATGATTTGACCTCACATCAACCTCAGTGGTCTCTCCGTGGTTTGGCCATCAAATCGGGGAGTGTCCCCTTGACATCAGTCTGGTGGAACTGGTTTTCTTTATCGGGTTCATTTAGTTCCTCCTTGAAGTACAGGTTGAGGAGTCTGCTTTAATGCTCGTCTGGTTTAGAGTATCAACGTCGTCTTCACCAGGATCCACGCCAACGTGGAGCAGTAGGAGCAAAACTAAACCGTTATTATTGAGACATCAAAGGTGCTCTCAGTTATTTTAAAGCGTGCTATTGGCTCACCCGTTTGGTTTCTCTTGTTTGCATTTATTCATCCAGTTGTGCACATTTCCACTCATTCATCTTTAATTTCCACTTTCTTGCTCGTATTTTCTGTATCTATTCCAAACGTTGACATCTCTCGTGGCTACAGCCATGAGTATCGTTCATTTCATGTGGTTCTGAGGCTGGCGTAATGAGCCCGGCATTAGGCTTTCAGCAGTCAGCGCTCCCGAGTGGTCTGCTTTTGCTCTGCTCGCCTCAGACCCTCTCATCCCCCCCACCCCCCCACCCACCAGTTCCCCCCTCCCCACCGCTCGCCGCCTTTGTCTCGGCGCTGCTGCTGCAGTCGGCCATGCCTGCAAATGAGCACCAGGACAGAGCGATTATTCAGCACGGGGCGAGCCCCGCACCCCTTTTTTTATTCCCGCTGCACCCCGCTGTCATGTTCAGGCGCTGCATGCATTCATAACACGGAGACCTTTCGGCAAAAGCAACATTTCTTCTACAGATGCAGCTTGGAGGGGAATGAAATATGGTGCTTGAAATTCCTTGGACAGTGGTTCATCTTGGAGCTCAATTCCCTCTGGGGTGGATGAGCTTCATATCTCTTTCAAACATGAATTAATGTGGCTGACACGTGCACGCAGACACACACATTCATCATGCCCATCCCCCTGTTATCCGCCGCTCCTCAATGCTACGGAGACACTGGTTTGGTTGCAGAATGTGTGCTGGTGAAGGGGAAGTTAGGGCGGCGTGAGACAGCATGCATGTTGGCTCGGCTGCGTGTGTGTGTGTGTGTGTGTGTGTGTGTGTGTGTGTGTGTGTGTGTGAGCTGCAGAAGGGTGCTTGCCGGCTCCGCTCAGCCATCTCTGTCAGCGCGGCGCTGCTCCTGTGACTCTGGTTCGCTCCCTTTTTCTGTCTCTCATCTTTTCTTTTTTCCCCTTTTCTTGTCTTTTCTCTCTCTGCAGAAGCCGCTGCCTTGCCCTGCACCCCCCCCCACCCCCACCGTGACACACAAGCAACCCGCTGCCCTACCCAACCAGGTAAGACGTTTTCTATTTCTCCTTTTTGCCGGGGAATCTTGTCATGCTTTTAAACCACTTAGCAAAGCCTCATAGAATACGAATGATTTGTATCCTTTCATTGTCTTCCTCAGCTCCCCCCTTCCTATGATCTTTAATCAATCCCTCCCTTTGTTCACACCCTTTGAGTCTTTATTATTCTGGATATTTGCCGCCGACATATTGGAGAGTTGTGATGAAAGCCAGGGGCTGTTTCTGTGTTCTGCACCCGGTCTAGACGTCTCTGATTATTCAGCCGGCGGTAGAGTTCACCCACAGTGTGCCGCCACCGCTGCTGCTTCTGGGCGCCGAAGCACATGTATACAGAGAGAGAACACCGTCCCTGTCACTTTGTGATGGCGTGAGGCCGGGCGGGGCGGGGCACGGGGGGGGGGCGCGACTGGTAGCGACTCGGATCGAACAGATCGGTGGTGTTTTTCTCAGTGGAAGTGACACCGAGGCCGCGGGACACATCGCCACGCCTGTCACGAGGGTTCGTGAGGAGCTTTCGGACCGACGAGCTGTTTTTTTTTGACGTGAGCAGGTGGATGACGGAGTGACGAGACGCCAGCTCTGACGTCCCTCCGTTTCCCCCTTTTCTCCCAACATCTTCCCTCGCCTTCGAGTCATTCCTCCCTAGCAATGTCCCCACTTGTTGGGATCCCCCCCCCCCCCCCTTGTCTCCCTCATGTTATGTCTCTCTGTCACTGTCCTTCACTCGAGATTGGCAGCTCCGAGCCGGGCTGTCCGTTCCTCGGGAACCGACGTCGAATGACGAACACCTTATGAGAGGCGAGCGAGGGGGCAATGGCGCCCACTCTCTGTCCTTCGTTTCAGGGTCACAGATGGAGTACTGCCCCGCCCCTCCCCCCACCCCCCCCGCCCGTTCGTCCTCCTCCTCTTCCCATATTTCCTCCATCCCTGGCAGCGAGGTCCCCGTTTGCTGTCGCTGGCCGACCAACTGTAGCCGCGGTCGCAGGGCTGAAGCAGTGGGAGATGGGGACATTGTTTCAGGGTCAACGTTGTCAGCGAGGCATCGCGTAGGTGTCAAGAGAGAGAGAGAGAGAGGAGGCCATTGTTCCTGCGATTGTCAGTTAGAAAGCCATCTGAAAAATACCGTTTGATCAGCGTTTAATCCTGCAATGCTCAACTGTTATCAGGCATTATGACAAGTGAAGGATCCAGCGTTTTCATTATTTCGATTTGGAACACTTACACAATGAAAGCTGCTCTCCCGACAGTGCGCTCCATCCACAATATGTTCAACTTTTTGGTGCTCAAAACCACAGGTGAGGCTCAGTGTGCCTTGAAGCGCACATTTAACCACATATGTTTTCGTCCTGTCATTCAGTAATTACCAAAAGTATCAGCGCTTGCGTTTCAGCCTCCAGGGGGGTCTGATACCCATCACAGATCAAAAATCTAACGCAGGTTATTTTCGGAAGGCAAACTGTAGGCGAAGGGGACATGGGGTTGCGTCAACACCACCCTCGACTTTGACGGTCCGCCCTTGAGTGTCAGCTGGGTGCGCAGCTGGATGCCGCCGGTTGGCCTGTAAAATAGACGGCTTTTTTATTCCAGGCAGAACTTGTATTTGGATGTAGAGATTTCTAGCTATTTTCTGCCCCATGAGATGCTTTTCAATGTCCAGCTTGCTTATTAGCACCTTGCTATCACAGGACAGCTGCAGTCTTCTCTTAAGATGTTTGATATTTTACACATTTTCAGAATCTACATTCTTCGGGGGGAAGGTTTTCCACAGCAGTTAAGTTGCAGCTTGCAGGCGCCGTCATGTTGAAGGATGGATAATGAATATGGACTCTTGAGTGCAACTGTCGCCCCGGGGAACAAGGGCGACCTGCACCTGGTCCTGCATGCTTTTACGTTGTGTGCGTTTTGAAAGTGGCGTCACTTCCTGTGTCTCTCTTTTGCATTTGTGATGCGTTACTGTTCTGCAGCAGATGTGTTACAGGATACAGTGCAAAGTGTATCAAACCTACATTACTTATGTATATATTGTGAAAATTGTCCTTGGGGCTTCCACGTTTAGCTCACGAGCATTGTGCATAAACGATATAGCTCTCTTTCACACTGTAGAACAGCCAGTGGGTCAAATTGTGAAGTACACTCCATATTGTATTATATGAGCTCCTCTATTCTTTCTCTATTAATGAGCCTCTTTCCCGGCAGGAGGCTCATTAGTCACACAGGGCCCTCTGTACTCAGTGCGGTGTGGAGGTGTAGAAAACACATCCCCGAGGCCGCCGCTGAATAAAGCAGTTCGGGGTGAAAGGCAAAGTTCTTAATAGAAAAAGTCCCAGCGAATCCCGGGTGCACTTACTCGCCGGGCTCACGTGGAGAGAAGTCGCTTAAGGAAAGAGGACGAGAAGCCGTGAATGTTTAACTTCATTCTTGATTTGGTTTTATTTTGAAACTCTTTCCGGTGAATACTCCTCACCTCGACCTTGTGTGCCTTTGTGTGTGTGTGAGTGTCTTTGGGGGGAAGGAGGCTGTCCTGGTGAATTATAGATGAGTAGGTGGCCAAGTTAAGAGGCGAGGAGGCTGAGGCTACAGAAACACGGACGCGCCTCATTAGCATGAGAGGTGTCGTGTCCTGGCACCAGATCAATTATCCTTATTATTCATCAAGAATCATCTGTCCTTTTTTTTCTCTCTTTTAGTCGCTGAAACGTGTGCATGGGTGAGTTCAAAGGGGACATTTGGACAGTTGAGGGCGTGCAGGATGAGCAATGAGTCCTGTGTAGCAGAAAGCAACTAAACCGCCACCAGATAAGTGAGGAAACATCTTCCTGTGATGTTCCGCGTTATCGCTCCTCGTTTCAGCAAAGTTCTGCGAGGTTTATCGCTCCTTTTAGCACAGCTCCGAGATTAGGATTCATTTCCTGTTCGCCTCGTCTCTGATGATGAAGTCAAATCTGTGGATTAGGTCGGCCCCTGACCTCCTTCCCTTCCTTCCTCTATCCTTGGCTCTTCCCTCTTTGCCTTCTGTTTAGCACCCTTGCCCCCCCCCACCGTGGGCAACTTGAAGATCAAGCACTAAGTTCATCTGTGAATTGATCCTGAAATAAAATAAATGGATGCCCTCTGGGGGGGTTTTGGGGGGCGAATTGTGTTGAGTGAGATTAATGTTTTGTAACAAGCCGGCCAGGTGGTGCGTGCGAGAGGGATCGTCTACTGCGACATCTAGAAAGGTGCCTTCTATTTCGGTCGCGCTCCCGACATTGTGTGTTCGGGGCGGTAACCACACTCACCTCTCTGTAGCTTCCTCTCTCGTCATGGGGATGTTCTCCAGACTAAGCCTCGCTGGCTGGACGCCCCCCTCCCCCCCCTCTCCCGCCCAAGGAGAGACATTACTTCCTGTGTGACCTGACCCGTCTCTTTTTTTTTCCTCTCACTTTTCTCTCTTCTCGCTCACCCTCTTTTTACTCGGTCTCCTCCCCCCCTCCTAGTCGCTTCTCTGTTAGAGATTGATTTGTGAATCCTCGGTGTCCTTCTCTGCAGACAAATAAATGAGAGGAGAAGATAGAATCAAAATAAAAAGGTGCAGATGTTTGCAGTTAATCTGTTCTGGAGGCTTGACACCTTTTTTGATTTGAATTCCTATAAATCGCAACACGATGCAAAACGTTTTGGTTTGTGCAAAACTTTAAGCAAAGATTGTGAACAAGCAAGTCCTCATTTCTGCTGCTGCTGCTCGTGGATTTGTAGAACCTTCTGTTTTCTGTAATGCGTGGAGTCCTTGAGGAGAAACACTTGTGTTTCCTCCTCTGTGAATTGAGTTTCCTCCTTCTTCTTGCCTCTGTCTCCTCTCCGATGAACCCTCCTCCTTCCCGTGCGGAGGATCTCCGCTCAGCTCTCTTAACGTTGCTTCACTTCACTCCCCTGTCTCTTTCTTTCTCCGTCAAACTGCATGTTTTGGAGGACCTCCTCCCCCTCTGCTCTGTTTTATACCTCCTGACAATCCAAAAGAAAAGGAAACGTGAAAATCTTGAGCCTTAACTCCTCTCCTGGCTCAGGCCCCAATGGACCGAATGCAAGAACTGGACAAATCTCACAGCTGACACTTTTAATCACTTAAAAACAATCAACGTCTGTCTGGATGAGCACCATGATCGCAGTTGCCGTGGAAACTACTGACCTCCGTTTCTCTTTTTATCTTCTCCTTTTGAAGTGACTTTTGTTGAACTTGAACATTGGTCCGTCTTTCTCTTCAGTTTCTCAGCATTCTTTTCGAGGGGGGGGGTCCGGTTTATGTTGCTGGCAGACTCCTGGTGACGGAGCCAAGCTGCTGTGTGCGTGCAATGTGCAGCGATGGTCCCTGAGTTTAATGTGGACCTGGCAGCCTTACTGAAGCCCCTGACCCTGTACTCCCTCTTCTCTTCTTTCTTTTTTTTTTTTTTTCTTCATGCAGGTCTCGGCAGAAGCGTCAACTCGGCACTCGTCCGTTTCATCCGCAAGTGAAGGCCACTCGAGTTAGGTATGCTTAGAAAGAAATAACTGAACGAAACGGCAGTACACACGCATGACATTTCACACTCACTTTTCCCATGACTCATGGGGCCCCGGCAGTCAGATCTAAGTGGCCGCACTCAGCCAGATGATTAGCTTGGCTCTCCACGGATGTGTAATAGAGAGGGAATTAAGTTCCGCAAACATGTTGGAAAGAAAAGGCGGGACAATTGTTTCGCTTGATGTCATGTCAGATATTCATGCGAGCCAAAACAGAACGGCACTAGTATCGTGCTTTTTTTAGTTTTAATTCCTGGGGGTAAAATGACAGAGCTAAATGTAGATTTGGTGGTAAATTCAGCGACGTCTGGTGTTTTTTTATCTGTACTGCAATGTGTTTGCTCCCAGCCAGATTGAAGGAGGAAGCAATTTACAGAGTTTTTGGGGGAAACACAGCGTTGTGTGTCGCAGTCTTTTTATTGTTGTTTTTATTGTTTGGGATGATTTGCAGGAATTCTTGTGCAGCGGGTGAATCTCACCTGTTAAATCCCAAACATGGTAACAGCAATGTACTAAGAAATCCTATTCTGTGAATTTTGTTGACGGCAATCTTTTATTTTTACAAAACATTTGCTGTTGTACCACATTAAAATAACAGCATCCACATCAGCGCCGGCCTAAGAGTCTAAAATGGTCCCAAACAGCAACCAGCTATCAGCGTATTGATGGATTTAAAAGGCTCGAGTCCCATTAGTGTCAGTGCAGTTAGCGAGGACCACCGGGGGAATGGCCCGGAGGATCTGCTGACCTACATCAGGATCCATATCGTGGTCAAAGTCCATTCTCTCCATAGCTGGCGTCCTCTCCTGGGCCACCAGCAGCCCCTCCCGCACCGTGGGCTCACATCACCATGGGAACAGTGACATCAGCGCGGGGTGGGGCTGCAGCTAAAGATGAGGGAACGCCAGCAGACAGGAAGTGAAAGGAGCTGGGCTGGGAGGGGGGGGTAAAATTTGTTTTATTGGAGTAAAATAACAGCGGCGTATATATATGAATACAATATAATGGTGATACTATTTTAACAATGCACGTTTGCACTGCCAAAACACGAGTACTCTCTAAGCCCGTTTCACATGCAAACTTATTTCAGGTGTTTCTGAGGAGTTCTGAAGCCCCTTGAGTTCCCTCTGCGCCTCTACTGCTGTCATTACGGTACCTAATCCGCAAGCCGTGGAATCAGCTCCACACCTCGGATTATTATACATGGGCGTGTGTTTTAGCACTGGCGCCTCTCGCCATGCACACGCTCCATCCACACTTCGATGGCAGCGCTCATTACGCGTCGACCCCCCACGCGTCTTGCTGAGTCAACAAAACTTAATCCCCCCCCCCCGTCTGCTGCTGCTCAGGAGGAAGTCGCCGGGTTGATTACAGGTCACTGGAACCTCCAGTCAGGCACGTGCACGGACATTTTGGGCGGCAGGTGCTCAAACCAAAATAAAAGGGCACCGATTGCCCAAATTATTTATGAAATTAAAAGTAATATTAATAAGTAAATAAAAAGCACAGTATGACATTTTCAACTTATTTTCAATACATATTTATTTTTGTTAAAACTAACTCAATTTATCTAATTGAATATACATATGAATAACAGGCAAAAACGGACAAAACAAGGCCATATTGTACTTAAGCAATAAGGTACTCAGGCGAGGCAGCACTTTATCATTACTTACTGTTTCTGACAGAGTTGAAGCATAAGCAGCATTAAACTAGTAATATACCACAATATACCTCACCAGACTGTCATGTAGCTCAACTTAAGACCTTTCATTTCAATAATTTAATTAAATTAAATTAAACAAAACTAGTGGACTAGTGAACTTGTCTAATTTGTAAAATAATTTGTCACAAGAAATCAAATAAATGCCCCGTCAGATATCAAAACACATTTGGGGGGAATTGATGACAGAGAGGGAGTAGTTATTATTCTTAAAAATTGTGCTCCAGCAGAAGGGGCACTTTTCTCACCCAGGGCAAAAGGGCAGGTGCTTGAGCACCACTAGAGGTCTATCTGTGCACGTGCCTGCCAGGAGGGTTACCGTTACCCATCATCCACTGCAAACGTGGCTCTGATGGCCCTTTGACAGTGCAGCGTATATTTGAAAGGAAATATAATTTTCCATGCCAACTTTGACTGTACCCTGATTTCTAATCATATCATCGGTCTTCATTGAGATCTAGATATAGATTCTGATAAGTCCACTTCAGTTAACAAACAAAGGCCTTGTTGTCTCTAAAACTACTATTTACCGTGAGATGTAATAAATCCTTGAACAATAAATGATAGGATACAGGACGGAAAGAGGGAATTAAGGATTAAATAAGGATTACTGCAACAAATAGGAATTCAGAAGGACAAAACACAACATTTCTTCAGACATGAATGGCCTCCACAGTTGTTTGCATGTTTAATATTCAGAGCTAAAATCGATTCCATCTACCAATGTCGAAAGTCAAACCTAAAACCGGAGAGCGAGCGTTCAAACGGAGGATTAAGGCCCGGTTGGCGTACCGAGATTCCGCCGACCCTCCTAAATGGATGGTGACATTCCGATGTGAGCGGCGCTCCACAGAGGCGTGATGAGTGACCCAGATTGGGGTGCGGTCGGAGGAGGTGGGGGGGGGGTGTGAGGTCGGATTTGGCACTGGGGATCGGAGGGGGTCTGGATAGAAGGTGGAGGCATTAAAAGACAAAAGAAAGAGGGAGACATCAGAAGACCCTCGGGCACCAACGCCTCACCTTCTCAGTGCCGAGACTTAACGGGAATTGACAGTCCTCCAGTGCTGTTGGTTTAACCCTTTGAAGATTAGGTCGCCGTGGTTACACTCTAAATGGCACCAGAGTTATTGTCTGCAGCCGATTGCTACATCCGTTTTTTAATGAGGTTTTCCTGTTCATAAAAGCAGAACTTTTATGTTCTTCAGCCACCAGCAAAAGCAAAATGCATCCTTAGGAGTAGTCTGCTTCTTTGGTGGTGTTACATTTGAATAGATACGCATTACATACTTGATCCTTTTCTGTCGGACACAACACGACTGGAAGGGAGAAACGGGAGCCGGCGATGTCTGATCACTTTAACCGCACGCAAGGTGACGAGGTGTGCCTGAAGAGCACACGGCGCCGGGGCGAACCCACACATCACGAGACCAATAAACAGTTTGACCAGGGCTCAGTGTCTAATGTTACCACATCTGTTCAAGACGACACGCTCAACCGCATCGCGTCGCTGTGATGTGGCGGTTTCTAAACCAGCGTCAGCCCGGCTGATTTCTTCCATAGCAACAGCTGGGACGAGACTCGCCTGAGCCCCGGGCTGGGATTCTCTGTCTCAGACAGTTTGGCCCAATATCTTTAAAGTGTCAGTAGGCCTTTCCTCTCCTGTCCTCTCCTCTCTTCCCTTTGTCTATTTTCGGATGTGATCCTCACGTCACCGCGAGCCTGCCGCTGTGCAGCGCTGAAGGGAAGGAGACGAGGGAGGAAGGAGGAGGCAGGAGGGATGGAGACGAATGAGAGCGAGAGACGCTGTTTCACAAAGTTTGCCACAGGATTGATTCTTGGTTTGTTTTTCTCAGTAGGGTGAGAAACCTTAATTAGAGCTTTAATTTCTCTCAATTCTCTCTGAATGTAGACAGTGATGGAATTGGAAATTTAAGAATAAAGCTCAAGCCTGACAAAAACTAGCTAATCTCCTTGTTAGAAAGAAAGTGACATCAGATGAAGGCGGAGGAAGAAAAGTGCCTCAGTAATGATTTGTTATGATGAAAATTGGCTGCAGCTGATGGTAATGAATTAAGAGAAGCTGCCAAGGAAGGACCCCCCACCCTGTTTATCAAGCAACGTTATGGGTTTCTTCTAAAGGGGGAAAAAAAGCTCTTATCAGACTACATGCTTGATTAGAGTGTGGGTACTTTAGTGTGCGTACTTGAGTAGGACCAACCCTTTCGTTCTGATAGAGGGAGGGAAGGAGCTTGTTGCGCTGTAGTGAAGCCACCGTCAAAACCATCCGCCGGACCCCTCTAAGGCCTGTTCCGGTTGCCACGGTAACAGCATCCATATCGAGGATGAGGGGATGTAAACGGTGTGCGCGCAAGCTTTTCCCCCACCCGACCATTTCATGAGCTTCCTGCAGCAAATCACCTGGACATTGGTGTCTTTGTTGCATCACACATCCTGGATTTACTCCCAATTTATTGAAGATGTTTGAATTTTGTTTTTTGGAATGAAGCGCAGCAGTGAGTGTGTACTTCTCTCATGAATAAAATCTAAACGCATGCAGGGGATGGCGTCGGGCTCCACTCGTCAACACACGCAAACACAGTCTCATCGGCTCTTCAGGTCCAATTTAGAAAATGAATAGAAAGGAGTAGGCAGAGCTATTTGTTCGGTCCCGTTCATTCTCTATCACCACGTGGATGCTGAGACAAAGACCAGCCGGTGTACTATCAGCGTAGCACCTCGCTCCCTCTGGTGGCCGATCTGTTGTCCTCACCCTGCCGCGTCAATCCTCAGCTGGGACGAGAAAGCCTTCTGACTCTCTCTCTCTCTCTCTCTCTGCTCCAACAGGTGACCTGTCCCCTCCCCGGCGTCCCAGCAGACAGGCATGGCAGACGGTCGGCAGCCAGACGAGCACTGGGCCTCAAACGGCCAGGAGAACGGCGAGAATGGCTACTCCGCCTACAGCTCCGCCTACAGGGAGAATGGATTCCACGGTGGGGCGGGCGCACATCCTGGAGCGACAGGTAGGATCGTAGACACTGTGCGTGTGTGTGTGTGTGTGTGTGTGTGTGTGTGTGTGTGTGTGTGTGTGTGTGTGTGTGTGTGTGTGTGTGTGAGCATGTGACTACAGCGACGGTCAATGGTATTGATTGGCCTACACATACTGCCAGATGGGTCCAGGTAAATGGGATCAGTTCCATTGTGCCAGGCAAGAGCAGAAGATCCACAAAAAGACACGTGTCACGGAGCCGCTCTAATAGAGATACCAGAGGGGGAAGCTGTGGTCCCCCCGAGATACGTGTACAGAAGGTCATCTGGTTCCTTTTGTTGTTGTTCAGACCCGAAAGCTGTGTGCAAAGTGATCAGCTTCGAGGAAAAGAGAGACAAGTGGGAAAGAAGGAAGTTCTTGCAGAAGAACAAAACAAAATTGGGAAATTATATTAAAGGGGATGTACCAGCATGCTCTGTCAACGCACATGTTGAACCCATCATTTCATAGTAAATATTAAGTTTGTCAATGTCTTTTGATATTTTATAGTGGAATTGGATTATTAAGAGAGGAATCCGTCACAGTATTTATTCTCTTTCTTTTTTGACAATATGCAACATCTAAGGGGCAGTTTGGGCTCAAGACGCATCCATCTGCACTTGACGTTTAGTAAAAAGCCCGACTGGCTTCTGATAAAAATCCTAAAGGAGGGTGAGATTCATAAAACAACAACACATACTACAAGCCTTGTTCTAACCTCAAAGGGAGGCCCCCCACAGACATAAGGTCAGCTGAGTTACTCGTTTTTCATTTCCGACCTCCCATCCACGTCTCGTCTTCCCGGTGTTGTCTCTCTCTCTCTTTCTCTCTCTCTCTCTCTCTCTCGCTCTCTCTCTCTCTCCCTTCACAGTGGATGACTCAGCCAATTTGCCTCCCTCCCCTCCCCCCTCTCCATCCGCTGAGCAGATTGAGCCCGTGGCACAAGGTACACCCACTCACACAAAGAAAGACCATCCAGGTAGAGTCTGTGAATGACTGGGAGAGTGGTGAAAAACCTTTACTTACATATAAATATCTAAGAGAACAGAGGGAACATCCCCAGGACTTCCTGTTTCCTTTGCCGTGATTAGAACAACTTCTGGTCCCTTTAACGTCAGGGTCCTCTTGTCACCTTGCATGCCAGCTGACCTTCCTCCGTTTACGCTGTAGCACATGACCGACTGCCGGAGCCCTCCATCTCACTCTGCTTTCACCTCAAAACATCTCCTCTGTTGCTCATCCACTGTCGATTTTCTCAAGGAGTAAATCGACAGATTGACTTTCAGCTCTCTGCTCACAAGAAGGACGTGATCAGACAGCAAGAGTCGGCTGTCTGATCACGTCCTTCTTGCATGCAATCATGAACGCGCTGTCCCGCTTTATGTGTTTAGGATTAATTCAAGTCATTAATAAAATAGCTAATTGTAAGGGTGCTTTCGTAAGCCACAGTTTCCGACCGTTGTGATTGTACTCTGGTGGGAAACAAAATAACTGGTTCAAGACTGCTTGCGAGAGGTGCCAAATAACAGAAGGAAACCAGATTGCAGGGGATTATGGCTTGTATAAGTCCTGCAGCGCTATTTCCTAATGTTGTGCACTGTGAAACTAAACTAAACAGAAAATAAACAAAAGTATCAATATCACTCTGATTTTGGACATCAAACGGAGTATATAGCTCGTGAAAGCACCCGAAGAATACTTTTCTTATACTTTTCAAGATTATTTCAATGGGATATATTCCTGTAACTGTAGTACAATGCTCGGACTGTTTTAAATTCATGTTAAATACGAGGAGATCAAGACTAAGATAAACGCTGTGTTAATTGCATTCCATACATCTCAACCCCAGCTGAAAGTAACCCATGTAACCCCCTTGTTGTCCTCCATGTCTCATCTATGTGTCCCCCCCTCCCCTGCTCATAGATAAAGTAGAAGTTGTCAGTCAACAGCAGGATGAGGAGGAGGCTCCAGAGGAGCCCCCCAGTTACCAGGAGGAAGTGGCATGTAAGCAGTCTGGAGACTTGTCCTTAGAGCAGGCAGATTATTTAACTGAGCCCCAGGCTTTGGGCAGCCAGCAGGTCCAGACCCCTGAGGTCCTCAATGGAGGAAGTCATGAAGGTGAACACAGCCCGTCACAGAAAGGTGTGTGTGGTTTCTCTTGGGTTTTGTTTGCGGGCCTTCAGTTTGTGTGAGTGTCCTGTATGTGTGAGCAACTGTACATTCTTCCTCTTTGAAACCGTGTTGGAGTGAATGGCTTTTCCCTGTTGCCTTTTGTTGCATGAACCTCTTTTGATGGGTACACAATATTTTCCTCTTGATTTATAACTTGTGATGCGTCTCAGACTTTGCCGCCAACCTCCTTGCAGCTTTGTTGCTCTTAAATCCTTAAGCTTCTGCTGTAGTACCTGAAGTTGCCGTGTGCCAAATCATGTGACATGTTTGGATTATGTGCTTTTCCATTGTACGTAACCATCTGCTTTTCATTGGAAAGACATTACAGAACACTTGATCAACTATACTGTAGTTGATCATTTCTGCACTTTTGTATTGCCAGCTACATCGCAAATGCAAATATCACTGTCTACTGCCAAGTGTCGCTAATATTAGTTTTCTGTATGTTTTTATTTGGGTTTTACTGGAATATTGCAAGAAAGTGTTTCTGAGTACACCCAGCTCTATGGCAGCTTTATGAATCTTGTCTTGTATTTGAGGTCTGTTGTATATCAATTCTTTTGAGTTTTTGTGTTGTTTTCATTTCATATCAAGACAAAGAACAATTCTGTTTTCCTATTGTTACTAAGGACACACTTTGGTCATTGCATAACACCCTCATTGACCATGTATTAACACAATTACTATCTCTAAGGTGAATTGAATTAAGAACATAGCCTCAATAAATGTCCTTCCAAGCAGAGAGGAATCCACCTCCACAATGTTCCTGTACTTAGGGAGACTTCAATGACACTATTGATACTCAATTACATCGCCAAAACAATTATGACAATCGTTGGGTTTTGCAAAAGGAATTCAAAATATTTGTGTCAATTTATTTCTTGCCATCTAACATCATGCAACTCATTCCTTCATTCCAGTTCTGCAAGCTATCTTAGGTGCTGTGACCCCCTCTGTGCTGTTGTGGCCTGCTGCAAAATACACTGTGCCGTGTGTTTTGCTTGATGGAGAGCTTCTCTATGAATGTGCAGAAGGCCTCGTCTTGACTGTGTTGGCTAGCTTTTGTCGGTGCTTTAAGCAAAGCTTTTAGCTTGTAGGACAAAGTTGTACAGTGTCCTTCAAACTCACAGCCCAGCCAGAAGAATGCACCAGTAAGGAATCTTGTGAGTCGGCTCCGAAAGAAGATGGCCGTCCAGTGGTGTCGCTACAAGAGACGCGGTTGTCTGTTGAAAGAGCAACACCTGAAGGTGCACAGCTCACCTCAATTGAAGCTCCTCCTGCCTCTGTTAAAGAGCTCTCTGACACGTCCTCAATGGACCAGGGTGACCAAGAGACAGAGGATGTAGTGGAATGCGCTGCACAATCTCCTGCGACAGAGGAGTTATCAAATCTTAAGGAGAAGGGGATGAATAAAGAGGACCAAGATGGTGGCAGTGACATGGAGTTGCGTGAGATGCCAGTGGCTGATGTTCAAAAAGAGGACCAAAGGCAAGAAGCAGTCCAGTCCACTGCAGCGCTCGTCACAGAGTTAAAAGAGACATCAGATAAGTTTGGAGCAAAAACCTACTTTGAAACATCCCCGGAAAGCCACGAAAAAGAGTCATCACAAACCCAAAGCTATTACGAACTCAGCAAGGCAGCAGAGAAAAAGTTAAGTGAGGATACTAAAAGCATCATGCAGAAGCTTGGGGAACAGCAGGAGAGCTCAGCCAAAATATCTCCTGGGAAGATTTCACTAGAACAAAGAAGCCTCTCTCTAAATATTACTGTTGGGTCTTCGATAGCACACATCAGCCAGGCAGATAATTCAAGGACCTTGTGTCCAATCAGTGGAAGCTTTGATGAATCTGAAGTTTACCCTTCTACTCCAATTGTGGAGAGCCAACACAAGCTTCCTCCGGCTGTCTCCATTACATCAACTACTGCTGAATCACCCTCAGAGACCCCCACAAGGGCAGACAAGCTCCTGGATAAGCACAAATGTCTTGAACATTCAGGTAGTCTCTCTGAAATGTTGGACCTGGCTGGAGACCTGCCCCGGCCATCAATAGAGAGGAGGGAGCTTGACCACATGAGGCGAAGGTCCGTGCCATCAGCTTTGGTGGGGAGTTCACTGGCCAAGCTTGCCTTGGTAGATCAAATCTCAAGAGTGGTAGGAGGGGAAACCCAACTGGAGGAAGTGGGCTACTGTGTCTTCAATGAGTACTCAGGCCCCATGCCTTCTCCTGCCGATGTACCCAGCCCTGGAGACTCTGCGGACCAGCGTTTCCCGTCAATGGAAAGGGAAGTTGAGGAGGAACTTGGGGCCACGGACGTTGAATGTAATCAAAAAGGAACTCAACCACAAGATGGCAAGGAAATTGTGCCTGAGATTTCTAAAACAAATGTGTCAGAAAAGAAAGATTCACCAGTGATAAGTACCCTGATCTTTGAGAGGGCCGTGACAAGTGGTGTAAAACCAGATCGCCTAAGAATCCCATTGGCTTCCTCAAAAGGCAAACTGACTGAGTTTCGTTTGGAGAGTGGCCGACCCGGGGACATAAAGATCCAAGCAATTCCAGAGGTAGACATTGAAAAGGACCCATCCAGAGAGGCTTCTCCTATCCCACCAGACAGCTCCTTTACTTTCACTCCGCTGGAGACTGGAATCATGGTCCCCCCGACTCCCATCACCCCCAAAACCCCAGATGACACACCCTCAGACACCAAAGTCACTGGAGAGAAAACTGCGAATGATGTCCGACCGGAATTCAACGCTGAGAACGATCCAGAGTCAGAGAGGTTTGATAATAAGCACAGTGGCAAAGAAATGCATAAATCTGAGCAGGAGGAATCAAAAGAAAGAGGCTGTGAACCAGAAATGGCAAACACACCTTCAGTGTCATCTCTGCCTCTTGGAGAGAGCACAGAAAAGGATGAAAACAAGATTCAAAGTGACCATGTGACACCTACACAATTAGAAAGAATAGAAAGGCAAGATACCTCCGCTGGTCAGAATTTAAGCACTGAAAAGCCAAAAGGTGGGAGAGATGACCGTATCCAGTTCCAGGAGGTAGCAAAAGATCCATCAAAACCAATTGTAACCTCCCCAGTCATCATTATACCTCAAGCACAAGTAGAGGAAGAAGCAGATGATGAGGATGATGATATTGAGATTGCTGAAGAGCCTCAAGAGGTACCTGAACCTGAAATGCCTGAGAGTGTAATCAAGATGCAGCTGACGGTAGCCGATCAGATGGCGGAAGACGATCCTAAGTCCGGTACAGAAGACTGGAGCCACAGTATGCAAACCAGTGACGATGGGGACCCTGCGACGGACATTTCACACTTGTCTCCATGCTCTGATCACAATCTACCTTTGTCACCAGACGAAGGTGGTAGATATGATTGGATAGCAGAGGACCAATTCAGAGACAAACATATACTTATGGATGTAGGAGAGGTTGAGGCGGTGAAGACAGACCCAACAGCGGCGGAGCAACTGCAGGAAGTTGGTGCCGATGGAGTAGGCGAAGAGACAGACAGTAAAACAACAGCGGATGAGTGCGAGGAGAGGATGCGTGAAGAGGAGAAAGACATTGAGACTGGTCAGGATGTGGAAGAGACCAGTCAGACAGCTAAGGATGAATCCACCATGGACGTTTCCCTCCTAGATACAGACAGTGGTTGGATGGACTCACAAGGTACCCCGAGCTTGCAAAATCAATCACATTTAAAGTAAATGTTTACACTTCAATGTATTTTTTAATACAGACAAAATAGTTCACACCACAAAGCTTGTTTGCGAGTAAATCTTGATGTGTCTTCTGTGCTAAGCTAGCCCCAGGCTAGTGAGAGTTGTGGAGAATTAGTCCTCTTTTAATCCCTCTCCACTGCAGATGATGACAAAAGTATCATGACTGAGCTAATTGAAGCCCTTCCTCGGGTCCAAAGTCCTACTAGTACACCATTGGTGGACAAACCCGCTAAACGGGCCCCTGGCAGAGGCAGGGGCCACCCGGGCACCTCTGAGAGTAAAGTGTCTCGCAAAGTACCCAGCCACCACCCACCAAGAGAGGAGATGAAGAAGAAAAAAGGTTCCCATTCTCTATTCAAGAAGTGTTGTTCAGCTTAAAACACATGTACTTTGGTATTTGCTATCTTTGTACCATTTAGTTTCTTTGCAGTACGTTTGATCAAGGTTTGCATGTTGGTATAATCCTGTCTCTCCTCTTTGCTAGTAACCGTGAGGGGGGTTGACCAGATAAAAGTGTCAGCCCTCCAAAGTCGTTCTCCATCTCGAAAGAGTGGAGCCAGAGCGGCGGCCAGACATCCTAGGCCCGCTCTGCTTCACGGCTCTGCTAGACGCAAGGTCACAGGTGAACAGTCTTCACCGGGAATCGGCGCTGTTGACAGAGAGAGTGGAAACTAATTCTAACGAAGACCACACACAATTGTTTTGTAACCCGGCTTCATCAGAAACATATCCGTAAAAATGAATGACAGTTTCATTTGACCCGACCAAAGAGGATTTCTCTATTTTACCAGATGCAATTGAGTCAAAGCTTTAATTTGAGGTACAAACATAGATAACAGGTTTTTCATTGACTTACTCTCGCTCTCTCTCTATCAATGGCTCTTTGAGGGATCACACAGGTGCAATGTAGCTGGCAAACATCATGTGCTGCGGTCTTTCTTTTTTAATCAGCCCAACTGCTTTGTCTTTTTTTTTTTTTTTCATTTTGTCTGAAAAAGGAGTATTTACTCGTGCTTCGCCTGATATGTTTACTTCTGCTCACGGATGCCTCAGTAATCTGCAACCGGTATTTAATGAATGATCATAGACACTCTGGTTTCATTCTTTTTACAAGAAACTTTGTACGCATTTGCTGGGAAACGGCTGCACGTCGGCGGTTGTGTGTTTGTTCGGCTGCTGTGAAAAAGTTCTTTGAATGAAGAGTGACTCGAATGGTGTCCAAACTTTACATCTTTTACTGTACTCAGCGAGTTCCTTTATGGGTGTGTATGTGTGTTGTGTATTCGAAAAAAAGTCACATTCCGAAATGTGTGTCCCTTATTGGATTACATTGATCATTACAGATGAAGCTTTTTCTCTTCCAGGTATGGAAAGCCATCAGCCCCTCAGTGTGGCCCACCAATCCAGGGAGAGGACCACTGTAAGTACTATCAACGCCATCATCACACACTATTTTTATTGCAAGCATATGAATTATTATTGGTTATTGGTGTCATTTTCTACGTTAGAATGAATGCATCAGTGAATATATCATCTTAAAGCATACAGGAGGAAATTCCCGGTCCCATTGCTAACATTTAGTGGGATTTAAGTTGTTCATTCATTCATTATCTCTCACACTGTTCAATATCGTCTCAAATAGTGGTTGTTTCTGTCTCTCACTATATTTGACAACATAGCTCCGTGCAATGGGGCTTGCTGTTTGCATGACCGACTGGGTGTCTCTCTCAAAATGTCTGCATGTTATGTCTCTCTGTGTGCATGTTCATTTTCTCTTGCATGCCAGCCTCTGTCCTTGTGCAAGTCCCGACAGAGACAACCTGTGAGTAAAGAATTCAAGTGAGGCGGAAGGCCTTTAGTCATGAGCAGGTTTTAACCTTTAACAATATAATGTGCAGCACAGGAGCCCCTCGGAAATATCTTGAACTCCGTCTTACCTCTTTTACCTCTAACCACTCTTGCTAAAACATTTTTTCCCCATCTAAAAGTTTTCATGCTTCACATCTTTTGTGTAAACATCTCTTTCATCCGTTGTGTATGTTAACCATTCAGATTAAAAGAAAACTACAGATTGTGCAGATGGTTTTGTCCTGTAAGCTGTCAGTGTTTCCGATCTCAGTTTGATCCACTCCATGCCATCTCACTTCTTCGTCTCTCCATGTGCTTGCCACCTCTTCCTCACGTGCCCTGCATGCCTTCCCGCCTCTTGACGCGGCTTTGGCTCCAGAGCCCCACCAGGGCCGTTCTGTTAAAGTTGGCAGCTCAGCGCCGGGGAGCCGACTCCCCGCCCCCCCGGCCCGACTCTGCCTGTAGCCTTAAGCGGAGCCCCCTGGTGCAGGCCGAGCTCAATGAGGCCCGCTCGTCCTCGGCGTGCTTCCGCTCGCCCCCTCTGCCACGCAAATGGGCAGAGAAGGTAACATGAAAAGAAGCCAGGGATCGACGGGGAGCTTTTTGCCGGGTGAGTGAGCCTCGGGGGCGTTGACTCGGCGAGTGTGTGTGTCTGTGCAGGAGAGAGCGTACCGCAGCCCAGAGAAGAGGTCGTCTCTGCCCAGGCCGGCCAAGTCTCTGACGCGCCACATCCCTGCTGCTGAACAAGACGACAGCACCCCCTCCAGGCCAACCTGTAAGAACGCACACAAGTACAAAAAAAGAACCCTCCGGCTGGTTTTACTTCCCCCAAATGAACTCCTCTCACGCAGCAGATTGCCTCTTTGATCTTTCTACACTTATACTGCGATTGTTCTCGATCCCTCTCTAACTTCAAGCACGTTACACGTCCTTCCCCTCTCCTGTCTGCCATCTGTTGCTTGTCTTTTTTTGCCGCTCTCGAAAGCGATCCAGTCCAGAGGGGACAACCGGACTGGAAGAGCCGCTGTCATTACAGGTAGACCACCGAGTAGCTCCTGTTAGACCCATTCCACACTGCTCATGGACACGTGACACCTGGGTATTAGTGCAAAGTGTTGTGGCGGGTTTTTATTTCAGACTCTAAATTATGTGTAGGAGCGAGTAGCATCCCTTGACTTGGCATTCATTCATTCATTCATCTCGGTCACGCATTACTCTTAAAGGCATTTCACGTGTCTATGAGGTCTTGAGATTATTTATTCTTCAAGTCTTCTTCCAGTGCTTTCTGCATTTAATATATAACAGGTTTGCAATATGCAAATCCAGTATGTGCCTAAACATCTATTTCCAGTACATAGACAATTTTCCACTGATAAATAGGGAGAACTTGCCGGCTAGTTTCCCCAGTCTTGTTCCAAAATCTGCCTTGATTCAATAGTTTTCCAATGTGTTCAATCTGAACAGCTGAGATCCATAACGACAGGCTGCTACTTGCCGTGTTTGAATAAACTCTGTCTTATCGTCCCTCCACGACGTCCTTGTCAAACACGCTTGTTTGACCCGGCTTGTTTGTTTTGCGAAAAGTGAGCAAATGTGGCAGCAATGGCCGAGCAGCGCTGACACTTCCATGACAACCGCATACGATAACAACCTCTGAACCACGCTACGCGGTCCTTCCCCCCTTCCCCATCTGTCTTTCTTCCTCCCTTCTCCCTCCCTTTCAAAGTGTTTCCGCCACACGATGGAGTTTTCCTTCTTTGGATGTTCTCTCCTCCTGCCTCCCTCTCTCCTTCGTCGCTGTAATCCAGACGCGTGTCTTGGTTTTTCTCAAGGTACAGAGTCTGCGCGTTCACGCTCGGTCCGCAGCGGGGCCTCCACCCCCGGGTCCTCCGCCGTCACGCCCGGCACCCCGCCCACCTACTCCTGCCGCACCCCCGGCTCTCGCACGCCCGGAAGCCACACGCCAAAGTCCTTCAGCGTCCTCCAGGAGAAGAAGGTGGCGGTGATCCGGACCCCGCCCAAGTCGCCGTCATCTGTCCAGCGGCAGCTGAAGGTTCTCAATCAGCCCCTGCCTGACCTGAAGAATGTAAAGTCCAAGATCGGGTCCACCTCCAACCTCAAGCACCAGCCGAAAGGCGGACAGGTAAAACCGGCCGTGTCGAGGTCCCGCAAGTCCCAACTGCACTCTGCAGGATTAATTTGGACGCATTCATTGACGGAGACACGTGAACATATTTATTTACTTGACATCAAAGTTCTGAATAATGATGTAATTCAAAACTTGCATCTTCTTTCTGCCACATGGCGGCAGTAGAGGTCAGGTATATTGCACACCTCTAAATCTGAGAAATACTATTTACTGCAAATGGAGCAAGATTTTATTTGTATCGCCTGCAGCATATAATAGATAGAGTTTGGCATATTTATATATATTATTTTGAAAAAAAAGTCCAAGACATTTGTAAAATAAAAAGATTAAGAATAATAACAAGCAAAGTGGGTTATCTAATCAAACTTTTTTTTATTTTAAAAGTGGATTAGGTTGTTTTGATTTATGATCCCACTGCTATCTGTTATCGGAGAACAGGGACATTTGTATCACACGTCTTCTTCACCGTCTCCCTCCGAAATCTCTCTCCACGTCTTCACCATCCCTCGCTCCCTCTGACTGTCCTCTTCCTGTCCGCCATCCTCTCCGTCACAAGCTGCCTCCGGCCTCCTCAGCTGACGTTGCCTTATTCTACCTCCCACTTACGTCTCTCAAATGTCTCCTGAATGAGAACGCCAAAAACCAGCCTCAGCTGAGCGGATTCGAACCCGTTGTTCTGTTGAGGGCACTTCCTCTCGCTGCCTCCGAGGAGCAGTTGAGCTGCAGAATCATTTGCTCTGGGGATGCGGCGGTGGAGGATTCTCCCTCCGGCTCTCGGTATTAATAATTGCGAGCAGAAGGAATTACTTATTGAAAAGTTGCATCAAGGACACGGAATGAAAGTACGTCACCTGGCGTCACTTTTTTCACAGTCAACGGTCTCTTGCTAGAACCTGGAATGAATTTGATTTCTGACTCTATTGAGCTAAACAGACTTGCAGGATAATACAAGTATGTAAATAGAGGTGGTGACCTTGGTCTCTGAGCAGCACTGCAGGCTTCACGTAGCGTGACGTGCTGGTATCCAGAGAGAGTTTATGTTTGATCTTCTTTTAAATAGGTAAAAATGTCATGTGTGTGTCTGTGTGTGTGTGTGTGTGTCTGTGTGTGTGTCTGTGTGTGTGTGTCTGTGTGTGTGTGTGTGTGTGTGTGTGTGTGTGTGTGTGGGTGTGTGGGTGGGTGGGTGTGTGTGCACATGCATGTGTGTCAGAGGGCTGTCAAGAGAATCCAGGTCAGCTCAGTGTCGACTGGAGACGGAGGCTTGCTGTCGAGTGTCTTGTGATGTCTGAAGGGTTTTTCCCCCCCTGAATGTCTTCCTATACTCCTTCGCCCTGTATTCACCTTTTTATTCTTTCAATATTTTTTATTTTTATTTGACAAAATAACACGGAATGGCACATGAAGCAGGAATACTTGCAATAAAATAAATGAACAGGGACAAAGATGTGTATGTTTATTTATTTTATTGCTAATAAACTCTCAGTTCACTAGCACGTGTAATGTAAATGCATGTACAGATCACGTATCACTCCATCACTCGAAACGAGGCACATATAGTGTTTTCTTTTTCTGAATTGTATTTTGTTTTAGGTTACAATTTTACACGAGACGCTGGACTTCAGTCATGTTCAGTCAAAGTGCCGCTCCAAGGACAATCTGAAGCACTCGCCCAAAGGAGGCAATGTATGTACGCCTTTCTCTTCTCCTTCTCTTTTGCGCTCCTCTTCCTTCCTCTTTTACAGCCGGCGCTGTCTTAGCACTCTCTCGTGTTTGTATATTTCAATCGAGGCTCAGAGGGGTTTGTATCCAGAGTGCCGTCTATCCATGTTACTCCTCCGGGGAAAGTTCCCAACTTCCCCCGAGTGATGTTATCTTTGGGGCTTTTTAATGCCCCGCCCATCCAGCCGTGCCCTCAATGTTTGAAGTGTGCGTGACTTCCACTGTCCCCCTGTCATTCCCAGGTCATGATCCCAAGTGTCAAACTGGACTTCAGCCACGTTCAGGCCAAATGTGGCTCCCTGGACAAAATCCATTACGCAGCGGGCGGCGGAAATGTGAGTGACGCACACATTAAACATACACGATTAGGCATGAACTGCCTCTGCTTTGCACACCGTCAGGTATACGTGTGTTAACATGTGCCGCGGCCCAACAGGTCCAAATCCAGACCAAGAAGATCGACTTGAGCCACATCACCGCCAAATGTGGCTCCATGTCCAACATCCGTCACAGACCAGGTACGGCACTTCTTTAGCTTTTACGAAGAAAGCGTGTACATTGTGCCGTTTTAGATGACAATTTAGCCCCTGAGACAGCTCGAAAACCAAAGACTGAGTGTCCTTGCCGCGTGCTGTGGAGTGCACACTTGGGCTCTGGGCTCTGTGGAAGCCTGGAGGGCGAGCGATGCCCCCTGTGGGTTTGACGCTTTTCTTCTGCTCCTGTTCCCAGGCGGAGGTAATGTACAAATTGAGAACGTGAAGCTGGACTTTAAAGACAAGGCCGCCGCCAAGGTCGGCTCTCTGGGGAATACCAGCCACACTCCTGGAGGCGGGAATGTTATGGTAAAAGAAAATAAAGACGCACATGACACTCGAGTATTCTGTTCGTGTAGAAGTAAAGAATATTACCGCACCCAACAGATCGAGAGCCACAAGCTGTCCTTCCGGGAAACGGCCAAAGCCCGGGTGGATCACGGCGCGGAAATCGTCATCACGCACTCCCCCGGGGTGGAGACGGGGGGCACTTCCCCTCGCCTGTCCTCCTCCGGCAGCATCAACGTCCTGGATTCGCCCCAGCTGGCCACGCTGGCCCAGGACGTCACGGCGGCCCTGGCCAAGCAGGGCTTGTGAGCGTAGCAAACCCTCCAGGATTCCCATTCACTCATAAGCATCCAGTGTTTTCTCCCATGATCCCTCACTGCAACATGACCCCCATCCGCCCCCCCCCCCAGTTGTAGGTAATTGACTGTCCCGTCCATCCGCCACTCATCCGGCCCTTCCAGTGGGATTTTTCCAAACTCAAGGGTTCATTTCTCGTTCACCCGGTCCGAATGGGACACGGCCCCTCAGTGTTTGTATTTCATTTATTCTCGTTCACTCAAATATGGACTTTTCTTTCTTGTTGTAGATAGGCTGAACGCCAAGGTTTGAGTGGATGTGTTTGTCCAGCAAGGCTTTGAAGGTTTTTACGATTGTACTGTAATTGTTAGTGTGAGAAGCATCGTCACATTCCACTCGTATGAGGTAAAGCGGTATGGTCAGCTGTTGCATAATGCTCATGCAGAATTAATATGGTACTGAATGCAAGAAATAGACTTAACTTCCAGAAACATGGCTTGTAACTGTAATTGCGGAAGAATGGCTGAAAAGCATGTCTGCTCAGATGTGACGCGATTTCTTTGTTTGTTTGTGGGTTGTTTTAAATTTGTTCCTTGTGTTGTTTTCTTTTTATATCTGTCACAGTAGTGGAGGTTGTTGCAGTTATTTTGTATGTTCCCTGCAGCTACACTGGCTTATTAGCACTTCAATGTGAAACACCACTGCAGTTATGCAGAGTAAAGCGCTTAAAGGCTAAGCTTTCCCGCCGACTTTTTCGCAGACCAATGGGCTACTCTTTTTTTTGTTTGATTTTACATTAGCTCTGTGATTTTATTAGGCTTCAACAATGCTGTTATGCTGGCATGGCAAAAATAAATTAGATCTATTTGAAGCATTTTTTAAACCGGCACGCATTCTAGTGTTTCTACTTCAAGGTCAACTCCTCAGCCCCACCGAACTGCACCAAAAGTAGAAAAAATGAAGCTTTATGAGAAAACATTCCATTAGTAGAGCAGCTACCTGGCCCTTTAGTGCGATTGGACCAGTAACTTCACAGGAAATGAAAGCCGAAACGATGGAGAAATGAAGAATGGGAGTAACCGCCACCTTGCAACGGTTAGAATTCATTATAAAAAAAGAATAAAAAACAGAACTGTTCTAGCATATTCTCTGCTCACCATTGTGGAACTCCCCAAGCCCCCTTTCCCCTCCTCCCCTGGTGTTGGTTGCCCCTCCAGTGTTTTTCTGTGCATCCTATATCCCCCCCCCGCCCCCCCCCAGCTCCTCTTTGCCTGTGTAAGTGTATTTAAAAGACCATGTAGATGTGTGCACTCTTTCCGATGTTTGAGACATACTGATGACAAATGCTCCTACAGGATGATGAGAACAGTAATAAAGGAAATAAAAACAGATTTGCGCTGGTTTTTGTATGATTTATTTCCAGCGTATTTTAAAAAAAGCTTGCAAAAATATTGCCGGCGGTGTAAAATGTTCAATCTGTGATAAATGAAATGAAAAATGAATTGTCTCTCTAGATTCATTTATTTTGATGTGTGTTAGTCATGTTTATTTATCAAATGTGCTTTGAATCGTGTGTAATGTAATGACGTAAAACAGCGTCCCCTAGTGACGTGAACCAGAAACGTAAAACTGCGCCCTCTAGTGTCCGCTTTACGACTTTCAGGTGGCCACAATTTGGGATTTGTTACCATACACGGTGTTGCCTTAGGCGTGACTTATTTGTGCCTCAACACGTTAAATGAAGAGGAAACGATAACTATGTGTCTGTAAGCGAGGTTTGGAGGAACTGGTAGGCACGTTTTGTGACCTTTGGACGAAGTTCAACTGTTTTCCGGGTTCTATTTGCGCTAAACGGACTGTGTTCGTTAGCTTCAGGTTTAATTAGCATACTGACACGAGCGTTGTAGAAGCTAATGCTAATGAAGTTAACTATTATTATATATGTCGTTTTTGCCAAAAAAGGCATATTTGCTTTAAAAAAGTAGAGTATTTCACGTTAACTGCAATTTACAGGTACGTTTACATTAACTGAGGAATGGTATTTCCTTTTGTGCCACTAATTCTACTCCACTAACGTTATATTTTAAATTGGCCTTTTTTTTCTACCAGAACTAACTAACTAACGTTAGTATTGTTACTTTGAAAAGTAATATCTGATATTGAAAAAGAGACCCTGGAGTGGCCTCATACCTTGTTGACTGTCCGTCACACCTCGTCCACCCGTCATCAAGCAACCTGTTGATGTGCAGCTGAGGGATGACGCGTGCAACGCAGCTGCGGGCCTTTTGCGTGCTTTTTCCCCGAAAAAAAGTCAACCGCCGTGTCGTTTTTTAATTTTTTTTTAAAGACGCACAAAGCAGAAGGAAGGTTAAGAAGGAGAACATCTGGCGCAGCCGCACACTGCGTCTGCCGATAAATCAGCACCAGCATCAACTGCCGCTGTCCGACGAGGGAGGTGCTGAAATCCGAGCCCCCCCCCTCACCATCTCTCTCTCTCTCCCCCCCTCTCTCTCTCTCTCTCTCTCTCTATTGCCGCCGATCGACCGACCGACACTTGCAGCCATTTTACGCAGGACGAACCCGATCATGTCGTGAGCGGATCCCGCCGGTCACCTGGGCAGAGCCAGCCAGCCGCGCGCGCCCCGGCGCTCGCACACGGAGGGTGACAGGGGAGAGGGGGGGGGCCTTGGGGGGGGCGGGGGGCGGCAGGTAGGTCCGGCCAAAATGGTGAAAAGGAAAAGCCTGGACGATAACGAGCCGGAGTGCGGGAAAGGAATACCGTTCCCCATCCAGACCTTCCTGTGGAGGCAAACCAGGTGGGTGCGTGCGTCAGTGGGAATCGATAACAGGTGTTTTCCACGGCAGAAAAGGGGGAGGATCGCGGGTATGAGAGCAGCTGTGTCATCCCTAAAAAGACACCTGCGTTTATTTTTTTTTCTCCTGTTCAGCGCCAACATAAGATGCTTTGCCTTCTTGTAGTTCAACGTCCCTGAATGGATATGCGTGTGCACCGAGTGTGTCAGTTTGCTGGTGTCATTGAATGTTGTAAATGGGGGAGGGGGGTGAGTGTTAACTGTGAGCGGAGGCAGATGCAGAAGACATGATGTCACACACCTGTAAAGCAAATGCAGGAAGCGGGTCCAAAGAGAACAAGTGGCCTGTGGGGCAGCTGCTGTGAAATGCTGTTTGCTGTACAAACACGTCCTGTGGTGTATTTCATTAGAAAAACAGTTTGACACTGGATATTTTATGCCGTACCCTACATTTATCATTTTTAATATTTTATGTAAGCGTGTTTTTTGTGTTTCTCAGTGCATTTCTGCGTCCAAAGTTGGGAAAACAGTATGAAGCATCTTGTGTGGTGAGTTATTTCATAATACCATCTGTGGAGAAATAATCGCTCCATAATCTGTTTTTACCTTAATGCACCTGCACATCAAGGGGGCTCTTGACTTTTTTGCATTTAGCAAATTAATTTTCCCCCCTGCCTCCTCCCAAACTCGTTTCCATAATGACACCTCGCCGGATCCTTTTGGATCTAAGCAGAGCTGTCTCTCCCACGGGCATCTCCCTGCTCGGGGCCACAAGGGGCATTCAGACAGTCGAAGAAAGAGGCTTTAGTTCCCTGCTGATGTCGCTTTCTCTCCTTCCCTCCGGCTGCCTCTCCAGTCCTTTGAGCGGGTGCTGGTGGAGAATAAGCTCCACGGGCTGTCGCCGGCGCTGTCGGAGGCCATTCAGAGCATCTCCCGCTGGGAGCTGGTCCAGGCGGCCCTGCCTCATGTACTCCACTGCACCTCCATCCTGCTATCTAACAGGAACAGGCTGGGTGAGAACACGCAACACACACACACACACATGACCCCCGCTTTAGGGGACAGTCCGCCTACGGTTATGCTCATTCAACAAAACACAAAGCTGATGTTCCTTCAGCCAGAGGGCAGCTATAGAACCGCCTGAGTAAGTACATCACGTGTCTGGATTATCACAATCGGAAATAAAAGCACCGAAATACGCAGACAGTGTAGGACAGTGGTCCCCAACCTTTTTTACCTCACGGACCGTTTTCATGTCAGACAATATTTCGCGGACCGGTCGAGAAGGTCCGGCGGAATAACGGGGGGGGGTAGTTGTCGTTGCGGGCGGAGCTACCGACGGGGGGCGTGGGGGGGTTGTAAGTAGTCGCGCGCGCTGTGTTCGCTGGTGGGCGAAACTGCCGTGCACGCGCCGTGTTAGAGGACAATTGTAAACGTGAAGAAAAACGCCTGGTGACGCGTGGGGAATCTGTCAGAGGGACGAGCGCATATAATTAGTAGAAAAGCCGGGCAATTTTCAAAATAAAACATTTTTCAGAAAGAAAAAAAAATAATTCTTTCTGTGGTACGGCCCGGTACCAAATGGCCGACGGACCGGTAGCGGTCCGCGGCCCAGTGGTTTGGGACCACTGGTGTAGGACATTAAAATACACTGAGCATTAAAATGTACGGGTAAGATTAAGAGTTGGACCAGAGCACTAATAATGACATAATAAAAAAACATCAAGAAAGCTTGAACCGGGTAACTTTTTGCTTAAAAACAACTTATACGATCCATAATTCATCCGCCGCTCTGCATTATATTTGTTGCCTTCACAATGTCAGCAAGATATGTGACACAAGTAGATATCTACACCATCCCCAGAAGTCCCTCATGCGCTAAAACTCACCGCACGCTAGCCCTTCATGCCGGGGCTGTACTTTCTCTCACGCTGACGTCTGACCCCCGACAGGCCACCAGGACAAGCTGGGCGTAGCCGAGACCAAGCTGCTGCACACGCTGCACTGGATGCTGCTGGACGCCGCTCAGGAGTGCAACCACGAGCCCAGCTTGAGCCACGGCTGGTCGGGCGGCAGCAGCAGCAGCGCGTTCCTCCAGCCGGTTGGCAACCAGGGGTCGTCCCCGGGGGCTCCCGGCTCTGGCTCCGGATCCGCCCTGGGGGGGTCGGGCCCCCAGCATGGCGGCTCCCTGCCGGAGGAGGACGAGCATGCTCGCACCAAGCTGTTCCACAAGAGCATGGCCACGGTGGAGCTGTTTGTGTTCCTGTTCGCTCCGCTCATTCACCGGATAAAGGTCCGTAGCTGGAGATACCTTGAAATGGGCCGATAAACCGGATCAATTCCATCCATTGCAGCTGTACAATCCTATTAGTTTTTGTTGTAAAATAAATGACTTAATCAGTGAAACTGCATTTATTTGTAATCGTTGAAAGATATTTTGCAGCGGTTTCATTCAGCCTGTCCCTTATGAAACCCTGGCACACTCACACGCAATGCCACCCAGCGGCTATTGATTTGTGTGTACTCACTGATTCTCGTATAAGGGATCATATTATAATAGTAAGTGCACTTTAGAATACAAGGTGATTAAATCACCTTAAGCATATGAAGTCATAAAATGGGTTTCATCTCACCAGGTGCTCCTTACATTGATTACATGATGATTGGATGGTTGGGAGGAAGGGCTTAATTCCAAAAAATCCTCCTCTGCGAATGTGATTTCTGAATACGTCACTTTTTTTCCCAAGGAGTCGGACCTGACCTTTCGATTGGCCAGCGGCCTGGTGATATGGCAGCCGATGTGGGAGCACCGGCAGCCCGACATCCCCGCCTTCACCGCGCTCATCAAACCAGTCAGAAACATTGTAACAGGTTGGGATGAAAAGAGTCCTTTCTAGGGGCCGTAAACGTCCCGTGTAAGAGTTTAACCTGCTTTGTTTGTTCCTAATTAAGACGTGTAATCCGCTACGCCTGTCTCCGCAGCAAAGAGGAACTCCCCCGTCAACAACCAGTGCAGCCCCTGTGGATCCGGCAACCCGGGTCCCATGGTGAGTGAGCGCTTTAAGCCGATTCACTGTCCCATGTTGATGGAGCGCGTTCGGAAAGGACTCCGGGGCTTCTTCCCTTCCCAATTTCTAATGTCCCCCAGAGGCTGGCGGCTGGTATTCATTAGCACCAGTCATTCGCGAGCATTAGCGAGATTAGCCGGGGTCATGACAGCAGCCTCCTGTCCAACCCCGGAGCCTTTAATTATTAGGAACCGTTGGGTCTGTGTTTCCCGTTCATCCATCCATCTGCAGTATCTGTCCATCTCTCCCTCCCACCCACAGGGATTCCAGGTGGTTTGCGAAGCCGCCCAATCGGATTCCTCCTCCCCCGCAGCTGGAGAGAGGAGCTGTCGTCGTGGTAACTCGGTCGAGAAAGGTGGCCCTTCCCAACAACCCCCAGCAGTGAAAGGTCCTTCCAAGAAAAAGTGAGAACTGTTCATCAATTTGACCTTTTGGTCATGCGTGCATTATGGATTTCTTTGTCCCGGGCTTACGTTCAATATCCGGGTCAGCAGGAAGAGGAAGACATTTTTAAAACCATTGATAAAAAGGTGATAAAAAGACAATTCCCAATAACTCAAGTCAAGTTTACTCACATGTCCAGTCATCATTATCATAATCATCAATGATTTAATGGCCAACGCTGCATCCACAAAAGCTTCCATGAATGAATGATGTACGTGACGCGGCCTGCCGTGCGACGAGGCGGTGCGCTGACCCGCGCTGACACGCAACTGGTGCCATCGTCTTGTTGATGGCAAAACATTTACCCCCGTGGCGGCGTTTGTTGCACACGCGGCACAGCTCGCTCTGCTAGCTCGCAGGAGCTAGCGTACATGAATAGCTCCTCCTTTCCTCCTTAATCCGCACACACAGACTCAAAGAGGCCGGTCTTGCTTGAGTAATAGCACGCCCCTGTGACGTTTGTCCCCCCAACCGGGGTAATTAAGCAGAAGTAATGTGCTACATGTCTAATGCTGGCAGCGTGTCCGGCCTGGCATGACATAGCCTGGCTTCTTTCGGTCTGTACGCGGCCAGTCTGGCATCGTCCTGTTTTCACCGCCAGACGAAGGCTCAGTCCGCGCTCGCTTTAGCTCTGGCGAGGCAGGTTTAATCGGCAACAGGTAAATGACTATGCCAAGAATCTAGTTTTGGTTATACGGCGGATCTTTTGGATCTGAGTTTCTCTAAAAAAGAATCACAAGCAAAATCACTGCTTCAAATCTTTTGTTTACCAGAAATGTGCTCAAAGGTGCCTTGGGGATAAATTATTGAGTGTGAAAAAGCATGCAGAACAACCTATTGGACCTACTAGTCCTTATGTTACTACATAGATGAAAAAGTATGTATTATTCAGACATCAAATAGCTAAATCAAATGTGGGTGATCCATGATTTGAAAGTGTGTCCATAAGACACCAATTACTCTGTGCAGTCTTTAAATAAATACTCACACATTTCACACATCCACTGTGGGTGTTTTCTGTTTTTACGTCTCCCGTTTCTGCTTCGTCATAACCCTGAGAGAGAGGGATGTGGGAGAAAGAGAAGAGAGGTTGATAAGCCGTCCGTTGCTCATCTCAACTCATTCTGACAACCAAATAAGTCCCTCCAATGCTTCTCATGATCACTCTGACAGCCAGCAACTGACTGCAAATCAAGTGAGCCCCCCCCCCTCCCCGCCTCGTCCCCTGAGCTATGTTCTCATACACTCAAAAATCAAAGGGTTTTTCAAGCAGTCACATGGTACTGCAGCAAGGCTGAGATTTATCCCTATTGTTCCGTAGCACACACTCAACAGTGACTGATGAATTGCCTTCTCCAGGTCTTGGGCGTGGGAATTCAGAGAGGCTGCATGTGAAGCCCTGCGCAGGACGAGAACAAAGTTAAGAATGGGAGCCGGGTGTGAATTAGCTGCACATTAGGAGATAATTTAGACATTAGAAGGGATCTGTCTATAAGTTGGAATGTATTGCACGCTTTCATGTTGGATTGCTACTGTACGGAGAGGAGGGGCTGTGCAATCAATAGATTTTAACCCTGGGATCTAATCAAACTAGTCTAACACATCTCCCAGCTCAGAGGCAAGGCCAGAGTTTATATTCTCGTTTCATGCCGTTGTTCACACACCTCTGTGCCGCACTGCCCGGATAAAATCACCTCTGGTCCTGTGATTAATGCAGCTTACTCATCCGCTGCAACGGCTCCACTCACAGCGCGCTGCTGATGCTGTGGCAGTTTCCATGGCAACCCGCTGGCTCCTGCGTCTCTCCCAACGCATGCAGTCGCGAGGGTAGGATGGGGGGGGGTTGTACCCGCTGCCTGCCGTCACTTGGTCTCCTTGGCGACATGACACAACAGCAGCAGGCAGAGTGTATGCGTGTCGGCTAGACGGAGAAACACGATACAGCCTCCCTCTGCCGCCTGCTCTCAAAGTGATTCATGTAGATATCGACCATCTCCTCCTGCTCCATTTATTACAGCGGCGAAGATTAAATGCCCTCCTCTGTCTCTCTCTCTCCTCCTCTCATGGCATATCAATATGTTTCTGCAGCTCACCAACTGCTGACCTTCATGCCGGCTTATTTATAGTGGACTCACGTAGGCTTAGGCCCCCTTCTCTCCCCGACGATGCTAGAGGGGGGCTCTACCCTTGTTTACCATACTCCTTTGATGCATTAATGAAGCAATATGCCGGGAGATGATGACAGGCTAATATGAGAAGAAATGCCATGACCAGGGGTAATTGTTTTGTTCATCGTCGTGTGAAAGCGCTGGTAGGGTACGACTACTTCATGATCCCTGATTTCACTGGCATTTGTCAGATTTCTATAATGTCCTCGTCACTCCCTCTCACTTCTTTAAGGACATCAGCGCCCGCCGGCCTGCTGACCTCCATGGCCCAACGAGCACGCTACGCAACGTACTTCGATGTGGCGGTGCTGCGCTGCCTGCTGCAGCCGCACTGGACAGAGGAGGGCGTGCACTGGGCCCTGATGTTCTACCTGCAGCGCCTGAGGCAGATCCTGGAGGAGAGACCCGAGCGCACCTCCGAACCCTCGGTGACGCCTCTGCCGCGTCCCCGCAGCAGCTCCATGGTGGCGGCTACGCCGTCACTGGTCAACACCCACAAGACTCAGGTATTGGCAGGAAGACAAAGGAGGATTAATGTGGGGGAAAAGTCTTTGTTTAATAAGTACGTATCCTTATCTTTTTCTTTTGTCTGTATGACGGCAATGACAAAAACGCGTAGTCCTTCTGATATGCGCGCTGCGCTCCCCACGACGTCATCTGCTCTGCTGTGTTTTGCAGGACATGACTCTGAAATGCAACGAAGAGGGGAAGTCTCTGAGCACAGAGACGTTTACGAAGGTCTCTCTGACCAGCCTCCGTCGTCAGGCCGTCCCTGACCTCTCCTCCGACCTGGGCATGAGCATTTTCAAGAAGGTTAGAGTGTGGCGTCCAGACGTGAGAAAAAATATCTGCACGTCTGCATCAGTGTTTAAGGAATGAGAGGATTGTGTGCTTACTGGGAAAGCCTTAGTCCCCCCACCCCCCTTTGCTTTTATAGTTTAAGAACCGGCGTGACGACCGCGAGCGAAAGGGCTCCATCCCGTACCATCACGCGGGGAAGAAGCGCCAGCGGCGTATGGGCGTTCCCTTCCTGCTCCACGAGGACCACCTGGACGTCTCGCCCACCCGCAGCACCTTCTCCTTCGGTAGCTTCTCGGGCCTCGGGGATGACCGACGGGCTCTGGACCGCGGGGGCTGGCAGGCCACCATCATGGGTAGGCGGGGCGCCGCTGACAATCAGAATATATCGCATGCCACCAGCTCGCAGTCGTGCTTCCTCTCTCCTAAGCTCCCAGCTGGTGAGTCAGAGGATTCTGTTTGGATCCGGCTGTCGGTTAATGAATTGGGTCACTTCATTAACATTATGTGTGTCTTATTAGCTCTGCTCTTTTGAGGGGTGTCATTAAAACTAGCTCAAGGCATATAGACACTATTCAGAGTTCTGATGCTGTTATATGTCTATTTGGCTTAGCTGCTGCTTCAAATGAGCTCCATTCAGAGGATGACATTTTCTACACATATACAAATACTCACTACATGCAGGGAAACGCAATACTTTAAACTTTTTTCAACCTGATGTATCTGTCACTTTCCAGGCAAGTTCACACGGAGGGGCAGCACGGACACTGCTGCAGACGCCGATAGTCTGAGTGCCAAGCACTCTCATTCCCACCACTCTTTGCTCAGAGACATGCCCGACCACTCCAACAGCCACAGCGATAACACCGTCAGAGAGGGTGAGGACAAGAGCCGTGGCCTGTGGAATAGATCTTAATGCGAGATCGAGCCACATTTCCAAATAATGCCGTGTTCTACGCTACAAATATCCAGCAAATCAAAAGAATAATTGATGATTTGATTTTACACGGGCAAAGCTTTGAATACACAAATTGCTACAAAGATTAGAAATGATATTCATATTACTGTCTCATCGGCTGCAGTGAAGGCTAGACAATGCTGGCTCCACTGAGACCTGCAGAGAAGAAGTAGTCCAGTTACATAACAGTTATTCTGTGACAAAGCTAATTTACATATAGGAATAACTGCTGGCTTCCGGCTCTGCTCCACGCACGCCATTATGTTTACTGAGAACCAAAGATGATCATTCAAATATATAATTTGAGTATGAATTAAGGAACAATAAAACAATGCTGTAGTGTTGAAAATAGACAACATGAGAATTATTATTTATTATTCCACCCACGGTCACGGTTGCCACCGGCATGATAACATTCATCACGCTGTACCGTCCTCTCGAAGCCTCCTTTCTCGCCCGCAGTGCGATCTCAGATCTCCACCATCACCATGGCTGCATTCAACACCACGGTGGCGTCATTCAACGTCGGCTACGCCGACTTCTTCACGGAGCACATGAAGAAGCTGTGCAACCCCGTCACCGTCCCCGAGATGCCTGTGGAGCCGCTGGCCTGCGCCAACCTGCCACGCAGCTTCACCGACTCCTGCATCAACTACTCCTGTCTGGAGGAAGGGGAGAACATTGAGGGCACCAACAACTTTGTGCAGAAGAACGGCATGCTGGACCTCACTGTGAGTGTTCGTGGCCTCCATTAAAACCTACGGCCAATGGTTCCCTGTGGGTGAAGACATATATTGGATAGACATTGACTTGCTGTTGCTCTGCTTACAGACTTACTGAGTTCAATGCTTCACATTACTAGCCCACGGAAGCTTTTCAGTTTACTTTCTGCTCGTTTTCTGCCCTATGCTTTTTGCACCATTGGTTGGATAAAATAAGCAACTTCTTCTGGTGTCTCAGGCTGTGCTGCGGGCTCTCTACGCCGTCCTCAGCCACGACATCAGCTCCAGGATCTGCGATGTGGCTCTCAATATCATCGACTGCCTGCTGCAGTTGAGCGTGGTGCCCGACATGGGCAAGAAGCTGTGCAAGCCCGACAACAAGGAGAACCAGGAGGCCCGAGCCAAAGACACGGCCGGTCAGGGCCTCGGAGCGGGCGCCCAGGGAGGCGGGTCCCTCCCGGGGGCGGGTGGAGGGGGCGATGGTGGTGGTGGTGGTGGAGGAGGAGGAGGAGGAGGAGGAGGAGGGGGAAGTGGTGGAGGGAGTGGGCAAGGGAGCAAAGATGATGTGAAAAATAACAAGGATTACGATAAAAAGGTGTGTTCTTCCTGTATTCTCTCTAAAGTGGGTCCTAGTGGTCACACACTTGAATATCTAAATATATCTACACAAAGGTCCTACGCGTTGACGTTTGTGTTCTTCACTCCTTCGACACGGAAACAGGAAGAAGGCTCTGGCTTCAGCACCCACCGCCTGGCTCTCACCATGCTGATAAAAATAGTGAAGTCGCTGGGCTGTGCCTATGGCTGTGGCGAGGGACACCGCGGCTTGTCAGGGGATCGCCTCCGGATGCAGGTCAGACCTCTTTCCACAAAACCGCTTCTGACGTGCGAAGCAATCTACTGATTACTAACCTTATTGCTCCTTTGGTGTGGTAAAAGATTCATGAATCTAAAATGACTGACGTAAGGGAGCAGCTGCAGTTCTGTTTAAATGCTGATCATATTATGTTGTATTGTATTGGACATTTCTATCCAGACAGCAAACAAGGCCTTTTCATTTCTGCCCGACGTCGTCTTCTTCTAATGTTCAGATTCTTTCTTTCAGGCCCAGAACTGCCTGACCAGCCTTTATAAGCTGGACAAGGTGCAGTTTCGACAGACAATGCGCGAGTACGTCAACAAAGATTCTCTCAATAACATAGTGGACTTCCTGCATGCACTGCTGGGCTTCTGCATGGAGCCCATCACTGACAGTAAGTATGGTGGCGTGTGTGAGTGGGATCAGACGCAGATTGTGACACGGAAAGAAATATGCATATGAGGCCAAGCATAAGTGAAGGTGCATCGGGGTTTGATCGACATTGTTTTTGAATACCGACGGTTCAGGTTACAATTGACGCTGTAGACAGAAGTCGGTATTCTGTGCAGCGGTGCTGCAACAGGCTTTTTGTTTTTGTATAAATGATTAATCTGCCAGCCTCTGTGAGGCTAAATGCAAAAGTCTGAATGCTGACATGCAGTCACTAAGCTTACATGTTTTAACGATATAATTTCAGCATGTTCATCATCTTAGTGTCTTGTGTTAGCGTGCAAACATTTGCCGATTAGAACTGCGTTTATACCTGCATAACTTGAGGCAACCAGCTTTGTCTTTGTAGACATTTTAGCAAGCGGATTTATGTATTTATCTCAAGCCAGAAAACATTTTTAAATAGCATTTCAGCTGCTGTGCAGATGTTGACACTCAAGCAAACCACCTAATGTTTATTATACAATTACATTACATTTATTCTTTATTATTATTATTATTACTACATAGTGGTATAAAATAAAGAGTTAGTTAACACATTCTAACGTGGTTGAGGAAGCTGAATTGTAATGCAACCGTCTGCCCCCCCCCCCTGCACTTTGCATTCCACTTTGCACTGGTTTTTTATCTGTCTTCTGCCCTCCTCCTTCCACTCGTCTCTGCTTGTCCCTCATGTCGTTCTTCTCCTGCTCCCATCTTCCCTTTTTAAATCATCCCCCCCAACTGAACGCTACCTTGCCTTACTCAATCATCCATTCTGTACACTTGCCAATCCAAGGGTTTGCCCATTACATCTCTGCTCAATCGGGGGCTTTACTGCTGAACATTTTGTACATGTCAATTCAGTTTTGCACTGACATTTGAAATATTTTGTACACTATAAATACAGTGGTCCAGAGTCAATGGCAAGTTACTGAACCGATGAGTGTTTTACCTTTTCAAAGAGAGTAGGGCACCCTGTTTATTTTTTTGGTTTGTGTGTGTGTGTGTGTGTGTGTGTGTGTGTGTGTGTGTGTGTGTGTGTCTCTCGAGTTCGCCTCCTCCCAGAGGTGGGGTGTCACGTCCTTTCTGACACCGCAAACATGTCTGTGCTGGCCTGATGTCAATCAACCTGTGCCCCGCCTCTTTTCTCTTGCAGAGTACGGCAGTGCAGGGGAGAGGTCCAGGAGGGCGAAAAAAAGAAACATCGGTAGATACACATGATCAATAACCAATAACGATCAATAAGATGAATATACTCACCCGATCAGACCCTTCCCTCGGCACCGCTTCCATTGCTGCACCCCCCGCTCTCTCAGAAAGTCACAAAACTCGCCTGAAACCAAAAAAATGTGTATGATCAAATCTGGTATTTACAGTTGAAGTGGGCCAAGAGAAAAGGGCCACACGCTCTGTTTCAGCATGAATTCCTTATCCCCTACCCAGAATCCTTTTCAGTTTGCTACCCCCCCCCCCATATGCTTTATTTAACCCCTTCCCATCCCTGTTGACGGGCTCACTGGTTTATACTCAGCGTGTCGGCGTTCAATATTGTTCCCCCTGCGCGAATAAACGCCCCACTCCCCCCCCCTCCCCGTGTGATCCGTGGTCTCTCCCGCCTCCCTCTTGCTTCCAGACAAGGCAGGCTTCGGTAACAACTTCACCACGGGGGACAACAAGTCCGTGGCCCAGAACATGGAGGCGGTTGTGGTGGGCTGCATGTTCAAGTCTCTCATAACCCGCTGCGCGTCGACCACACACGAGCTGCACAGCCCCGAGAACCTGGTGAGCGAAAAAGTCATCCGTTCCATCTGCCTGCGTCACTTCCCCCCCGAGCCGTCTCTGTGGCTCTCCCTCGCCGCAGTACGTGCTTCACATGTTTGTCTTACTCTCGTTAGATTCACACACGCATCATATTTGCTCTGGCAGGACGCTGTAGTTGAATTATTAATGGCTCATTTTGTACTAACGACGATCACTTACGCCGCTCTTGGCAACGGCTCCTCGTACATGATCAATTGGACATGAGAGGTGCTTAATGTTGGGGCTTTTCCAAGTCCTTTTTGCAAATAGAGGAAGGAGTATACTCATTGAAAATACCATCAACTGAGCAGAAAACAGTGGATCTACATGTTTCTAACATCAACTTTTGTGTCTCGGCTGCAGATTGTCCTAAATTGTTTCTTCTAAGACAAAAAACAACCTTCCCGAGCTGTTACAGCGCAGCAATAAGGAACTGCGTTTTAATCGATAGTTTGTCGATAAAGACCCTGTCTTCGTATTCGTCTGAGCGTATGTGTAAGAGCACCGAGGTATCCCGAGTGCCTTGAAAGCCTCCAGGCTGCCGTGGCCGGTGCTCGTTGGCGGGAGATGACACACTTTTCAAGGCAGGCTCCATTATGGCACAAGATCAGGGGCCACCCACTCACAAGCTGGAGCTTTTGTTTTGACATACTCGAGAGCGCTCACATACAGTAGATCATCTATTTATGCATATATATGCATGTGTAAACATGCACACTGTTTGACTGCACAGTAATTTCAGCCTGACCGTCCATTTCCATTGGCGTTTTCTTGCTGATACACGTTTTGTTCTCCCTTCCTCTCACTTGCCTCCCTCTTCTTCTCCAGGGCCTGTACTGTGACATCCGCCAGCTGGTGCAGTTCATTAAGGAGGCCCATGGAAATGTGTTCCGCCGGGTGGCGCTGAGCGCCCTCCTGGACAGCGCCGAGAAGGTCACCACCACCAAGAAACCCGAGGAGAAGGAAGAGGCCAAGCAGCCGGGACCCAGGAGGTACTGGCCAATCAGCAGACAGGGAATGACCCCTGTGACACTGTTTCTGTCATTTGCTGATTGAATGTTGAAGTGTCCTTGAGCAGAGACCTCGGCCCCGGCCCCTTATTAAATGGCGACATAATATTTCCCATCCAATCACAGTGATTCGTCGTGTGTGGTCTTACTTTCTCTTTTTATGTGGAATCAGAGCTTCGCTTCTCATCACCGCTGGCTGTTCTTTTATTTTCTTTCTTCCTTTTTTTGCGTTGTGTCCGCATCTGTTTTCCTTGCAGAGTGAATGATTTGATGTTCCTATTGTCAAAGTGATTGGTGGAAAAGGTGCCCTTCCTATATTTCTGCTTCGTTATGTGACCAAGCATTAAAGACGACACCCTGGAATAATTGAAGACACAGGTTTAATGATAATATTGCAACTTTAGATGGCACCAAACAAGATTTGCATGATTTGAAGTGGGCAGCACCCAGTATTCTATTGTTTTATTTAACTTAACTGCAAAAAATAGAAAACAAAACCAGTCAAACCAGGCAGTATAAGCACAAATGTATATTTAAATATGCAGGAAAGTAAGTAATATTCAACTTAGATTTGGATTTTGAGGGTCTCTAGGGAGTTCTCTCTGCCGTCTGAACCGGGGAGCCTGAGTCTGTGTGTCCGGGTGTGTGTGTGTGTGTGTGTGTGTGTGTGCGCAGGTCAGAGGCGGGTGTGTCCGGGGAGAAGGGTCAGGTGTCCAGTGCTGCAGATGAGTGTCGCAGCTACATCTCCAGTAGACCCCCCCAGACCCCCGAACAGTGAGTGTCCACCTCGCTGCATCTCCATACAGCACCATCTGTGTCGGTCGCCATTTCTCTGCTCAAAATGGGAATCATTTGAATCTCTTCCCTGTGGCCCCCCCCCCCCCCCCTCACGCAAAACCAAAGGGTCTGACTGATATACGAGCTAGTGTGCATGCATGCAGTGCATGTTTTGATCCCAAACAATCAAATCCAACATGCCTTTCGCTCCCTCTCTGTGCCTCCAGTGACGAGCAGATCCCCGGCGCTCTGCTGGGCAGGAAGGACTTCTGGAGGAAGATGTTCAAGTCGCAGAGCGCCGCCAGCGACACCAGCAGCCAATCCGAGCAGGACACCTCCGAGTGCACCACCGCACACTCCGGCACCACCACGGACCGGCGCTCGCGCTCCAGATCCCGCCGCATCTCGCTTCGCAAGAAACTGAAGCTGCCGATAGGTCAGAGCTATTTGTCAGTTTGTCCCGCAACGGGCTTTTTGACAGTGAGCGTTAAAGAGTTTCCTTGAAGACTTTTAGAATATTTTTAAATAATGTCAAATCTTTTTTGAAAGTGTTAAATGTGTGAGTTCCCCTCAGTATTTTACCCCTTAATGGAACTTGAGCCTCAAAGTCAAAGAAGTGACGTGAACACAAACCCTCTCGTGTTGGTAGTTAGTCAAAGATAGCCTACTTTTCTTATTTGCATTGTGCATGCTGACCAGACTGGAGCATATTGACTGATATTTCAGTGTCAACTAACGTATTTATTCCCATGATCACACATCATCGCATTCGCTCCCCCAAGCATTTACATGCTGTGTTTTGTGTGCCAACATTACTTGCCGTGAGGCCAAGTCCCTTCATCTCTTTGTTCGGTTTGTTTGTTGTTTCCTTCTTGTGCCTCAGCGTGCCGTGGGACTGTTCGCCTCCCGCTCACTCTCTCTGTCTTACGTATGTGGATGTGGCGCCATCTTCATACCCTATTTCTGTTTCATGTCTACCCGTGTACGGTGTCACTGGCCCGGGTCAAGTTGTATTTGCAAAAATGCGTCATGTGTTGCTGTACAAATGCAAACACTCTGCAGCCAACGGCACTGCGAACCTGAGGCAAGAGCGCTTGTTCATGCCAAGTGAAAGCTAGTAGGTGAGACTTAGCTAAAGCTTAAAATGGGTAAATGTAAATATGTACCTGAACTGGCTTAGCAGGGACGCAGTAAGCGGGGTAGTTATTGTTAAAAATGTAATCCACACGATTTATTTGTGCAGTTGCAGATCAATTTGTCACTTTGGTTTTCACGTAAATATTATAGACTTCAGATTGTCAAATAGAAATATGACATTTGTTCTCTATCAACTCTGAATTCTGTATAATCACAATAAAGTTTATTGTGTGACACAAATAGCTTCTGTTGATGCTGCTGGCTCCAATATGAAAAAGATATTGAGCGAATTGAAGAGTATCTGGAAATGCCACTTGACCAAGGTCTTCCGTTTAATGTGTCTTATAAAAAGCACCTTTTTGTATCATTTTTGAATGAACCTCAGTGTGTAAATCAATGAGGGAACGCTTTCCCCTCCTCCTCCCTCTCCCCGAACCTTGTGAGTGTGTGCATGTCCGCTCGCCCTCGTAACCCTGCGTGTGTGATGCGTTACACATTTTGATATTCGGCCGTGACGTTTTTGCTGTACTCTCATTTCTCCAGGCAACTGGTTGAAGCGTTCTTCCCTTTCTGGACTGACCGACGGTGTTGAGGACCTGCTGGACATCAGCTCGGTGGATCGTCTCTCCTTCATACGTCAGAGTTCAAAGGTCAGAGGGGGGGGGGGGGGGTTGTTGACAGCCACTACCACACTTATTATTTATTGAACGGGGAAAAAAAAGCTTGGAAACAGCGTGGAGACGTTTATTTTGAAGGGTGGAATAACGGAATCAAAACAGATCCTTGTCTGTTCGCAGGTGAAGTTCACCAGCGCGGTGAAGCTGCTGGAGGGCGGCGCGGTGGGGCCGGAGTTCGCCAGGGACGAGGAGGAGAATTTCTTCAAGCGGCTCGGTAAATGGAGGTCTGGCAGGCGGAATCCATCCAAGCTTCACCACACAGAAGAGAAAGATGGTAGACCTCCCCCACCCCGGGGTGCCCCTTGCCCACCCTTGCGCCCCACCGTCCTGTCTATTCCCCCCTCTCTCTCTCTCTTCACGTCCCTGGCTCCGTTTTGTCCGTGTGGTGTCGTGCCTTGCCTCGCAAAGTCGTGGTCTTTTCTCTTCTGCCAGTTTCTCCGTCCGCCATTCTCCCTGTCGGCCAAGCTGCCTCCCCCCCGCTCCCCCGTCCTCTGTTATGCTCCATATGTTACTTTCAACCAATCAGTGGCTAGTTTGCAAAGATACGCTTTGACTGATTGGCTTAAATGTGTCATGTTACCCGACGTCCCTTCCTTGCACGTCCTGTCCCTCCTCCTTCTCCCGCTCCCTGGTGGACAGAGAGGAACGGAGGTGTGGGATCAACTTGTATGTCTATGAAACCATCTTTCTACCGTCGAGCATATCTCTGTGCTACTGTGTCAGGCATGCCGCTGTCAGTGCTCTTCTCCGTCTCTTCTGTGGTGACGTCTGGTGGTATCTTCCAACGCTGGAGTTTAAGTAAAGTGATTAAAAATCCGAATGGTCCACAGGCGGCTTCCCTCCGCACGGCCTTGGCTACACTTGTCATTTCAGCGCAATTTATTAGATTTATTGAAAAATATATTATAGAAGAGACCTGGAGGTGGCCTTTTATTCACATCTATATAGTCTCTGCATAGTTGTTTTCGTGTGTCTGAGATGACATCCAAGTGCAACCACTGTCGCTGCTTGTGTGTCCATCTCTCACTCAGCTTCATGTGTTGGTGGCTCTTCAGTGCTTTATTGTCAAATGTCCTGGATGGTGATGTTGCTTCATGCAATGTCAAGAAATGATATTCGGTGCAGTCTTACCCCCAAATGTGCTTTTTGAAAAGAAATAAACCTCTTCACTGTTATATCCTCCTCTCCGCTCTCCTGTCTTCTCTTTTGTTCACATATTCCTCCAGGACCTCACGGCTTTCAAGAGCGTCTGGCGGCCAGCCAGGAGGCCATGAAGAACAAGAACGTAGTGAATCTGGGCGCCATTCGACAGGGCATGAAGCGCTTCCAGTTCCTGCTGAACTGCTGCGAGCCGGGGACCATACCGGACGCCTCCATCCTCGCCGCTGCTCTGGACCTGGTATGTCCGAGAACACGTGTGTTCCCCTTCGGTTTTCCTGACCGAAAACGTCATTTGCCATTAAAATCCCTCATCTGCGTTCTGCTCCATCCAGGAAGCTCCTGTCGTGGCCCGGGCCTCCCTCTTCCTCGAATGCGCCCGGTTTGTGCACCGCTGTAACCGTGGCAACTGGCCGGAGTGGATGAAGGGCCACCACGTAAACATTACCAAGAGAGGCCTCTCGCGGGGTCGATCACCTGTTGTGGGCAACAAAAGAAACCAGAAGCTCCAGTGGAACGCCGCCAAACATTTCTGCCAGTGGGGAGATGTGAGTTAAAGATTTCTGCCATCAGTTATCAATATCTATGTATCTATCTATATATATATATATGTGAGGGTGTCTCTGCGTTTGTTAAACCGCTCAGGCCATCGGCACGAGGCTCAGTGAACTGTGTCACTCTGACAGCGAGAGCCCTGCAAACATCCTGGGTTACATCTTTGATGAGGAGACCAAACGGAGGATGAGAAAAGAAGACGAGGAAGAGGACTATCTGGATGACAGTGAGTCAGAGGAGAGTTTAATGCTTCAACAGTAAAATATTCTTTTTAGTTTCCGCAAAACTTCATCTGTCATAAAATAGTGTTTAGCGTTGACATGAGACAGGCGAGCAGACCTCAACTGAGCTGTACCTCTAACCACATTTCCTTATTTTTAAGACACAGTCAATCCTACAAAATGTGGCTGCCCCTTCGCTCTGAAGATGGCTGCCTGCCAGCTGTTGTTGGAAATCACCACTTTCCTGCGGGAGACCTTTCCCTGCCTACCACGCCCACGCACCGAACCACTGGTGGTCAGTAGTACAATCAGAAACATCCTTAATAAACAAGACGAATAATTGTACCGTGGAATTAAGAGATTCTGTGTGGAAATCTGTTCATTTTGACAGTAGATAAAGTTACAACTACGAATTCAAAGTAAATAATAACAAAAAAAAGGGTTTTAATCATGCACACGCTTTAAATCCCGCCGCAGGATCTTGAAAGCTGCCGCCTGCGGCTGGACCCGGATCTCGGCCGCCAGCGCTACGAGAGGAAGATCAGCTTTGCGGGAATCCTCGACGACGAGGACGGCCACGACTCGCTCAACAGCAGCAGCCACACGCTGAAGTCCGACACCGTCTGCGACGAGAAGAAGCAGCCGGAAGTTCAAGGTGAGATCCGGTGTCCCACAAGCGAGGCCCTTTTCGCTGCGTTTACCGCCCCCCGTCAGCTTATCGTTGAAAATAATTTAGACAATCTCGCTCCGCTGCCCTCCCCTCCAGCGCCGAGCCGGAAGATTCGCATCGGGGGCTCCCGGCTGCTCCAGATCAAAGGCGCTCGCAGCTTCCGCATAAAGAAAGGCGGCTCCCTGTCCTCCATACGCCGGGCCGGGAGCCTCAAGAGCACCAAGATACCGCGGCAGGACTCCGGGTCGGAGAACGACGAGGGGCTGCTGTCGCAAACGCACAGCAGGGATACCGTCACCGACATCGGTAAGACACGGTCCAGATGGGTCCGGGCGGCATCACTCGTTTCATATAAAGCTGTATTATTTTCAAATGTTCTTCTTCTCTGTGCTTCCTGTACTGCAGGCAGTCCCTTCAGCACCAGTGAACCCAGCATAGAGCCGGAGGGTCAGGGCTCTGGGGGAGCAGAGGACAACTACCACCGCAACATGTCCTGGCTCCACGTACGGGCCCTTCAACGTGTGCATGAGTGCACGTGGCGTCTCCCTTCCTTCTGATCACTGACTCCCCCTCTCCTCCCCTCCCCCGACTCTCTCGGCACAGATTATGATCCTGCTGTGCAACCAGCAGAGCTTCATCTGCACCCACGTGGACTTCTGCCACCCTCGCTGTTACCAGCACCACAGCCGCTCCTGCGCCCGTCTGGTGCGCGCCATCAAGCTCGTGTATGGCGAGACAGTGGACAGCCTGAGAGAGGAGAGCGCCTCCTCCGGTTTTATTGGGGCGCGTGCCAAGAAGAGCAAAGAGGTGGGCTTCACAGAAGGTCCGTGCTGTTTGTTTCTCCTGTTTTTGTGGCGGTTGATGAGCCAGTCTGTGCCTTCAGTGTTCAGACAAGTCTTGCCTGAGGACCCCGTCTATGAAGAGGAGACCCACGGACTCCAACACGGAGGGGAAGAAGGACACCGGCATGCTCAAGTACATCCGCAACCAGGTGCAATATCCTTTCAGATTTCATCATTCAGAAGAAGTAATGACAATAATGGTGACGAATGAGGTACACGTTACCAAACCGCTGTTGGTCAGATTGCCTTTTGTTTGGTGGCTGGTGTTTCTCTCAGGTGATGAGCCTGTCGCCGGCGCCGCTTTCGCTGCTGATCAAGGCGGCTCCCATCTTGACCGACGACATGTACGGAGACATCCAGCCAGCGGCCTGGGAGCTCCTGCTCAGTGTGGATGAACACATGGCGGCCGCGGCAGGTGAGTCGGCCTGTGGGCGCCGCATTCCTTACTTTGTATGTTGTCGCGCCCTTCAAACTGAATTAATGTCCAAGGTTTTAAATTGTTAAAGCTAATATGAGGTACTGTATTTAATGAGGAGTAACCTGGCTTTACTCTCATTTCGCCCTAGATATTCAGAAGCTTTTTAGCAATTTATTTCCTCTTTCCATCCCTTTCCTACTCTTTGACCTGTCTTGCTCTCTTTGCTCCCTTCTTTTCATTCCTTCCTCTCCTCACTCCTCCTCCCCCGTTCCCACTCTCCAAATCCCCCTCCAGCTGCCATGTTCCTCCTGTGTGCTGTCAAGGTCCCCGACGCGGTGACCGAAATGATGATGGCAGAGTTCCAGCACCAGGAGGCCTGCCAGCGCATCAACTCCGTCCTGAAGTTTTACACACTGTGGCGTTTTCGCTACCAGGTGTGGCCTCGCATGGAAGAAGGAGCCCAGCAGATCTTTAAGGTACAAATAATAACGCTGTCTTGTATATATTTATTACCCGTCTTTGTCAACTTGTCCAATAAGGTTCGTAAGTGGTTCTTAATATCTATGCTTGCAATTTCCCTGACATAGTGCTATGGTTTTATTTGACCCATTCGTTGCTTTATTTATCTGTTTCAGATCCCTCCCCCCAGCATCAACTTCACTCTGCCATCTCCTATACTCGGCATGCCTTGTGTTCCCATATTTGACCCTCCTTGGGTGCCCCAGAATACAGGCAGCGTCCGGGACCCGATCAATGAAGACCAGTCCGTAAGTCTGAGCCCCTGATCAAGTTTATTTACAATAGACAGTAGTATTAATTCCGTTAAATATGTAATGGATACTTTTGAGGAAAATTATTCTGATTTTCAAATGCACCTGTGAATGTGACAAAGTTAGGTTAGGTTCCTTTATATTCAATGTACATTCAAAGGTCAGTTTACCCAAAACACACATTTTCCCTCATATATCTGGTCATGCAGATTGCCTTCATTTCATATCCACCTTCTGAGATATCCAGATTCTGAGTATTGGGGCCACTGTGACACGTCCCCATAGTTTTTAGCCATGCTAGATTTTGTTTAATGTTTTTATGGATTTAAACAATTTACACCCATAGTTTGCAGAAGATGAACCCTATTGACTCAACGTTGAGATTGAGATTTGTGATTATAGATGAAACGTTTCTCTAACTATTGGAATGTGAAAAACTACTGACTTTCGCATCAGTCTTCACACAGACTCTTTATTTTAAATATTCAGATTCCGTGTACTGCTATTTACAATAAACCAATCCCTTTGTATTGGGCTGAGGGAACAGACAGATATGTCAAATTGTGGTCAAACTAAATCAAAGTACGGTTAGATACAACTGAGAGTAAATGTGTGTTTTTTTCATTAGGTGAGCTGACCCTTTCAGTGACATAACCCAACAACTTAGAAAAAGCAGATGCAACACACTCTAGACCGCTTTTACACATTTGTTATTGTTATGCAAGTGTAATGTGAACAACTGCACCAAGAAATCTGCTAATTCAAGAACATATGTAATACATTCAAAAGGACATTTAAGTAGAAAAATGGATTTCTTGGTGTTTCCTTTTTACTTTCTTGTCTTTTTTTGTTAAAAAGCATGAAAATCAAAATATGTTTATACATTTTGATAAAGACCTGCGAGCACCTGTCCTATAATTTATCTATCGACTGTCTTTGTTTTTAGTTCTCCACATTAATTCAGTCAGTCCATGCCATAGTAAGTTGGTATTTCTGTCCGGATGTTTGTGCTGATGCATCTTGTTACCTTAGGTCATTACTGACAGGAGGGAAGATTTTCTCCATTGAGTGTTTTTAGCCCTTCGGGAGCTGTAGGTTTTCATCATGGTTCAGTTTCATGGCTCATTTCCGATAGATGCATCTTGAGCAGTTTTACACACCACACTCAAAAAAGTGTTCTAGCTCTTGGTCTGATAGTAAGAAAAAATAAATAACAGCATGCATCGGACTTACAGACATTTTGTTTGTGTTGTGCTGTTGATGCATGGTCATTGGATGAGAATGACTTTGCTGTGTATGTTTTCCATATCATGCGTTCAGCCTATTTGGATATGTGTGTGTACGAGCACTTGTGCGAATGCAGTGAGGCATTTACTGTACACAAAATACAGTAAATTCTCAAAATTCCAGTCTGACTACCTTTATTTGTGTCACATTTTGTTGTGAAATTTTCCGATCCAATAACTCAACAGTTGTTGATGATGCTCGGATGGCATTAGAGCATGAGATCAATGTGCTGGAGGAGAGTTACTGTATTAGTGTGTTGTCCGGTCATTTAACATTACCAAATGCTCCTGAGATTAAACCCTGTGCCGAGAATAGCTCTGCACACACCATCCCTAAAGAAACCAGTTAAACTTCAAATCTTGTACTAATCACTCCCTCATTCTGAACTTTCCGTATGTCTGCACCCGCTGCTTCGCCTCCGTGCCGTTTGATCCGACGCATGCCCCCCCCCTACCCCCTCTTCCCCCCTGCCCTCTTTTGCAGAAATCCTTCTCGGCGCGGGCGGTGTCGCGCTCCCACCAGCGGGCTGAGCACATCCTGAAGAACCTGCAGCAGGAGGAGGAGAAGCGCCGCCTGGGGCGCGAGGCTAGCATCATCACGGCCATCCCCGTGGCCCAGGAGGCCTGCTACGAGCCCACGTGCAGCCCCCCGCCCGAGCAGGAGGAGGAAGGTGGGGGCGTAGACCACGCAGAAATGGAGAGGTTTCATTGGGAGTTGGTCGGCGGCTGGGCCCTGATAGCTTGTTGTTGTTGTTTTTTTCCTGTTTTCCGTGGCCGGTTGCGTCGCGCGTTGATCCCGCCAGCAGAAGAAGTGGTGAACCTGGCTTCGCGCCGTCTGTCCGTCAGCCCCTCCTGCGCCTCTAGCAACTCCCACAGGAACTATTCTTTCCGTCGGGGTTCCGTGTGGTCGGTCCGCTCGCTGGCCAGCGCCGAAGGTACGAGTGTGCTTTGATCGAGCCCTTTCGGTTTGCTCATTTAAAAAAATTCGATTTTTATTTTTTTGGGGTCCTTTTCTTTTGTTTTCTTTGAAGATGAAGAGAACACAACGGAACACACTCCTACACACCACATGTTACAGCCTCCCCAAGCCGTTTTCCCAGCATGCATCTGTGCCGCAGTCCTACCAATCGTGCACCTGATGGAGGACGGGGAGGTCCGAGAGGATGGTGTGGCCGGTAGGTGTTATTGTCTTTAGATTCAGTTAAAATAGGAAAAAAATCTATTGAGCGATCAGACCCATTAAGAAAATACATCATTTGTTTCTAGATTATTCTGCATTATGTCATCATTGATTGTCAGGCACTGTTTGACATGTATATCTCCAAATATGAGGCCTGATCATACCAACCATTTTTCAGTGAGTGCTGTTGCCCAACAAATCCTGTGGAACTGCCTAATTGAAGATCCGGCCCTGGTTCTCCGCCACTTCCTGGAAAAGCTAACAGTGAGCAATCGACAGGTGGGTAAAGATCCGGAGAAACAAACTCATCCGCAGATCTGATAAACAGAACCCGGAGAGGCTATTCTTTACAGTCAACGAGGATAAGTGCACAATCTCGGAACAAAGGCTCGAAACGGGAAATGTAAAATGAATCTATCATTTGTGTTGTTGTGGCAGGATGAGCTGATGTTCATGTTAAGGAAGCTGCTGCTCAACATCGGAGATCTGCCGGCTCAGACCTCTCATATCCTCTTCAACTATCTGGTGAAACGATAGATCATACATTTTCTTTTATCTTTGTTTGTTAGCATCAAAAATCTCAGTTAACCGTGAAATCTGCCGATTGCGCCTCCCCTGCTAGGTGGGACTGATCATGTATTTTGTGCGGACCCCGTGTGAGTGGGGAATGGACGCCATCTCTGCCACGTTGACCTTCCTGTGGGAGGTGGTCGGCTATGTGGAGGGGCTCTTCTTCAAAGACCTCAAGCAGACCATGAAGAAGGAGCAGTGTGAAGTCAAGCTGCTGGTCACTGCATCCATGCCAGGTGAACTTTTTGATACGTTAATTAATTTAAGATCCCACTTAGACCTTGCAGAGAATTTTTTAATTTGATTCTGAGAATAATATGTCAAATATATTTGAATATCTTCTTCTGCATTTTGGGTGCAGGAACCAAGACGCTGGTGGTGCATGGGCAGAACGAATGTGATATCCCAACACAGCTTCCAGTCCATGAAGACACTCAGTTTGAAGCCCTACTCAAGGTAAGGTGCCTGAAGATAAAGTACCACTGCAGCAATGTACAGTAACCGTGCATGCAAGAGCTTACTAAGTTAAAGAACAAAAGTATTAGTAAAATGTACTTCGCTTTTCCTAAGTTTTTATTGTTGAAGCAGTTTTCTTTTCTCCCCTCAAATCAGGAGTGCCTGGAATTTTTCAACATTCCTGAGGCCAGATCGGCACACTACTTCCTCATGGACAAACGATGGAACCTCATCCATTATAGCAAGGTACTGTAGATACAAACGCATATTACTACGTGAAACAGGTGCATCCCGATATACAAAGGAGGAGCACGGCTGGAATATTTTAATATTTTTTGTCTCTTCTCCAATACAATATTGCTTCTCACCTCCTCCAGACATACGTGAGAGACATCTACCCCTTCCGGAGATCAGTTTCTCCGCAGCTTAACCTGGTCCACATGCTGCCTGAGAAAGGACAGGAGCTGATCCAGAAACAGGTGTGAACAAATGCTCCACTTTGTGAAATGATTCTGCATTAAATCAACACCAAATAGAAGTAAAGCAGAAAGATGGTAAAAACATGTTAAACTTTTTTCCCATCTGTGTTCTTCTTCCAGGTGTTTTCCCGTAAACTAGAGGAAGTTGGACGTGTCCTCTTCCTCATCTCCCTCACTCAAAACATGCCGGCCGTGCACAAGCAGTCCCACGTCTCCCTGCTGCAGGAAGACCTCCTCCGCCTGCCGTCCTTCCCGCGGACCGCCATCGACGCCGAGTTCTCGCTGGCCACCGAGCCTCAAGGTTACACCGTAACTGCGTCATCCGGCGCGTGAATAAAAATCTCCTTCGGGTTGTACACTTTTTGAAACACCGTCTCCCCCTCCTCGCCTCTCCCCAGGCAAGGAGCTGTTTGGGCTGGACACCCTCCACAAGGTGCTGTGGATCAAGCTGCTGGAGGAGATGTTCCTGGGCATGCCCAGCGAGTACCCGTGGGGCGACGAGATGATGCTGTTCCTCAACGTCTTCAACGGGGCGCTGCTGCTGCACCCTGAGGACAGCGCCCTCCTCAGGCAGTACACCGCCACCGCCATCAACACCGCTGTGCACTTCAACCACCTCTTCTCCTTGAGCGGCTACCAGTGGATCCTGCCGACCATGCTGCAGGTGAGGAGACACGTGTACTGGTTCAATCGCGGTTGATGAAGACGTATTTAATAAAAGACAGCGCTTGTATAACTTGCATAGTCCACACACCCAAACCCTCCCCCCACAACAAATACATTTAAATACGTTCTCCTGGCCACATTTCTCACCATTGTATGATACCGCCCTAAAAATGTGTCATCCTGTGTGCTTACGACAGGTCTACGCCGACTACGAGAGCAACCCTTTACTGAGGCGCGGCATCGAGTTCTGCTGCCGGCAGTTCTACATCCTCCACCGCAAACCCTTTGTCCTGCAGCTGTTTGCCAGCGTGGCTCCACTGCTGGAATTCACAGTGAGACTAGACACACACACCGTGTATATTCCAATCAATTGGATACTTAATAAACGCGCTGCTTTCTGTCTTTACTTGCGGTTCTAGACCAGCACCAGTACCGGTCTTTCTAAAGGAGTGTCCGCTCAGTGTCTGTTTGACCTGCTGATCTCTCTGGAGGGGGAGACCAAGGACGCTCTGGACGCTCTGGAGCTTGTTAAGGCTGAGAAGCCTCTACGCTCTTTAGGTGAACTGTCACTAGTACATACACGTTGTGGCATTTTATCCAAACGAAGCCTTCATCATTGTCCTGCTAACACAAACGAGAAGACAAATGGAGCGCTGTGTTATTTGTTGCAGATTTTTGCTATGGGAATGAGGACCTGGCCTTCTCTGTCAGTGACTCCATCAAGCTGTGTGTCACCGTGGCTGCCTACGCCCCAGAATCCTTTAGGAGGTATAGAAACACATTAAAGAGGCGTCAAGGATTCCCCCTCCCATCTTGTATCTTCGTTTTTTCTGTCCACTAACAGTCTGTCCGGATCTCTCCAGTCTGCAGATGCTGATGGTGCTGGAGGCCTTGGTCCCGTGCCACCTCCAGAAGCTGAAGATCAACACGGTTACGATGGAGTCGGCCTCAGCTGCCAGGGATGAGATTGCAGCCATTGCTGCCTTGGCCACATCCCTGCAGGCCCTCCTCTACAGCTCGGAGTCCCTCACAAGGTCCGACCCCCCCCCCCATGCAACAAATAAAATAACGTCTGTTTTACTTGCTCACAACGCTCATGCCTTTATCCACAGGCCCATGACAGCCCCCCAGATGTCCCGCTCTGACCAGGGCCATAAAGGAGGCACTGCAGCTAACCACGCCATGTCGGGAGGGGTCAACACCCGGTCAGGACTTTGAATAAATCAACCTTGTCAATGTCAATGTCAATTTTTATTTATATGGCACTTTTGAAGGCCAATGGCCAGCCAAAGTGCTTTACAGGATAAAAATAATCAGCAGCAATAAACAATACGAGCAAAAGTAAAACAACAAACAAGTAAAAACTGTAAAACAGTAAAAGGCAAACAAATAAAAGATCCATTACAGGTGACTTAACTCAGCCAAAGGCCAAGTGGGTCTTAAGGCGTGTTTTAAAAGTAGAAAGGCTCGTCGCAGACCGCACAGAAACCAGCAAAGCATTCCACAGTGTGGGGGCCGCTACTGCGACGGCTCGATCTCCTTTCGTTTTAAGGAACGACCGAGGAATGTTCAGAAGCAACTGGTCAGCTGACCTCACGGCTCTGGAGGGTTGATGTACATTAATAAGGCTGGATAAATATTCTGGGACCAGGATTCTTGTGACTGGCCCTGGTAGTCGGTTAGGGTACAACACTGACCTGCCCTTTGCGTGCATGTGCTCAGGGACAACCTGCACCTGCTGGAGGAAGGCCAGGGGATGCCGAGGGAGGAGCTGGATGAGCGCATCGCCAGGGAAGAGTTCCGGCGGCCCAGGGAATCGCTGTTGAACATTTGCACCGAGTTTTACAAACATTGCGGCCCGCGACTCAAAATCCTGCAGAACGTGGCCGGGGAGCCGCGGGTCACGGCACTGGAGCTGCTGGACATCAAGTCCCACATGAGGTGATGAGGTTTGCTGAAAGAATCCAGACGTAGTGATACAAGTTTGTATGTTGTTTTCCTAGAAGTTGCTCGATTGAGGGGTGTGACTCACTCGTGTGGATTTTAGAACTAAGCTGGGCCTGATGTTGCAGCAGGATTTTATATTCCTTTACTTCAATGCAATTTTACATGATTTCTGGCTGCATTTGTCATTCCTTAGGTCATTCCTTCTATTGTGTGGCTACATATCACTGCTGAGGTACACTGTGTGTTTCCCAGGCTGGCGGAGATCGCCCACGCCCTGCTGAAATTGGCCCCCTACGACACCCTGACCATGGAGAGCCGCGGGCTGCGGCGCTACATCATGGAGATGCTGCCCATCACCGACTGGTCGTCCGAGGCCGTCCGCCCCGCCCTCATCCTCATCCTCAAGAGGCTGGACCGCATGTTCAACAAGATCCACAAGATGCCTACGCTCAGGTGCGCTCGCCCACAGGCATTATGCACCAGGTCTGTTGAACACCCCTCTTCTCTCTCCGTGTGTATCGTGCTGTGCCGGTACCGTGGTGTGTACACTAGATAGACGGCTTCTTGGCACTGTTCTCTGTAACGCTGCCTTGGCGGGTGCTGTACCGTAAGTGCTGCTTTTGCGTGTTTCCATGCTGGTACTTGTGGGCGTGAGAGGAGTTCGATGCATTCCTGGGTGCGTGAGGAGGGAAGAGAATGGATCACTGGGTGTGTGTCCCCTCTAAGCCAGAGAAGGGTCTTGTGTCATGGGTGATGATGCAGATTTTTTTTATTAGACTAACCGATGTGTCTGCTGTGGAAATAATCACGCCCGTTCTTCTGGGTGGTATGTAACAAACCAACAACAGTTTAATCTGTGTGGATTCTTGTTGCAACGTATAGCAACAATGTCACAGCAGACGTATTGATTGGGAAATTTTCACAGATTTCCACATAATCTTACTAATAATTACTTAATAATATTCAATCCTGTATTATATATAATCATTAATAATAATGGTAATAAACCGTATTTGTACCGCAGGTTACATACATTAAAAGCAGCTGAAATTGCAGCGTTTTGCAGAAACTAAGAATGTAAACACCGGACTGAAAAAAGTTATTCCAAGAATATAGCTACTATTCTTTATGCTACTTCTTCATCACTTTTCACATTTTAATGCTTTAAATAACACAAAAGTATAAAAGGTGGGACGAAGAAAAGGCTGTAAAATGTTCACACCACGGTTTGGCAAAAACAAAAACACCTGCCCGTCTGCGTCCTCATTCATGACATCAGAACGAGCCCCGCTGGCTCAGAGGGAGCAGCGGTCCCAGATGTGTGCTCCACACCTGGATCTGTCTCACTGTTCAGCTGGCTATGTCTGTGGGCTTTGCACTATTTGTTGTCAGTATGTTCTTCAGCAGTCATTAGGGTGATGATTATAAGGAGGGAAATGTTAACAGAGTGGTAAGTGTTTTAATGTTAATGCTCCTTTTCTCTGTTTCACATTTGATTTTATGCCACATTCGAGTCATTTCAAATGACCGCAACATCTCAAATTGATCCCACGTGACCTGAATGTGGCATTTGTGCTTTTGTCTATGGTTAAATTCATAAAAAATATGCTTTATTCGGGTGCGGGGTGGTGTTGTATGGGTGGGTGTTCTCCAGGAGACAGGTGGAGTGGGAGGCGGCCAGCAGCCTGATCGAGGGGATCTGCCTGACCCTGCAGCGACAGCCAATCATCTCCTTCCTCCCACACCTTCGCTCGCTGATCAACGTCTGCGTCAACCTGGTACGGGAAACACTCAGAGGCGACCGCGCACAGATCCTACCACATCCAGGTCTGAGCGGCGCCGTTTCTTCCTGTGTTGCCAGGTGATGGGTGTGGTCGGTCCCTCCAGCGTGGCCGACGGGCTCCCTCTCCTCCACCTGAGCCCCTACCTCTCGCCCCCGCTGCCCTTCAGCACAGCAGTGGTGCGCCTGGTCGCCCTGCAGATCCAGGTGGGCGTCGGTCCAACCAGTCCGGCTCCTCCATTGGACGCCGACACATCGGCAGCACAAATGTTTTACGTTATTATGGTTTTTTTTGTCATCCCAGGCATTGAAGGAGGACTTTCCTCTCAGCCATGTGATCTCGCCCTTCACCAATCAGGAGAGGCGGGAGGGGATGCTGCTCAACCTGCTCATTCCCTTTGTGCTCACTGTGGGCTCTGGAAGCAAAGGTAAGAGCTCAATTTGTTTGCGTTACTGCTCTCCTGGTGGCACAGAACGAAGAAGACAAGGACACGTGAATGTCCATCCGTCTCCCCCTCGCAGACAGCCCCCACCTGGAGCAGCCGGAGATCTTCCTGCTCCTGCAGACGGTCATCAACATCCTGCTGCCTCCCCGGATCATCTCCACCTCCCGCACAAAGAACTTCATGCTGGACGCCTCCCCGGCTCACTGCTCCACCCCGGGCGACACGGGGAAGGATCTGCGCAGGGAGGGACTGGCGGAGTCCACCAGCCAGGCCGCGTATCTGGGTAAGAATCAAGAAGGCGGCGGCATTTTCTTTGTTTGTTTCGGGCCCCCTTCTCACCCCATCCCTCTGCAGCTCTGAAGGTGGTGTTGGTCTGCTTCGAGCGCTCGCTGGGAAACCAGTGGTACCGGCTCAGCTTGCAGGTGAAAGAGATGGCGCTGAGGAAAGTGGGCGGCTTGGCCTTCTGGGACTTCATTGACTTCATCGTCCGAACCCGCATCCCTATCTTCGTGCTGCTGAGGCCCTTCATACAGTGCAAGGTTACATCCGTCCCTCTGATTGTGCGTGCCCTTTCGCACTGCTTGCCCTCTTCCTCACCGGTCCGCGTGCGCTTGTCTCCCCCTCAGCTGTTGACGCAGCCCGCCGACTCCCAGGAGGAGATCACGGCCCGTCATCACATCGCCGACCAGCTGGAGCGCCGATTCATCCCGCGGCCCCTCTGCAAGAGCTCCCTGTTTGCAGAGTTCAACAACGAGCTGAAGATACTCAAGGAGGCCGTGCACAGCGGCTCTGGTGAGACGCCGCAGCATCAACTGACATTTCTTGAATTCCTTTTGCTGAAAACAGTACATTGATCCCCTGATTTCTTGCCTTGGTTCCCCCCCCCCCCCCCCACTCCTGTCCAACAGCTTACCAGGGAAAGACGTCCATCAGCACGGTGGGCACCTCCACGTCGGCGTATCGCCTCAGTTTGGCCACAATGTCGCGCTCCAACACCGGCACCGGCACCGTGTGGGAGCAGGAGAGCCAGCCATCGCGCCAACCCTCCCAAGACACACTCAGCCGCACGGACGAGGACGACGAAGAGAGTCAGAAACGTTCCCCGCTTCTTCCTAATGACATCCGCCAGGGGCGGCGGGGAGGATATTTGAACTCACCGCGTCCGTCCTTTCTCCCTTCCAGATGACTCTATGAGCATCCCCAGCGTGGTGAGCGAGCACGAGGCCTTCCTGCCCCGGATGATGGCGCAGCGCCGGTTCTCCAGCCACGCCACCGGCTCCGTGGCCTCGCAGCCCGAGGTGCCGCGCGCCACCATGCTGCCCAGCCATAGGTAACCCGTAGCGACGCGTTATTGATGAGTTGCATATCGAAAAAGGATCAACCAGTCATAACCCACAGCCACAGCCATTCTTTCTGTGTATATCTCTGTTGATTTATGATGTTTCTGTTCAACAGTCTCAGAATGTGAAGTAGCTCAGCCTCTGTATCTCGGTAAGGCCGCTGTGGTCAGAGCTCCGACTTCCCACCACGCTGTCCGGCCTCAGGGCGACGGGTGGTAACGGATCTCCACTGCACTCCTTAAACTCCCACTCTCCCCTCCCCCATCTCTCCTCCGCCCTCCCTTTTTACAGTGAACCCAATGTGCTAGATGAGTCCCAGGGCCTTCTGCAGGAGGGTAACCTCTCTAGGTACAGTGGCCCTCTCTCCGTGTCTGTCCCGTCCTTACATCTGTCCGTCCAGTGGGAGGGGCATCGCCTCAGGACGGCCGCCTCTAGTGGCTGCCTCGCCGTTGATCACTCATCTTCATCATCCAATCAAATCGCCTTGGCCCGCCACACCTATCCCCCGCCCACTTACCTGTCTCTATCTCTCTCTGTGTGGGTCCGGTGTGCCTAGTCTCCGCCTCCCTCCTCGCCCCCCCTCTCCCTCCTTACTTCCCCTTGAGCACCAAACTGACCCTCATCTTCTCGACTCATCTCCTGCGCCATGTTAACCAGGCCCCCTATCAACTGAAGAGGCCCCCCCCCCCGCCCCGGGGGCCAGGGAGCTCGGCGTCTCTTCCCCCAGTGTTATCTGTGGGTCTTTACAGTCGATGTGCCATCAGTGAAGTCAGCCTCCGTCCCATCGGTGCCGTGGTGTTTCATGCTGTCTACGTGTCTGTCGGGCTTCCCGCTGATCACATTGGGTGTCCCACTGCGGAAACCAATCTGTAGGGGCAAGAGGGAACTGGGGTGGCAACTATGATATAAGGACACTTTTGTTTTCTTTGTCTGGTTTTGTCGAATTTTGCAAACCCGCAATCTGACCAATCCCGATTTAACAGTGTCTCACTTTAGGAGAAGGGGGAATTTGAAATGTGTGAGCGTTGCTACTCCAGCCCCTACTATCCCTTGTTGTGTTGTCGCCGTATCAGTCATGCCAGCACTGTGATTGGCTGTCCTGTGACTAGTTGTGTTGTGTAGTGAGTGAGCGGGTAGAGGAGCGGCAACATCTTATCGTGGTCAAAGAAAACAAGCTCAGCTGGGATGCGCTGGCCTTTTTTGTTCTCTTCACATGGATGTATTTTTGTGTCTTGTGTCTTGTGTGTGTGTGTGTGTGTGTGTGTGTGTGTGTGCATGTGTGTGTGCATGTGTCTGATTGATTGTAACAGGGTTGCCAGTGTGCAGAGTGAACCGGGCCCGCAGAACCTTCTGCTCCAGCCTCCTTTAGGAAGAAAGAGAGGCCTCAGACAGGTGTGCTCATTTACTGTTTTATTTTGAAGGACATGGTACAAAGCACATGGGCAGTGCTGAAGGAGAGGAGGAAAAAACTGGAGATGTGCTTGATGGAATTATTATTCTGTGCATATTCAACGTAGTGGGGAACAATGATCATAGACCCTAAAGCGGCGAGATTTAAGGAAACAAGTCACCACATATAAAACCTAATCCAATTGAGTCCTTAAATTAAAACCCCAAAAAAGGGTTTCAATTTGAATCAACTTGTGAATGTCTTTTCTTTATCAACAAATGGACAAATACGCCAGATGTGTGGAGAGCATTTCGATGCATTTGCGACATGGCTAATTTCTAAAAGGTTCTAATGGTGGGTGTCATCCTGCAGCTACGTCGCCCCCTGCTGTCCATTCCAAAGAATGAACCCCGCGGCCGATCCGGAGCGAGGATCTCCACCACGCGCAGGGGCATCCAGCCCAAGAACAAACCACTGGGTAAAAGCACACGTACCTCCGTGTGTGTGTGTGTGTGTGTGTGTGCGTGTGTGCGAGGATTTGTGAATGAGCGAGTCACTGGAAACAGCCAGATCTTCCCTGCACTTCAGATCAACACACAAGAAGCCAAATGTTAAATTCTGTTGAAGCATAAATATCCCACCCGAATGTGATGTTTAAGGTCGGTGTGCCCCGTCCTTCCCCTTCACAAACCTCCGTCTTTGTTCCAATGCTGTTTGTCTGTCCCACCTGTCACCAGACTGACTCTTCTCACTCTGTTCTGTCTCATGCCTTATGTTTCGAAAAAAAGAAACGTTGTTGGACTGTGAAGGTGAGACACAACCCTTAACCCTCGCTCTCCACCCTGCAACGGCCCGCCCCCCTTCTTTTAATCGTGCAACCCCGCCCCAGCGGGGCGCTCTGCATGTCTGTCTTGCATCCCCTCCCAGTCCTCGCCTACCCTTCCCGCTTCATCTCTGCCTCCACTCTGTTGGGGGGTGTCATGATGTGTTAGCGAGTCGCGAGCCGGCGCTGTTGCTGCCGTTTTTTGACGCGTGCGCCTGTGTGCCCACAGCGCACGCCGACCAAAAGCGATCCGTCACCTTCACGGAGAACCAAGGCCAGGGGACCGCCGGCACGACGGAGCCAGCAGCTGAGGCCAGGAAGGCCAGTCCGGCCCTCTCCAAGTCCCCGACCCTGGAAGCGGCCTCCGTCTCCTCGGCGACGGTGACGGCCGACCTGCACGGCCCCGCTGAGACGCAGGTAGGACGGGCAGATAGAGGACTGGAGCGAGGGGGGCGAAGGGGGGGGGTTGATATGCAAAAAACACAAAGTTCTATTCTCCCCAGGTTGCTCCCGCCGTAAGCAGCAAGGAGAGGCGAGAGCAGTGGGGCCTCCGCAGCAGCCTCTCCCCCCCGCACTCCATCTCCCGCCCCTCCACCCCGACACACCCGTCCCGGACCTGCTCCCCGCTGCCCCTCTCCCGGACCTGCTCCCCTCTCGCCTTGTCCCGCACCTCCTCTCCTCTGCCCCCGCCGCTGCCGGTGCTGGGCACGGCGCCGGCGCCCGGCCCCCCGCCTCCTCCGCCTCTGCCGCCGGCACCTCTCCTGCCTCCGCCGCCGCCGGGGGCCCCCCGCATCCGAGAGAGCCCCGGTGACGAGGACACGGCGGCGCTGCTGCCGCGCGGCGACACCCTGCTGCAGCTGAGCGAGGACGGCGGCACGGAGAACCCCCTCCTCAGGCCGCTGCTGTCCCACCCCTCGCCCCGCCGCCGCCCCCTGCCCTTCTCCCCGGTCGACCTGGACCTGGACGAGTCGCACGTCTGAGGGTACTGTAGTTTGCCATGAAGACGCCACAGGGAGGCGGGCGCTGCAGGCGCATGCGAGCAAGCGGCGTAGTGAAGCAGGGGACGCGCAGGGAAGTGAGACCCTTCCTCAGTGTGTCGGTGAGCCAGCGACTGGTTTTCTATCGCGTCTGTAGCCCGAATGAAAAAAAAGAGAGAACCATTCTTTGTTTTGCCCCAAAACAGAACTGCCCTCCCCTCGTCGTAGTTGTTTGGCTTTGACACCCCCCTCACTCTCCGCCTCTTTAGGACGGTAATTAATCCCTTACGCCTTGAATATCAGCATAATCGTCCTGTGTGTGTTCTCTTGGCTACACGGCCTGCAGGTTGAATGTATGTTTTAGCAGCACTCTACTTGCTCGACTCCTTCGTCATAGCAACGGGGGGTCATGCCCCAAGATGGAAGGTTCATTTTTAAATTTTATCCTGGATTAGTACTCAATTCAGAAGTTCAGAGAGGTTTAAGAATGGATGTTTAACAAATCAATGCTTCTAATACTGTATTTGAATGTCTATATTGCAGAAATCTATATGAATTGATAAAAGGAGATATTATATCTTGTAAAAAGTCTTGCAAAGTCTATAAAGGAGGGCAATTCAGGACATGTATAAACAGCGAAAGTATCTATAAGAGACTTTTAAAGCGGTGAGGCTTTATATTATATGAAGGAAATATACAGTAAATATTTAAAACAGCCTATTTATTTTAAACATTTATCTAATGAGAAATGTTTTTTTACTCTTCTGGAAAGCGTCCATTGAGCAAAGTCCTGTTTCATAACGTCAACCATAATTTCCTTTAACTCTTCTTCACACGTGTGTCGTGACGCTCGCCGTCTCAATAGGATATTTTATTAGGGAACAAAGACGGTACCTTTGTGTTTGTCAGCTTCAAATATCATCTCCGACGAGAGAAGAGTTGTGCTGATGGGACAGTGCAGGTTGTGTGTTGTTTGTGTGCGTCTGTGGCTCACCACAGTGTTACCTGGTTGCTTATTCCACGCCTTAACACAGAACTATTTACATGTCTGTTTATTGTGTCTGCTGAAACCCTCGTACCTCGTAAGTGTCCACTTTTAATGAGATCATGTAGTTTTTGGACATGTGGTGATATCCAATAATAATAATCTTAATATGTATTTGAAACATTCTGATCTCACGCTGCTTGACTCCTGTCGTCACTAAAAAAAACAATAGTGTAATGATAATCACATGAATATGTGCCATAAGTCACGTCAACGCACACTGTGTTGTTGTTTTTTGACGTCAGTGCCGTGAAAATGTCGCATTTGTCATTACATAGAGATTGTGAAATGTATTTTTTGCAGTGGGAATAGAGAGAAAATAATGCAGCCTCATCAGGGGTGTCTTAATGCAGTTTACTCAACAAATATTTAAAGTGTATTCTTAATAAAAATGCAATTAATAATAATTTAAGATGCAGAAATTCAACATATTGATAAAGGAAATGAAGCGAGATAATGTGTGTGTTATGCATTCTTGTCCCGTCCTCTGTATCCGTGTCAACCTAAGCAATGATCTGTTCATTAATTTTAAACAATGTAAGACATTTCTATCTCAAATCCATAAAAAAGGTACAAAGTACAAAGATGCATAAGCGTTTTTTGTCAGAGGGCCTTTGAACTGTTGAATCTGAGTTCCCTTTAAATGTAATGCGTCCGTCAAATTATGTCCTCTTTGTGTTAGAACTATATATCAGAATATTTCTGGAATATCCAAATAAATGAATATTGTTTACAATTTATTTCAGCGTTCTGTATGTTTCCTACCGTCGAGCGGGCAGTGAAAGTTCATGCTAACATTGTGAATTAGAACGGTTGAAGGCATTTATAGCTCTGCTAGATAAGCAATAATTAAAAATAATAATTAATGAGTAATTAATGAGACTGGGGGGCTGGACACAGATGATAGATATTCAAGTCACGGTATAATATTCCCAATAATATCACGTATCATGTGATATGTTATACGTGTTCCTGTTTAATAATTTAATGGAGGAAAGAAAAAAATCTCCCTTCAAACTATTAAATAGCAAATGGCCAGATTGAAGCGCTATCGTTACATTATACAGGGAGGTATTTCCCCGATGCGCCCCTCGTGCGGTAATGACGTCACTATTTAGCTCAGGTTGACGGGTCGCCCCGATGACGCGTCCAACATGGCCGACAACCACCTGCGCTGTAACTTCCGCTCCCCGACTGCTCGTGCAGCTGCTGACGGATGGAGGACCGGATGGAGAAAAGGAGACTGACGGCTGACGAGTAATGATGTCAATCCGATTCATAAGAGGTGACATTAGACATTTGTGTTTGGAACATGCCGTTTTATTCAGCTTTGGTTGTAGTTACTCGATTGTTATTAACTTACAGATGTTAAGCAATTAACAAGTGCCACCAAAATGAGGATATGGCGGCAGACCACTTGTCATGTCCTATACGTTCACATGTGGTGCTAATTTCCTGTTACATTATTTAATTACCAACTGATTTGGTAAGTTAATTAGTTGTATTTTTCCATTCATTTGCAATTAAAACGCTTGACCAATATGTTGCTTGTAGGGCAACTGTATGCAGTGTGGTTCATATGGTTTATAACAGAATATTTAATAAATTAAACAAGCCATACATGTGTAGCCTGATTAAAAGGATGAGACAGGACACGAAGATACATTTATTTTTCTTTAATGTGGGTCCGTTATTTCCGACTGCACTACTGGAGCACCGCCTTAATGTGCCAAATTAAGAAGGCAGCGTACAACAAATAAACAATTGCGTTTCTTTACCAAACTAGAACAGCATGACGTAGAACAGAGCTAAACAAAGAACATCCATGCTGTTCAACACATTTTACCGTTATTTTCTCATAACAAACTCACTGGATTCATACAGTGCACGTGTAACGTTAGCTTACGCGTGCGCTGTACCAACCCCCCTTCAACAGTTAACACACATCTTAACTTACACGGTGGTTCAGCTTTATTAATTAATGACTTCTTACGCTAACCTGTAGAACAACTAGTTATCTCGAGCAGCCTTGATGCTAAAAGCTAAAATGCTCTGAGCCGTTAGCAGCCGCCAACTCCCGCGCTGTAACTCCAAATCACACGTGGACTCGGACTCACCCTAATTTGAAGCAGCATCTGTCACTTCCCCAACCTTGCATGTAGAGTGTAGACCAACAGTATGAAAACCTCCCTGCCCCCACTTCACCCAGCCAGACATGTTTTAACTCATTTGAAGTTGGCGTTTCTATCCATCCTTAAAGAGATGCATTTCCTTGTGTTGGACACTGGGGGGCGTCCTCTATCTATCACTTGGGATGATGTGTGGGGATGACGTATTTATTGGGTTAAAAAATGTAAACTGAATCATGGGGATACAGCGCATGATGCAACATTTTGCATGTGTAATGTATATTATGTCTGTGGTCTAAAGTGAGATGATCTTATAGTATCTAGTTCTAGCAATTCATTAATATCAAAAAAAAAACTTATTGTTGAGTTTAACAGATTGTTTATTTAACATGATTTATCCATCCATCCATCCACCTGCAAACCGCTTATCCACACAGGGAGTCTACCCCAGCCAACTTCGGGCAAAAGACAGGGTGGTAGAGTGGTCGCCAGCCAATCGCAGGACATACAACCATTCACACTCACGGGCAATTTAGCATCACCAATTGATCCCAACATGATCCCCAGTGCACATCTTTGGACTGTGGGAGGAAGCCAGAGTACTCAGAGAGAACCCACACAGACACCATGCAGACAGGCCACTGGGCGGAGTCGAACCCAGGACCTTCCTGCTGTGAGGCGACAGTGCTAACCACCACGCCACCCCCTAACATGATTTACGTGATCAGTCATAATATTGTTTGCCATAAAATGTACAAATGTAGTTTGCGAATGTACTTTGACAACTTGCTGTATTTGTTGTAGTATTCATATAAGTTTGTGAATTTGATGCATTTTCTAATGTTGTGTTTCTCTTCTTTTCTCTCCACACGAGGCGCAGTTTCCAGCGCTGAGGACAACAGGTTTCTTCTTCTGCTCTGCAGTTACTCTGAGATGTAACTTTGACAGTGGGGAAAGCCCGGACGTCTCTGCTGTACCGCGGCGATGCACACTGATGTCCTCATTGCGGTGGGATTCGAACCCGGGCTGACACCACCACCCAACAGCGTGACCACGCCACCATGTCATTCCCCCTATAACATCTCTTTGTTGCCTTTGACTTCTTCTGACTGAGCTATTTGTTCACACCGCCTTTATGCAGCTCTGATAAAACAGATAACAGATAAAACAAATAAACCTCTGAAATAAACAAAATTTCAAGAATCTTCTGAAGAAGGAGACATTGTTCTGCAATTTATATATTAAACATTAAAAAAATGGTCCACAACATGAATCATCTTGAGCTCTGGTGGAATTAAAACAGCACTGCAACCTTCTGAGCCACCGTTGGGCTTCGATCCTTTCAGCTCCTCATCTGGGTGAGCTAATCCCTGAAGGACAAACTTGCCTATTTCTTCTGGCATTTGTTCTTCACTCTGCTGAGGAGGAACCTCAGAGGATCCTCCTACAACGCATACAACTTGTGAAATAAACAACAGCAATTCATAGAAGTAGTGAAATCAACTACGGAACGGATGTGGCTTCCAGCCTGTGAGTCTATGAGAGTATTGAGGTTCGTCTCATCGACTTGACAAAGTCCAGCGGCGTGGGTGTGCGGTGGAACAGTGCAGGGAGATAACCGGAAGGTTGAGGTGTGGATGGTCCACGGTTCAAACGTCCCAGAGCTTGAAGTGTTTTTGAGGTTTTAGTCAGCAATCCCAAGGTCTAATAGGAGAAACAGAGAGATTATGAAGCGTGTGGCTGAATAGCACAAGGGAACAACCGAAGGGCTGCAGGCTCCAACCTGCTGTCTGAGGTTGTTGGTTCAAGCCCCTTTGAGCGGACGTTCCATGAAAGAGTTTTTCCGGTTTAGCTCGTAATCTCTAGGTCAAATACAAGAAATGAAGTCTTTGATACGAGAAACGAAGAGTTGTTTAGTGAGTGGCGAGGTAGCTCAGCTGAAGAGCTGCTGTCTCAAACCTATGCCTGCACCTATAGGTTGGTGGTTCAAGCCCAGATGTGGGCCATAGGCTAGAGTTTTGAGGTTTAACTCACATTCTCACGGTTAAATAGGAGAAATAAAGTTCCTCAAGTGTGAGCAGGACTGGTGGCGTAGTGGTGCAGGGGCCAAAACCTCTGTAAGTGCTAGTGGGTTCAAATCCCACCACTGCCAGGTCTTGAGTGCGCTACCATGGAGGTAGTAGTGGGGGCTTTGTCCCCACTGGTTGTTTCAGAGAAGTGAACCGAGGGGGTTATGCAAAAACCGAAGATGAGTTTAGGTGGAATTGTCAAGAATCTTTTGGATGATCAAGTTCAAGTTCCTTAATTGTTAATCAGCTTTGCTGTGCATATTGCAGCGCTTTTGCCATTGCATTATACTATGCATGATTCGACCTTGAAGTCCTCTGATCCTCGCCCAAAACCTCCTGTCTTTCCTCTGTGAACCAACAAAGACAACAAATGTCAGCTTCAACGTCCATCTTACATATTTGGACTTTTTTGAGGTGAGAGGGTTACTTCCTGTGTAACAGCATCTGTGGACAAACTGAATAAGACCAAGTCTGGGACAGGACATAGATTTGTTTACCCTTTTTAGTGCATCCACCAATTCTCTCAAGATGTGTTCACTTTTTAGGGGGTTAAACCTGAACCGCCGCCATATTGTAATTAGGATCTGGTTGTAAAGTTTAGAGATCAGTCCCAAAGTGAAGGGTGCGTAAACCAATGCAGGAAGAAAGCTTGAACAGCATGATTGATCCTCCAAGATGCACCATTCCGTCTCAGGGGCATGAACCCATTATGATATTGTATGAATGTTAGTTGCCAAATAATAAAGATTTAGGAAGAGCCGGGCCACCCGTGTCACGGCAATCCCCTCAACAAAAGCAAATAATATGAAGAAAACATTGAGCCATTCCATACATTCTTGTTCATTATCTTTCTTATGAATGAAATTAAATGCGTCCTTTAGTGAGCAAGGATTGATGGTCGGCGATCTACTGGCACTGCTTTGCGATCGATCATTGGCCTCCCTGGCTTAAAATAACCATATCAATCGAAGGAAAGGAGGAAAAAGGGACTTTAGCATGATAGATGCTGGTGAGAAAAGACGTCGACCCCCACATCCGCAGCAGAGATGTTCCCTCAGCAGGCGTGTGGAGCGCCTTCTTCTTCTTCCCAGATGTCGTCCAATGAAGCTGCGCACAACTGTTGACGACATAGAAGCAGTCAAGTGAAACACATTGATCAATAGTAGATCTCAAGGTGTCAGAGAGAAAACCAGAGAGAAAATCAAGACCTTCCGATTGGCTTGTGAATCTGATTAAATGATCTAGGTCGACAGAAAGTTCCCTCTGAGTGACACGTTGAGGGGGTCCGCTAACAACCCGTGGGGAAATGATTCTGTAACTACGGACCATTTACATCCAACGTAAAAATAAACAAATCGGCTTGTGAATCTGATTTGAAGATTACTCACAAATGACTTTTTTTCCGGTATTCTATCATAGGATTTTCTTTTTCCGACAAACCAAATCAAGACATTCTCCTTTTTTACACATAGAAAGTCTGAATGTCTGCTATTATTAGCTTGAAACTGCTGACCTTTTCCCTTCAAATCGAATCCGAAGTGAGAAGGACATTAGCTCCTGATGACATTTTAAAGGGATTTCATTGCAAACAATGCATGTGCTTTTGCTACTTTGTGTAAAAGGGGAGTTTCTGGGTTTGATAAAACGTGGTGTCATTTCGTAACCAGAGAGGTGGCTTAAATGTTAGCTGAATGTGACACAGCATTCCACGTCTTAACTTGCTTCTTCGCAGCCTTCGTTGAACGTGCTTTTAGAAGTGGATCCTGGCTCGACCGCAGTCACGTGGTCGTCTGCTGCGCATGCGCCATCGGGTCATGCATCTGCGTCGTTGCATCGACGCACTCGTTTCAATTCATGGTTCTAAAAGCGTCCTTGCGTGTGTTGCAGAGCAATTCACCGCCAGAACAACAGGTGGAGTAACGTGTTTTTGTCGAAGTCGACCTAGAGAGTCACGTCTTTGTGTGTGGAAGTTGTTGGTTGGTTTATTTATTTATCATAGACTTTATTGCCCCGTGCATCTCCACTGTTCCTTTTCATCGCGGACACATTTGTCCCGAATTTTCCTCCACAACTTTGTTCACCCCTCGACCGGCAAACCGACGTTTGTGGAGATCTCCCTCCATGAATCATATTTACGCATTTCTTCCAACAAAAGTTCTTAAATCTGATCCGTTCTCTCGTAAACACTCTGTTTTAATAATGGCGGTATTGGGCTATGAAAGCGGAAATGTGAGACTCCGTAAAGGACGTAGTTAGCAGACCAATCGCAGCCCGTCTTGCGTAGCTTTTGATGCTAGTCTAGAAAATGGGTCGACGCACGCAAGGAGGTGTGAAAAGGCGCGCAAGAGACGCGCAAGGGGCTCCTGCGTCTGCGCGTCCTTGCGTCTCTCTGAAAACGCAGAAGCATAAACTAGGCTTATGAATCATTTTAACCAATTGCTTTGTTGTGATTAGTCTCAAGTTGTATGTAGCCGGGTGAAGTGGGGGCAGGGAGGTTTACCTACGTGATGCAAATGTACACCCATGGGCAGAACTACCTACCCCTTCTCCAGAACTCGGGTAGAGCACAACGGGATCTCACCCGACCACAACAAAACGTCTTTGACAGGCCAAACACACGGCTTCTCTCTCTGCTTTCTCTTCTTTTCTGCAGCAACCAGGCTGGTTTATATAGTCCACCAGCTCGTTAGCCGATTAGTCTCCAGGTCTTCAGTGGCCACGCCTCCTCGCCAACAGCCAACCAGCACCGCACACCTGTGAATCGAGAAAATGGGCACTCTCCCCCACTCACACAGTTAAAGGGGCAGAACAAAACATGGGGACATGTAACACGCGCCCCCCAAATAGAGTAAACCCGTGGGATTACGACATGGTCTGTAAGTTACTTTTCCAGTGGTCCCAACAAAGTTCAAAAAGTAATCGAACACAAAAAGATCACAGGCCTTTCCATTTAAACACGAGACAGAGCATCAGCGACCCCATTTTCTGATCCCTTTATGTGTCATATCTCTAAATTATATCTTTGTATAACGGCCAACGCATGAGTCGTTGGTTGTGGTTGTAGATGCGGCCTAAAAAAAACTAAAGGATTGTGGTCAGTACCACAACAGGCAACACACTGGAGTGTGTGTCAGTGTGTTGAGGAAAGACCAACTCGAAAGCCCCACAAAACTTCACACAATGAACTATTTTGGATAAAATGTGGCTGTTTTTATCCACGCCCTGGTTGTGTGTCCTCACCGCGGTCCTGTGTGCGTCGCAGCTGGGCAGCGATGTTAATTTTAGCACAGTCACGTCATGTGGACCGGCACGGTTAGCACGTAGCTAACTAGCTAGCTAATCCTCCCGGCGTAGAAGTCTCTACAGAAGCCTCGGCTTCCCTGTCACACGTTGTCTGATCGTGAGGTCCGGCTGATCCGGGTCCAGCTTAACACAATAGCCCATTGTTTTGAAACAACTGATGCTTGTTTCATCTTCGTTTGTGTGTGTGTGTCCATCCCAGTGAGAGAGTGGCAGAGATAATCATGCCACTGCATCATCAATTGCTGTTCAGTTTGATTGCAAACAGTTGGCCTTTGATACTTCACCGCTTGGAGCTGTTGCACACATGGTGTCCTGTGTGTGTGTGTGTGTGTGTGTGTGTGTGTGTGGGGGGGTAAATCAGCACGTGGGAGAACGTAAAGTCGCACGTCTGGCTGATACAACTCCACAATAGCAAGGTGAGCAGTAGGACTACAACAGGTGACGGCCCCGGGCTAATTAAAAGATAAACTTACTTTAAGATGCTTCTTCAGGTTGGAGTCTTTGGACGCTGAAAGGAGTTTGTGGCACCGCACAGTTGTATTGCGTTCTCCCTTCTCTTTCTTTAACATGAAATGCTTATTGAATTTCCAGGGTAGAAAAGCTTTCCTGCCCCGGCTCTGTTGAGCTGCTGCTCTTCAGACTCCCGTCAGCAGCTACTCAATAGACTTTTCATTCGTTTCCACGTTGGGGCTTCAGGAAAATGCATCAAGTTGCCTTCATTTATTTAGAGAGTGCACCGCAGCATTCCTAAAAGTTCATTTTCCGGTGTTAGACAAAAGTGTGGAAGTACAGAGTTGAAATCACACTGCATAAAGTTGATTCAACTCTTACAGAGTCAATTGTACGAAAGAGCTGGAGTCATTATCCAGTGTGAAGATCAGATTCATTTGCGACACTTAGTAGAGTTAAATTAACTCTTTGATAGGTTTGAAATGTAACTGGCACATGGAGTAGAGAGGGTGAGCTGGGAGCCACAAGGTTGGTGGTTCAAGCCCCAGCTGCTACATGTTGGCAAATCGTGGATAGCTGGCACTCACTAACAGCCAATTAAATCGCAGCACTATTGCCACTGGCCAAGGTGCTGAAAAGCCAATGTCATTATGCTGTTTTCAGCTATTAACAAATAAAGGAAATGTTTACCCCAATCTGCTGTCTACTGGTTATCACTAGATTGTACTATATTATTTTACTGTTCACTACAGTGATTCACTTATTGATGACACATGTAGACATTAGTAATTGAAACACAGGTAGATCAACAGATTTGTATAGTTCTATACAAACAAAAATGTTACAGAAATAAAGACATCTAAATAATTAAACTAATGAATATCAAACCATAAAACCAAATATAAAGAATAAATAAAAAGATAACATTTTAATGTACAAAGTCACAAATGCAAGAAACCAATATATAAACTAATTACAAGATGAATATTACAAATAATTGGAATTAAAATGCTAGATGGAACTCCCCCTATTATTTCTCTTCTTTCCTCCTTTCAGCCTCCCATCTCTATTTTTCTTTCTCAAAGAAAGCAGACCCCTGGAACTCTCTCCACGTCATTTCCTTGCCCATGCCCTGGTCTTTGTATCGTGAAAAGATTTTAGCGGGGCAGAAAATGTACTTCCCGGTTATTCCAGGGAACCCAGTGTGAATGTGACGACTGTTTGGGCCCTGCTTCAGTTCCATCTTACAGAACCGACACTTGCGACTTGTGGACTGGGAATCAGTTCTCTTCCTCTTCTGCTGTCCATTCTCTGCCACCCTTTTATGTGTGGCATCCAGTTCTAGCTGAAAGAACTTTGTCTCAGCAAAGTCTACAAAAGGCATTTTGGGGTTTTCAGACCTTCAGCAAGTTTTAAAAACTTTAGTGGAGCAGTAGAAGTACCGGACCGGGCCCTGCTGGTAGAAGAAGTGGATTGAAGAACCATCATTTTCATACCTAGACTTTGGCTGGCCACAGGAAAGACACCTTTTCGTGTGTCCCTTCTTTTGCCCCGGTTGTTGTTGTTGTTGTTGTTGATGTTGCTGCTGCTTTTCCATGATGTTGAGTACAATCTTCTCAATAGAGGCTGGAGTCAGCATCTGAAGAGGTGGAGGTGGGTGAATAATTGCAACAGACATCGTAACAACTGGCACACTAGTGGTCTCACTCGCCTCTGTCAGAGAGTGACAAAGTTCCTGCCTCTGACGTTTAAAGAGGAACTGGTGTTCATCAATTTGCTGAGGTGCTTTACATATTGTAGAATATGTAGTTTTGTTGTCGGGTGGAGCATGCTGTTGGGGTCTGTGCAGGAGTTGTGAACTAGAGCAGCGTAGTCCTGGTCCACAAGCTTCAGCGTGTCTTTCTGCTTACGGTGTTTGTTGGGCAGCTGGTCGATAACTGCCTTCATGGGGGGCGGCCATCGTTTGTGGTCCAAAACAAACACTCTGCCTCCTGTCTTCACCGGTCCAGTGCGAGCACCAGTTGGTGAGGGCAGCAGGGGCAGCGACGGCGGACGTGGGGTTTCTACAGGAACAAAAGAACAATAAGTCATTCTGACCTATAGAATCAAATACTTGTATAATAAATATAAACTTTAAAAGCTCATGAAAGACTGGTATTTGTATGTAAATGTTTATTATGTTTAAACTAACATGTGGCGTGACACTAACATAAATGCATTTATAGACATGACACTTGTACTAAAGTACAGTATTTATGGCTAACAGCGTTTATAGTTTACTATTCTCTCAGTACGTGCATAATATGTATACAGAATATAATATACAATATATTATTAGCATAATAAATATACAGTGTATAGTGTAACATATACTATATTGTTAGTATTTACAGCTAAAGACATTTATAGCTGGCTGTTCTCTAAGTACGTTTACAGTATATCATGTTTAAACAGTATAAGATGAACAGCTAGTGAGAATCTGTGTTAAATGACGTACAGCAACAAACGCTGCATATCTATCGGAATAATTATTACACATGATATGTCATTGACTTACTGTTTAGTGACTTCCTCACAGCGCGAGGTCCGACGAAGGTGCACCGTCGCTTCGGTGCTCTTTCCCGGGTAGACTGACGGAGAATGTCCGGAGAAACGCTTTACATGCGGGTAAACGCTCGGTCCGTCAAACAGCGCCACCGGTGGCCAAAGACATATTACATCCGTAGTGGTTTAGCACAAACATAGAGAATGAATGGGTTTTGGTTTTGGGATTTTACTTAAAAGAATTCACGGGTGCCACGCGGGCACATTTGTCCAGTATTTTCTTCTACAACTTTGTGCACTTCTCGACCGGCAAACCGACGTTTGTGGAGATCTCCCTCCATGAATCGGGAGGCCATCCGCGCGTCCTTATAGTCAATAGTTATCGCCAATGACGGCTTGTATAAGCGGTCATATTTACGCATTTCTTCAGACAAAAGTTCTTCAATCCGATCCGTTCTCTCGTAAACATTCTTCGTTTTAATGATGGCGATATTGTGCTATGAAAACGGAAATGTGAGACTCCGTAAAGGATGTAGTTAGCAGACCAATCGCAGCCTGGTGCGCTGCGGGAGGCCGCAGCGCAAGGACGCAAGGAGGTGTGAAAAGGCACGCAAGGGGGTCTTGCGTCTGCGTCGCTCTGAAAACGCAGAAGCATAAACTAGGCTGGCATCAATGTATTGTTTTGTCATTGTCACATCAGATCTCAACAGCATAGACATTAAATTCCAATAATTAATTCTGCATACTTTGCATGGTGCGATTTTGCCAAAGTGTCCACCCACGTGGGAGGGACGCAGTGAGAAGTACCCGCGTTTGACCACTAGGTGTCAGGCTTTAAAACTCAAATGTATACAGGGTTCTTGCACCATTTCAAAAGTCAAATTTAATGCTTTTTAAGACCTTTTTAAGACCTCAAAAATGTCACACTTTCTTTGAAATACGCAATGTATTGCCTCCTACAATGGAAATCAAAACTTTTTTTCAAATTAGGAGACAGTATAATAACTGACAATAACCCTTCCAACACTGTTTGGCCAATATAGATGTAAACAATCAAAGTGATTCCTTTGTGATGCAGAACAGAGCCAACATAACATACATGAATTTACACTAAACAACACAATGCATTGCGAATCGGGGAACATGGCAGCAAAGACGCCACGTATGTCATAATTAGATTTGAATGAATTGTGCCTCGTCACAGTATGGAGAACCCACAGTAACTCTGCCTTTTGGGTGTCTGGTGTTGAAATGAAACTTGTTACAGCCGACTGAGAGGTGGCGTGTGAACTTGTAACGTCGTTGGGTCGTGCTGCAAACAATGCAGGGATTAACCTGGCCCCGCTATGGCTAGCTGCTGCAACGTATCGCTGGTGCTTTCCTCCTTTCATGTGCAACTCGACGGCTTTGAGCCCAATGGTCCCTAATGAAAAGGTCTTTTTGTATAGTTTACACATTGCCTCATTGTTGTTTTCAATCAGCGCCAACCACCTCCTAAATGCATCCTCTTCCATCCACTTGTCGTTAAAGTTGCACTTCCCCATCTTCTTTGCATTTTCAACTTTTCGACTTTTTAAGGACCCGTGGGAACCCTGGTATAAAAACATCAACAAAACGACATTAATACTGCAGACAACTGTAGAAGGACTCTTTTTATTTTGAAAAAGAAATGTTTTAAGTCACTCGTAGCTTTGCCTTAAACACAATCAAATCCAATTTCGTGTCTTTCTCTTTACTTCCTTTTTTTAATGAATAAATTAGAATGGTATATTACGCATGCAATACCGCATTAGCCGCTTAGGTTTTCATCTTTCACAGAAAAAAAACAAAACAACATAAAACACAAAAATCCCTTAGATGCCCGGATGCTGCTGCTCGGAAAGGGGCGGTGGGAGAAGCCACAGCATGAAGCGATGTACACAGTTTGCGGTTGCATAGTACAGTACATGAAGTTCCTCATTTTAAAACAGCATGCCGTTTTTGTATTGCACATTACTGAAACTTTGTATACTGGACCTTGCTGTCGTTCCCAGTGTCCCACACGGGTCGCCGTCGTCTCCTTTCAGCACATGTATACAGCGAATAGCATCCCTCAAAGACATTATGTACATTTATTTGTTATAAAAATAATGGCCAGCAAATATTCATCTATTAGTTTTCTACCGGAATAAGTATTTGTTCTTTTGCTTATAGTGTTTTTTTCCTTTCGTTTTACACTTTACCAAATGAAATCCTTCCAATAAATGCTGTGTTTTATTGGTCACCTTGAGATTTAATCTGTGGAAAAAAGGCAGATGAGTTTCATTTGGAGACAAAAATTGGGCTAAAAACAAAAGAAAGGCCAGGACTGCTTTTTTTGTTTTTTTTTTACTTCAAGAGTGAGTGTGGCATCTTCTCCATTCACCCAGAGAGGGATGAAGGGATGCTGGTCCGAAACTCCCCTCTGATTGTCTCAAGCGGCCGAGCTCAGCATTGGTCCGAATGGAATAAATCAGTCCGTGGGGTTGATGCTGCGGCTCAGAGTGAGACAGTCACAGGACACACATTTTTTAAACAAACTTTAGGGCAGAGAAATCAACGGATTCTGGTGTAGATACTATATGTACGTATGCTGATCTGTGCCAGAATCACATGGTGGGTCAGTTCCTAAGAACTCTCACTTCTTCCTTTGTGCTGTACAACCGTTCATCCAGATCTGCACACACCCGACTCTGCATTTAAATCAATAAGTAGGGGCTACTTGGAAAGAAGGTCCATTAAAACATCCGGCCTGTAAAATGTCAAATATCTCTCTGATATGGGACAGAATGTACCTTGAAATACAGAATCAGTTACACAGCAGGAGAAGTTTCCTTTAACTGAACAACAAATGGTCACAGTCCTTCGCATGTGAACCATTTAAATGGGCCTCTCTATAGATCTCAGGACAAAAACAAATCAATACACCTCTTCATATTTAAGGGAATGGCTCTAGTATTGATTTTCTGAGGCGCTCACTGTTTGTCAGAAGAGAAGGTCTCCGAGTGGGAAAAAAAGAGGAGCTTTAACACTTCACTAGAACGCGCCAAAGAAAACTCAATGCGGAGGAAGACAGGAGCCCGCCTCCCTGGCAGCGTGCGTCTGTCCTTCATGGTTAAGGCCGGAAAACAGTGTTGAATTAATTCAAAATGAATTCACTTCTCACTGTTTGTGTTATCTAATTATTTTTCTGTGCACTGGAATAAAATCCAGCAAAAGCAAACAAAGCGTTCAAACAAAAACACACTGCCAGGAAAACAGAGGAGTCAGATCACACTTTACCAGCTTCTTTGATTCAAAAGTCATTGATTTGTCTCCACATGACAAACTCTTCATATAACTTATGTAATCGCGGCTTTCGCAACTATTATATTGTTTGTCCTGCTAAGATAACAACTATCTAATTATTTCAAGATAACAAATGTCGCTTACTCCCAGAAAGGTGAGGACAGACTACGCAGTACGGAAGACGCCTGTCCTGTGATCACAAGACAAAAAAAGTTCTATTCAGTCCAATGTGTCATTTTATTTAACGCCTCTTTTAAGACTTCCAAAATATGTCTGGCTAGAAGTGCTTATCTGGAGATAAAATCCCACCGGCTTTATCAAAAGCCTGATATCTGAAAGTAATAAGATATGTACAGTGTACGACGACGACAAGTCTTAAACTATGAGCGAGCTCAGCAGCTCATTTGGTCCGTGACTCCGTAACATCACGGCGACTCTACTTCTGACACTCGTTGTAGCTTCGAGAAGGATGCGAATCAAAACTTTGTTGAATCCAGAGATTTCATTTTTCTGTCATTCGGGCTACATTTCTTTTTCTCTTCTCTTTTTTTAGTGGGGGAGAGATGTGCCCAATACGTCCACAAACATCAACTTGCTTACAGTAGGGTTCTATTTTACGTTTGGGGGGGATCATGCTCTGCAGTCAGGACAACATGCCGGCTACACAGAGAGCCGCCGCCGCGTCACACCTTTAACGCCTCGATGGCCGTGGAACCGATCTCGCGACTTCAGCGCCACCCGTACCTGTGTTTTCACATGACAGCGCTACCATGTCAATGCTAGTAGATGAATAAACGGCGTGTAGCTTCAGCAGCAGATGCTCTTTTTGGGTCTATTAAACATAAAGGAAAACAAATAAATAAAACTGTGCCCAGTATTATTCTTCGCGTCGGCGGGTCAGAAAACATCAGACGGCCCGGACAGCTTCGCGGAGCGGCGTTGTTTTTAAGCTTGTCACCTCAAGTCGTCGCTCTCGTCTCCTATTGGTCAGACTGTGCCAGGCCTTCGCCCAAATGAAACCCTAACGCTGTGCTACAGAAAAGCTGGCCTCGCTCAAAGTCACCTTTGAGTAGCGAAATAGTTTGGGGATCTGAAGCACCAGTTTTCGAAACTAGCAGTCGGATATCATCCAAAAAAAACACAGCCACCGCCTTAGCGCACAGACTGGGGATCAAGAAGAATTTGACACCACATTAAAAGAGAATCCAGAACGCGAGGTACAAAATCTCGATGGGGTGGAAGCGGAGGTTGATCATTTGACAGCATGCAGGAAGCTAAATGGCGAGGGGGATCTGTACACGGGCCCCAAGTCCGGGTCAGCAGTCTTCAGCAGTCTTGCGTGCAGTGGACATCCCCCCCGAGCTGGTGCGATGTCCCGGGGCACCTAAAGGCCCGCACAGCGCCACCGTCTGACCGCCGGCTGCTCCACACGCGCTGCACGTCTGCCGAGCTGTGTGTGTTGGTTCAATCCCAAAAGGGCCCCAGGAACGCGTCCTGGGACCACCGGACTACTCGTCCCGCTGATTGGCCAAGGACCACCCCCCCCTCCCCCGGCAGCTCGATTTACACAACCTTGTAAAGAGAAGATAAAGTTAGCCAGGTGGACGAAAGTAATCAAACCAAAACAAAACCAAAGGTACAATTTGGGATTGTCTTGGCTCTGTTTATTTTCGAGGTTGGGGGCCGTTGGGTTGCGGGGGGGGTGGGGGTGCGGACGTGGGCTCAGAGCCGGTGCCGGGAGTCATGGCTGTAGCTGCCCGGTGAGCTGCGGTTGCGGTGTGGCTTGTATGCATCCTGATAGGGGTCCTGGTAGTCCTGGTAGTGGTCCTGCTGGTCCCGGCTGTGCTGAGAGCCAGAGGACATGCGGTTGCGTCCCTTGTGCGCCCGCTCGTTGTGGTAGTTTTCGTCCGATGTCATCAGGTTGCGCCGCTCGTTCGGGGTGGAATGGTCTCCCGTGTTGTTGCTCTGGCGGATTTTTTGGCTCTGGCGACCACACGGAAACACGGAGGACAGCTGTTAGTTCGAGGATTTTTTTCATTTTTCCTTCAGACACTGGCGAGAAACAGCGAGTGGAAAGTAAAGTAACCGTGTACCTGCAGCCCAGAGATGCTGGTGGGGTAGGGGGTCAGGGTGGTGGGGCCCAGGTTGCGCCCCAGCAGGGGGTTCAGGGGCGTCGCCAAGGAGGTATGGGTTGCCTTCCAGTAGGCCTCGAGGTATTCGGCGAGGTGCTCACAGGCGTCCTCCAGTTGGTTCTCGTCCAGGATGATGTCGAACATTTCCTGTGAGCAGCAGATGGTCAGAGGCGGGAAGGCGGGTGTGAGGTCATGTGTACCGACGTGGTGTGTGCCGGTCTGGTCCTGTATGTTAGTGTTGTACTCTACATGAATAAGTGAGCAACCAGATTTCCGCTCTGATTGAGTGAAATAATTGTGAAGAAGCTGGGGTCAAACCACACTTTACATTAAATAAATAATAATAAATAAAAACTGTGAATAGATTCGGCCGACTTGACTCTGGGAAAGATCCCATTAAAAAAAAAGATAACACAAAAGAAGCAGAAGAAGCCACTCCATGAAAATCCACTTACTGGAGGACACTGGGCCAATTTGTCAGCTGCCACGAGCTGGACATTCAGGTGTTTGCTCTGGGACTTCCCTCTGGACTTGACCAGCCTCTGCAGGACCTGCATGACAGGGCGGGAAAGTACACGACGCTCCAGTTACACCGACCCAAAAGAGTCCCAGCGTGATCACGTGACCGGGGCCAAAGGAACCCATTGTGGTGGAGAGACGCGAAAACTACAAAGGATGTTATTGGGTTTGTCAGCATAGGAGAGGAACCTTTCTTGTGTTAATCGTCATTTAATCCTTTGATTTTCCTCTTTTGATGGACTGCAGATCTGAAATGAAGTGAACTGATCAATTTATAAGACATGCATTCCATCATTTGCTCCCCAAGTTAGTGCATTTGGTTTAAATAGCCCAACATAATTAATAAGGGCCCAAAACGTTTCAGTTTAATCTATTTTTATAATTTTGCACAGGACTGGAGGACATGTGAGTCCAGTCTATGACCCACTCCATGTCTCGAATCCAACGTCCCGGTTTTAAAGGCGTTTTCCTGGTCAGTCGTAGCGGCATGCTACTGCATGCTGGGAGAGGTGACGTGTAGTTAGTCACTGACCAGGATGCGAGGGCGTTTGAATGGACACATCTTTACCGAGTGGTTGTGCTCGGGGGAGGTTTTTTGTGAGAGTATTCGACCCCCACACTCGGACCGAGGCTCTGATCGTGGCTGTGGGGAGAAACTCGACCATGCACAGACGCCACGGTGCAGATTACTGCGTGCAGGTCGGAGCCTCCGCTGGTCGGTCGGAGGCTTTGATGAACCGTGTCATGCCGGTTGTGTCGGGGACATTGTGTGTCCGGTGGCAGGTAAATATCGACCTAACATGGAAGCCGTTACCTTTAACGCGACTAGGTGTTCTGGTTGTTTGTCTCCACCAACTGAGTGACTCTGCAGGTCAACAGCTGTGGAAATTATATCACATGTTTATATCCTTATGCCAAGCAATTTAGTCCAGGCTTGACAACCAGGCTAAATAACAAGGCTCACTAAAACGGGCTGTTCCTTTGGTATTTGTCGCCCATGATTTATTTCAGGTAAACCCGCCACACAGAGTTGACGTGACGGGATCACGTCCTCCCCACACCCGGTACCTTTGGCGAGGAGACTTTGACATGAACAATTATGGGGGCCAGGGAGGTCTTGAGGAGCTGAGCCGGGTGGTTGATGGTGTCGGCGTCCAGCACCACCAGCTGTAGGGAGCGGGCCAACTCAAAGATCCTCTCAATTTCACTCTGCACCTCAGCTGACGAGACAAATACAGAACGCGAGTTCAGACGTTTGCACAGTTCTATGTAAACAACGGAAATAACTCAGCCACTAATTCGCTAATCCATCCAGAAATACTTTAAGCCCCAGAGAGGTTCTTTCAAATTAACTGTTCATTCTGTGTTTCTTGTCATTCATTTTTTTTTAAATGCAGTCAAAGGTGCTGGAATTAGTTCCAGTAAACATTTGTGATGATTAAAGTGAGAGTTCTGACCTAAGCTGGAGCGAGTGTTGGACCTTTCGATGATGGCCCTCTTACTGGGGTTGTTCAGAACAGACCTCTTGGCTAATGATATATCTGCCGTGACTCGTGTGATAGATATCCTGTGAAATAGTGAGAAACAATTAACATTTTCAAACATTCCTTGAAGCATTTCTGCATAATACAATGTTTTTTTTGATCTTCATATTGAATAAACACATTGTAGTCTCTTGCTCTTTTCTAAATATGTCACATATTTCTGCAGATTCCTCTTGGACAACTAAGACGACCTTATTGAGTTTTGAGAAGATAAGTGATCTTAGATGTGGGAGAGGTAAATTTAACTTAAATGCTCCAAAATACCGTGTGGAGATGGCGAACTGTCACATTGGTCTCACCTGCCATCAAATCTGTGCTTGAGGAAGTCAAACAGCGCTTTCTGCATCATGTCCGTAACCTGCAGTGGAAAACAGGACGTAGTAGGAAGTAGTCATTCTTTTGAATCGTTCCTTGTTATTTCTGAGGTCACTCGTTTCCATAACTATTAGAAATGTAATCCATGGTTTTATATCTACATTTAATATTGAAGTTAAACATTGCGAGTCTTTCTGTTCTATTGTTGTTTTTTCTAATTAATAGATTTTCCGTAGAAGCAGCGAGGCGGTGAAATCTGCCAATCACTCGACATATTTTCCGACATAACCTCAGTCTCCTCGTTATTCTGGATGCAATCTGGATGTTACGTGGGCGCTGACACACTCACACTTAACTGCGCCAATGGCGAGCTATTTTGGGGGAGTCAGGGAAAGACGTGCGGGACTCATCTCCGTTCCGTAATCTTGTCCTTCTCGCACTGGTGAACACCGCGTTTAATAATCTCTGCTTGGTGGGCGTCATCCAGTGGCGCTGAATCATCGCTATATTTAGTGTTGCAACAAAGGCCCTGAAATCAGTGACATAAGTCGAAGGCTATTTGGGATTTTCCGATTGGCAGCTCACCTCGTAACCCTTGAGCGAGGGTCCGACCAGCACCACGGGCCTCATAGAGGGGACCACGTCGTACGGGGGGACGTGCTCCGTCTGTGGACACAAAAGCGCTTTAAATCGGCGGCAGTAGATTCGGCACACCTACACGCAAAGGAGCCAAACGCCTGGAAGCGTTCGGAGCATCTGTAAGAGACTGCCGAGTCAGCTGACCTTGGAGTACAATCAGATGTGTTAACTTTGAGGTGTGTAGCAAATAAACATATGAATAAAAACGTATTAATGTCATTTGTTTCTGCAAAATGTAAAAAGTAGACTTTTCTTAAATTACATATATATATTGTTTGTCTCTGCATAAACAGATGTTATATTTTTAACACATTTAACATAACTTGTTGTTACAACTTGACAGACGAATACATTTCCTATAATTTACTAAATGGATGAATGGATGTGATGCTACTCTGCTCACTTAACACAATACCAGACCAAGTATCACGATAACAAGTAGCACCACGACACTGTACCATGCCAAGTGGTAACACTAGCATTACTAGATAATATGGACTAATGCGGGCTACCTGATTAAATCACTACTGGATATTTATTGTTGAAATATTAAAATAGTCATGTGGAATAACCACTAAACTTATGACATATATATTTTGTATCTGTATTAATGTGATCTGAAATGTTGTTTATGTATTCAACTATTTTTTTTATTTGTTAATATCTTTACTGTTCATTGGACTCTTAATTTCTCCGTGCGAGTCATTTCGAGAAGGATGTATTTGAGTGAAAAATACTAACACCAAATACAAAAGTGGATTGTTGTTTATGTTACTTTACTTCACTTCAGATAATTGTGGCTCATCGGCATCATCCACGTCATGGAGCTATTTTATGAGGACACTTTAATATTCTACTGGACTTCCTTATAGCACCGTCCTCATGGCGCATAATTGTAGTCTCACTGACAACATGTCCCATGTTCTGCTGAGCCGAGCCAGATGTTTTCCCTCCCCCTTTAGGGTTAGTGCTTCACTGCTTTCTCCAAAGCATCATTTAGGAGGGAGGTTGCGGTTATAACACTTTGGCACTTTGGCATCACAGGAATGGTGATGACTTGGCACTGGATACTATTCAGTCGGGCTGAAGTATTCTGTGCGCTGCGAGGTGACATGAGGCTGCTACTTCCTGCCAAGGCTACTGCTTCCTGTCTCTGTATGATGGCAGAAACACGCGTACAGTGGATGGTAAATGATTGGCTTTTACCGTCACCAACTTACCACTTTCTGTTTCTGCTTTCCTGTAGGAGGGGAGAGAAGACGGTCGTCAGTAGCTGCTGCTAGAGGGGGCGTCGCAGTTACATCTCAGAAATGTTCAAATGTGCTTCACATGAGGCAACTTTTCATCACAATTCTTAACAAAGGAAACCTATCAAGGAAATACAGAGTATTTCTATTGTCCTATGGTTATATTCACAAAGCCACATGAGTGCAGGGGGGGGTCATAGTCTTGTCGTTGGGTTCACACTGTGGTTAGCCCCAGTCTCAGAACGCCTGCAGTCCTCAACTGGAGGAAGAGGAGGATCATGGGAAAATGTACCAACAACTCTACGCAGTGAAGTTATGCTCTATGCAGAGACACGGGAAGGGTTTAGATTCTTATTCTCTCTACGTTGGTTCAGGAAGCTGGGCTCTAAGCTGGCAGCTGGCTACTAACAGCCCTCTCCCCCCTGTCCAATGCCCTCACCTGCCGAGGATATGAGGGGCCGGATAGAGGCTGAAACCTCATCCTCTACACTGGAAGAAGAGTTCCCTCCAGACTTACTGGAAAAGACAAGAGGGGATAAAGAAAGACAGAGACACACCATGGTATTAAATGTAAAGAAGAGGAGAAGAAAATGGCCTAAACTGATCATTTAGTGCAGAGAAAAGTAACGTGCAAAACATAACAGGAAAATGTGAAACTTTTATAATTCATGTATAACGACTTCAACATATGGAGGCCCCGGGTTTGTGTCTAAGCAGTGTGCTACCTGGTGTGTGCGTGTATTTATGAGACCTCGGTTGGCTTTACACAGGATGAAAGAATGCGAGCGGCATGAGGTGAACAGCCACAAATGTCTGTAAGGCTGAGTTCCACACAGAAGTCGGAGGTCTGAAATTCTCAGCTGACCAAAATCCAGAGGTTTATATCCCCCCTGCAGAGACTGACGCCAACAGCTGTGCTTTCAAGCAAAACTATAAGAAAGCGCACAACATCATGAACAGAACTCCAAACGTTTGACAAAAATCTTCTCACAGCTGCACAGTGCAACCAACGTTCGACTATGTGTGTGACGTGTAATCCTGCGTCCTACTGCTCAACCTAAAGCACTCGTTAGCTCAAATATCCGCCCAGTGAACCTGAGGGTGGGGGCTGCATCTTTGAAAACAAAATTGGCAATCAGCACCAAGCAGCAGTGAGTTCATCCATTCATTCGACAGGATCATTTAAAAAGGAAAGATATATTCAAAGAGCGCTTTTCAAAATGTCCAAAGACGCTCAAGATGACACAGTAGGTAATTAAAGCAGTGCAGAATTGAGTCAGACACATTTATTTGAACAGTATGGATAATGAGTGTCACTAAATGTTGAAGAGAAACAAATTATAACATTGACAAGGAAATCTGATGAGCAGTCTTGTTATGTTTCCCCCTCTGCGTGGTGCATTTACATCTACTTCTTCTACAGTGACTCCAAAGTTGATCTTCTCCATTTATTTATCTTTTGAATTTCAGACCCTTCCAACATCTGTGGAAGGCAGCATGGCTCAGAGAGGGCGACTGATCAGCTGCTCTGCAGTGTCTTCCTGGTTAATGGGGCTCAACTCGATCAAAAGCCACAGAAGCTGAGTGCAATAAGTGAAGCGTTGAACCCCTCCAGTATTTCCAAACAGAACCTTTGAGACACTTTGCACACACATGTGAACTCTGAGGCTGAGACGCTAAAAACAGCTGTTTAAAGAGTTCGAGGCATGAGTAGCAGTCTGACTGTATTTAAAGACACTAAGACCCACAACTAGAAAATCCAAATGTACATAAATGACTGAGGTCACACGTTACAGTAAAAATTCTGTTCAATTCAGGTCTCCAACAAACAATTCTTTTTCTCTATTAATTGATCCATCTTTGGTGGATAAAAAGTAATTAACTAATTGTTTGAGGTTTAGTCCAACGATTAAAAACGTAATCCCTTGCATAAAAGTCTAAGCGTTTTGTTCAAAAGCATTTGTTTGTTTGTTTAATTTCAAAATGTCTCACAAATATCATAATATCAAATAATTCAAATTTAAAAGTCCAAACAAGTCTAATTTCTATATAACTGTAGAATTTAAACTTCCCATCAATGGTACAAAATCCACAAATGTGTGCTTTTAATTCAAACGCGGTAATTGAAAATTGTAATCCTAAATTAAGGGAATGAGACGTGAAGGTGAACGTGTGACACAAAAAGTTTCAGTAATGAGCAACACTGGCATTCAGGAGTTAGTAAGTAATTCTGCACACAGAGAGGGAAAGAGAGCAAAGGAAAGAAATGATGGGATGATGTTTTAGACCAACTGGAAGATCTTTGAGGGTCAAGATCAGTCAGTTTGTGACATATAAACTAAAGAAATTCCGTATGTTATTACACTTCTATTTTAGTATGTTGAACCACATTCCCAATCATTTCAAGCAATAAAGAGCAACAACTACGATTTCCTGCGTATCCATATTTGTTGTGCCAAGATGAACTGGTGTGTGACCGTATAAAGGTTGTTCATGAGACAAGCAGGGAGACGGGGGTGTCCTTCTGTTACTTACCCTTGGACACGTCCTCTCTTTTGCTCCTGCTGGAGCCGGATGTTCTCGAGCTTCAGAGGGCTGGGGATGAAGCCGATCTCGCAGCCCTCTTTCACTAACCGACCGATCCACCAGTCGTTGTTGAACTTCTGAACGCCACAACGTAAAAAAAAAAAAAGAACAGGAGGGGGCAAATCGTTGGAATCAAAAAAAGCACACATTGACATGGCAGTACGTACAGCGGGTGTCATATTTGATGTACCTCTTTTATGTGGAGGAAATCCTTGGCGTCAAAGGAGATGGCGGTGGCTGGTACTGGAACATCCTCATCCAGTGCGCCGCAATAGCTGACGTTGGTCCTCACAGCGAACGCCACAGGTTTGGTCTAGTGGGTGGAAACATGCAACACGCACGTGAACCTATGGTGAATAACCATCGGCCACTTCTCATTCGGATTTGCTGCATAGACGTGAACTGAGGAGTCCCAGGTCGGCCCACCTTGGCTCTCTCCAGTTGAGTGGCGGCCTGCTGCTCCCTCTCCTGGCGGCTCTGTCCCGGTCCTTGGCTCTGGCTTGGGCTCTGGCTCTGGACCTGAGCCTGCACCTCCCGCTCCTCCTCCAGAGAGACATCAGAGTCTGATGGTCTGCTAGTGTATGAATCAGCTGAGCCCTGCAAAAAGGAGCCACATGGCGGCTCTCGTGAGCCTGAGATGCAAACGGTGCCCCAATAGGGTCGATTCCCGAGAGACGCCGCTCCCATATTAAGGACTTAAAGTCACAAAAGCTGTCGATGCGACGACTTTTATTTCCTGTCTGAACAGACCAAAGCACACACACTTTTGGGTTGTAAAGGAAGGAAGTGCAAAGCACATTGGGGTCCACTTAAGAAAAGAGCTTCTTTATGGGACAACTTGTCTCTGGGTATCTTGGCAAATGGATGATGTGGAACAGAGCCGGCTGCCAGCAGCATCACAGACGACATGGAATTTCCATTCCTGCGCTGTCAGCAGTTTGTGTGACCACATTCGGCCAATCTCACACGTCCAGACTATTGTGGATCGTGACGACTTAAACCTGCTTTTTAATGTTTAATTCTTCTTCCACCTGTCTCATGCCGCCATGAACCGTAAACTGCCGACACACAGAGCAGAATATCCACAGCGTGTTCTCATTTTCCAAACATTTCCATCAGAAAAGAGAAACATTAGGATGTATAAAAAAAAGAGATGTGCTTGAGATTTACCTTGAGGAGGAACTTTTAATTCCCAAACTTCATTAATACAGACCGGCTACAATTCGACCGACCTGTTTCATTTTGTATTCCAGATACACTGATGTGTTAAACCATTATACATTAACAGCTTTAAATCCCAGAAAGTTTGATTCCTAAGTGTGCTATTAAGATATTGTTGAATAACCTAAACTACGTCTAAGATACTTTGAAGGCTTTTTAAAACTAAATGGACGACAAATTAATAGCAAACTTTACTGTAGATTGGGTATGTAACTTGACAAATAGGAATAGCACAACACAACCTGTAAAATAATCATACTTGGATTATTCAAGTACATCTCTGCATTACGCCGACACGGTTTTGAGACAAGAAGCGTAAGTGATATGAAAAATTCTATTTTCTCTCTCGCGTCGATTTTTGTTTTGTATGTATTGTGTTCATCTTCTTGTAAACTGTTAGGTTTATTTTTTAATTCCCTTTAGTGTATCCAGAGGTGCTGCACTTGCAGTCGTTCATCCTGCCATTCTGCGAGAAATCCAGTAATGCAACGTACTTTTCTGCAGGGACAAGACTGGACCGAGTGCCTTCTTCTCCTGTGTTAATACAAAAGATCAGCCACTAATGATGATTCAATTAAGGGAGGCCATTAGTGTCGAGGAAATCAATCAATCTAGTCGTCACAGCTCAGCACTTTCCCTTGTTTCGTTTAACAAGCAGGCAGCAGCGAGGTCTGACTTCAGCACAGGTCTCTTCATCGTGTGCATCCAATCAAAAGGAGGCCCGATTATTTAACTTGAAGGGTTTCTCAATTTGAGAAGATATTAAGCTCAGTGGCTCTTTATACAAGATCCGAGAATTAAATCAAATTACAGAGTGAAAGATTTCTCACTCTAAAAAGGTCAAGAGTGAAATTCTTCTGTTGGACTTGTGTTGTTATCAAAGGGAAATTCCACCAGTTTGACACGTCAACATATATATATGATATGTACATTCTCAGTGAGTCATACAATCCTCCGTTAGAAATTCATCTTTAGATTAGATCATCATCATCAGGGTTTATTCCCATGACTAGTAAATATTACATATGAAATGTATATATACACACATATATAACATATCAACTAGTCCTGGGAATAAACCCATCATTGTGGGTCATTGTGATGCCATCACGACTTGATCCATACTAGAGCCTAAAAGTGAGGACGTCGTGGCCTCTGCTGCTTATTGTGACCGGTCTCTTTATAATCTGTCTCTCGCAGATGCACCAACTTTGTGGAAATGAAACACTGCTGCTCGACTGCTCCTTTTACAGCACAAATACAGATTCCGCTCTGCGATATTTCACAAACACACACGCAAATAAAAGGTGTCTAACAGTTAATGTATCTTTTTTCAAAGATATTTTGCCTCCGTTTTAAATAAACCCTTCAATTCGACACTAACAAGTCATTCTGAACAAAGATTTGTGCGCCTGTGTGAAAGCTTTGAGGTTGCTTTGTGGCATGCAAGCTACAATCCAATGGAGTAGCTTCAGCATGTGACTCATCAACATCAGAATCCACTTAATGACATCACGATGCATGTTCCTCCGGCACAGCCTATACATCCCGCTGTCGCAGCAGCGGATGAAAAAATACTCAGCTGGATTCCTTTTTTTTCTTCAAAGTAATAAACCTAAAAATGTGACAGAGCATCATGTAACGTTTGATAGGACCATATAACACGCCTCAGGGGCAAGTGGGTGATGAACACATTTCTATCTCCCTCTTTGAATCACTGCATCTCGGAGAGGTACAGAGTGTGATGAGCGCTAAATGGCTCCCCCTGGCTCTGGTGGTCTCCTGATGTTTCTTTTTGCGCTCTTATAGGCTGATATCAACCTCATATAGAGCACATAAAGGACACATCACGCAAATATACAGACAAAGAGACAGACGTACACGACTGTGTCAATGTCACATGTCACAAGCCATCTGCTTAATGTGCATCCCCCCCCTTGACACACACCATCGACACCAACCCGCCCGACCCCCTTCCAGCCAAGCATAGCCCACGATCACGCTACAGTGTACCGTTGGCTAACCCATCAAAGGCCTCTTATGTGTGTGTGTGTGTGTGTGTGTGTGTGCGCGCACAGCTGAGCTACTTTCATCTATACACACATAGCAAGAGAACGCAGAAGCAGATTCACACATCAAGCACTCACCGCCTCCGAGTCTTCAAATCCATGCAGGTACAAATTGTCATACATGGAGGTTTGATATTCCAACGAGCGCCTCTAGAAGAATGAGGGGGAAAAAATGAGAGTGGAGGCGAAGGAGGAAGGAGGGGGCACCACAGAGAGAAAAAAAAAGGATGGATGGGGGGATGACGACAATCCCCTCACTCCACAGCAAAGAAGAATAATTTATTTTTCTTTTCTTTTTTTAAATCTCCCCTCCTGTTGGATCACGCCTGTTTCACCGGAGGCCCGTTGCTTGACGGATGCAGCTTCTCCCTGATCTCACAGTGCTGCTGGCTGGCTCACATCGTAGGATGGAGAGGCTCTCCCTGGAGGTAGCCCAATGCTGGCATTTCAGTTCCTCAGGCGTCCACACACACACACACACACACACACACACACAGGCACACGCACTTACACAGACACACACAAATACATATACACAACGAGCAGCAAAAAGGCGGCGGTAGCAGCAGCGGTAGCAGCAGAGCAGTGGATCCTTCCTCAATATCCAAGCCTGATGACAGAGGTAATGTGCAAGGAGCTGATTGGTTGGCTGGCTGTCCACTCAGCTTGGATGAGCGCTCTCCTTCATTTTTCTTTTTTTTTTTCTTTTTTGTGAAGGGAGGTAGCGGGGATCGGGGGAGGGGTATGGGGGTGTAAGGGAGGGGAGCATTATCCTCCATGTTCCCGTTCAAGCTCATCCTCACTCAGCTTATTTATTCTCTAGTGGGAGCAGAAAAATACATTGAACCTGGTTTGGTGAATAGAAGGAATTGATTACGGTGGAGCCATGTATCTAAAAAAGGTAATTTTCTCTCAAATTACGATTGATGGTTTTATACTATTAAATTAAATATTTGAAAAAGATGTGCAGCACGTCACCCTGTGGTGGTGTAATCCAAATGCATTCTGATGCACACTATAAATGAGTCTTTTCCCTTTTTTCTCCACTCCAGGCGTTTCTTTGCGTGTTTCCGTACCTGTCTGAGAATGAAACTGGTGGAGGTGGTGCTGCCATCGGACCTCTTGAGTCGGCTCCTCCTGGAATAAGTCCCACGATTCACCTGAATGAAAATAAACGGAAAGCCCTTTTATCCTCATGTTGCTGAAGTTTTCTTTTTCGCAGCTCTGACACATCTGTGTCTTTAATTTGATGCGTATATAAAGCCACATCAAGCTAATAGACAATGTAATGTTCTGCACAACTCCCTTACACATTGCACGCTGCTCTTTTACATATTTTCAACAATACAATACAATACAGACAATACGTGTACAGTCTACTTTACAAGCACACATGTTATTTTGAAAACACATGTAACATGTGTGGCTTATACTGGATGTTTTTGCATAAGAGGTTTGCCTCGCCCACTCACTTTGCAACTTACCTTTTGACTTTATCCCTCTTTTTCTCTTCCAAAAGTCCAAATATAACCAGCAGAGTTAGTCTCCATGGAACAAAATTAATTATCTGCCGGCGATTTGCCCCATTTACGTTCAAGTCTCCGGAGTAAACGGCAATGTCACTGTTAAAAAGTAAACCTACTTCCCTGAATTCATAAAAACGGGCCACTAATCTAGGACACCGTCTCTTTTCTGTGTCTCTCAATTCAAGCCAACAGCAAAAAGCCAAGAAGAGATATGAAGGATAAAGTTGGCTCTGTCTATGAATAACCTGCTATTAATACCAGACTAAAGCCTTCTATAATCAATCAAGCTGAGGAAAATGAAGTATCAGTTATCACTAACTAGGGCAGATACATTCCCAGCATATTATGCACATTAAACGACATTTAGATCCTCAAACATATGAAATATTCTCGCATATTTGGTTTCAACAAATGTCACCTGATATTGGTTGTTAAAGCCCATAATGGCCTTTAAAGTGTATCAGCTTGATAAAAATATGGTTAAAAGTATTAATAGTACACCAAGAATTGGTGAGAATTCAAAACATCAGGCTGAATAATATATTGTATTTCAAGAGATATGTTCCAATTAAAAGGAAAAATATAGCCTAAACCGAATTGTCCACAGAATGTAAAAACGAAAATGTCGAGAGGCGTCATAAATGTCCCAAAGGTCAAACCAATGACATTCTGGTAGGTAGTTTTATGCACTATTTTAGAGACAACTGTAGTATAGAAAGAGTTTGTGCCACTCTCTGACACTGATAGGTTAACTTAAACATTTATAATAACTGTACAAAAATGATATAAACCAACATATATATGTATTTCTGAAGATGAGTAGAGGAGTCTTCAGTTACAGTATGAACTTCCCGAGGGACTTTTTGGTGTTTTATAATATATTTATCTTATTTTAACGACACTTCACACCTGGAAGTCAGTGAAGGGGACTTTCTGACTGAGTACTCCACAAGGCTAATTGTACACCAATTTAAAAACAAAAGTTATTACAACGTATTACAGTTTGTTAAAGGCTTTCGGTCATTAGTCTTCTAAAGCTGACGTTAGTAACGTTTTAAAAGTTATTACAAGAACATTTTTTTTTTAAATTAAGGAGTAACCCGTGTTCATTTGACTGAAATACGTTGTACGTGTATTGCTACGGTTAAGCGATCAAACTGCCACATTTATTGCCAACTAAGTTAAAGCAACATGAATTAGCCTTGACGCTCAGCTAACGTTAGCTAACGTTAGAAAGTAACGGCGACGGTAACTCACGTGAAAGATGGGCGCTTGGATGCCCTCGCCGATCTTGTTCCGTATGTAGATGTGTCGGGACATTTCGGCCACGACATCGGTCCACAGGGCCGGCTGCTCCGGTCCGGTCCAGCGGAGGGGTGGCGGGTTCCCTGCTGCTTGCTCCAGCTTCGACGCCCCACGGCAGAACTGTGACCGTACCGTCCGGGTTCGGAGAGCAGGTGTTTGAGGGGAGGGGGGGCGCGTGCGGGAGGGCGGGGCGGTGGTTCCGGGCGTCTCGCGCTGGGGCGGTTGGTCACGCAAACTGCCGCCGCTCAAAACCAGATGCGCCTGAGTGATGGGCGGAACTATTTTAGAAACCCGGGGGGGCACCACCTCCTTCCTCAGTCTCAAGCACAAGTAACTATTTTAGACATATAGAAATTATTTTAAGATTAACAACATAATGTATTAATGCAGTGTACACTTGTAAATTGTTGTAAGGTTTTAATACGGTATGATGGAACAGCTCAGACCACACACATGCCTCTGACCCCTCAAAATAAAATAAATATTAAACGCCTTGAAACCCGTCGTGAAAGATTGCATATTTTTGATTCAAAGGTTTCAATCACAAAAGATACCCAAGATAAATAGTCATCAGAGTATATTTTAAAAGGCAATATTGTTGATTGATTCTCATCAAAACAGGCCAATATAAGCTTTAACTAATCGTATTCTGTGTTTATTATCACCATCAGAAAATCTGGATTTGGATTATGCTTTTCCCCATCTCTTTGAATACAGCAGGTTCACAGACAGACAGTATCAAGCCCCTTACAAAATAGTTTGCATAAAAATAATTCTCCCTCTTTAATAAGTTTATGTAGGGCATGCTTTTTGTTTTAACGCACATTTTAGACGTGTATTATTATAGCTGATGTTTTAACCGAACCGTTATATTTTTCAAAAATGTATTTTTCCCCCATACACAGTTCTTCATGTGCCTCTGAGACACACAAAGCATAACATACCTATCCCCATGCTTAATATTTGCCAAGAAACTATTTTACCCAACTCATATTTTTAGACAGTTGGTTAGAGTCCAAAACGTTGTTGTTTCATCGGTCTTTGTTCCAGCACTTTGTTCCAATCCTTCTGGCACAGTTACTGTCTGACGATACCTCCAAGCAGATTGGACTGTAGACTGAAAACTAAATCTTCCGTTGGATCTTGGGAGCACTTAGTGACCAAAGGCTATTTAAGACCAAATGTTATTTTAGCAGCTGATGGAATTATTAAAAGTGAAATAACACAACGTGAGAGGACATGCTGCCTTTCTCTTTGCCCATCAGATGGCAGCATTATCAAATAAAGGCAACCGTGAGAGGGGACGAGGCGGTTTGGAGGGCCCACTGCCATGTGCTGCTGCCTCTGAATTTAAGCACACTTGGTTCCAGTGCCAATTATTCAACACTTAATGGTTCAAGAGGCCCTGCAGGAATTCAGCCGCCTTTTAACGGAAGCCATTTGTAACCCTGCGTCCCTTTCTTCGACGCTTCAGGAGGACGAGAATAACCAAGAAGATATAATCTTGGACGTTGAGTGCTGCACACCCGAGTGTCTCTGCCCTCACTTGACGGACAAACTGCCTCAAAATGTCTTTGTTGCTATGCTTTTAAATATCCGTCTCCGCCTATAGTACCTGGGTGCGAGAGAAAAGGTCCACGCGCACGCCACTTTCCGCTGCGGCTCTGGAGGAATCTCTTGAGACAACCTCACAAAGAGGTATAATTAGGGACGAGGTGACGAAGCAACCCCACAAAGTCCCCAGTAGTCACATCTGTCCATGTGGGCTCCATGAGTTTATTAACTGTGCCTTTGTGGGACATCCGTGGGCTTATATGCAAATACAAATGAGTTGTTTCTTTCCACATGTTTTTCCCAGCCTCAGCCCGACAACTGATTCACAAACTCTCCCCTGTAAATAAGTCACTGCAGAGTTATACCTTGTTTTCCTGGTTCTATTATTCATCAGCAAAGATCTCTCGACATGAAAAATAGAAAAATCATCATCGTAAACAGAGGACGAAAACGCCGGACCTGGCGACTCACCGGAGTGCCCGTCTTCTCTAAAGCAACGTCAATTATTGAAGACACGGGGGGAGCAGAGAGGTAAAGGCCCTAAAATAAATCACCGTGTAACCTTGTCTTCCTGCTTGTGTATCAGTTAAAAAAAATCCAACTTCAACACGGCTGACAGGACAAGAACAAAAAAGCTGTGGGCGATGAATTATCTACATCTTTTTGGCCACTTTGCTTCTCTAGTATACACAGTACGTGTGTATTTATGTATTGATTCCCTATCAGTAGTTTACATCCACAAATATTTGATGCAAGTGTTTCGAGGAGAGTTTAAGCTGGTGCAGTTGTTCAATATGTTTGACTGTCCAGATATTTGTGGTTCAAACATTTACAGCTTATCTTTAGGGTCTCGTTGACAGGTAAAAAAACAACCATGTGTTGTTGTTTCTAAGATGGTGGTTACACTATTAGCATGGATTGCCATGATAGATTGGCACCAAAATTTATTTATTCACCTTTTTTGTTTTTTACAGCGTACATTATACAAAAATATAGAGTACCAAAAGTTCACAGTGTCCAAAAGGCAGTGTTAAGTCAAATTCACACATTATCGCCGCATATTATAAGAGCAGAAGTGCTTTGGGCAAACACGACAAATCAATTCTAAGGGTCCGTTGACTTTAAATACCAAACACAACCTTTCCTGTCACCGCACAGGGTGACAACGCTTCTTTAAAAAAATCAATATTCCCCTTATTTAAGCCCAATACATTTAAAAAATGTTGTACATTACTTTATACTCAGCTAAGTGAGTCAGCGCATGCAGCCAATTATTCATAAGCACCCAAATGTGAACACACATCGCCAGGGTCCTTAGTTACATGCAATGTAACACTGCAGATGAAGAAACACACAAATTCAGTTCTTAGTATTTACAATTTAGGAATTTGAGATATACAGAATACAATTAACGGCGTGGAGTAGCTTAAATACCAGCAATCCCGTATTGTGTAAAGAGCCTTCTTCTTTAGGTAGATATTTTATTTATCAGCAAATCCAGAATAATTTCCAAGATGTTCTACTGTAAAGAACAATATTATTTGTAACTAAAAATAGAGATGTTGGGCAACTAAATTATAGCATTTTAGTTTATTGATATATGAGGAATATCAATGCTAATAATAATGAAATGATTTGTATCGATTTACCACATTAAACTGTTTCTTCCAGGATACGTCTAAAATGACTGACCCCTGATTACAAGACGTGTCACTCAAAGGAAGCATAGAAGACTTTAAAGCATAACGCTTTCATAATTCATTGAAATGTGAAAAAACCTATTTATACGAGCACCAGTGATGTTACACATACGGGGAGCCGTTGACTCACATTCACATCTGTGGAAATAATAGTAACTGTGCACATAAATAATGTGCTTTTGTACAGTGTCAGCCAAATAATGTACACTTTATTATTTATATTCAGAAATGGGAGAAAAAAAACATGCTTTTTAACTGAAAAGCAGTATCGTTTAGCATTTGGGCAACCATCGTTTCCCATTATTTTGAGTAAACCATAAAAACTAGATGCAGACTTGAAACCATCACATTGATACCTTTGTGTTTCACTGCACTGCGGCTGAGAAGCTTGTGGCTGATTTATGGTGAGAGCCTCTGAAAATAGCTGCATAATATTTTTGGTGATTTATGAAACAATAACCGTAATGCAACATCCGGGCGAAATGAGCGTGAATGCCAAAAACATGCCCCATATGTTAACGACGTGAGATGACGCAGATTCAAATACACTCCGTGAAATCTGCGTGTGCAGATACAATAATTCATATTATCCGGACTTTATTTGTTTCAGAAATGTCCTCTTGTTTTTGATCGCGGATTCTGCTAAACATGAAAATTTAAAGCTAATAAGCCAGAAACCTGTGAGTTCATTTCTTTGCTTCATTCACACACAGTGAGGGAACAATTATTACAATTCTGTCTTTTTTTTTTCTTAACTAAAGTCAATCCCACACTTGTGTGTCCAATAAAATATTTTACAGTACGAGGAAAAAGGAAAAGCGATATAGTCTCTTCTCGGTGTAGGTGATATCCAGATCCACGCGGCGTCTAAGAGGTCTTCTGCACCTGAAGGTCGACTGCACGCCGCTCCTCGCCGGAGACCGGCACGACGTGTTGCCACTTTGTCTTCTGCCTCCAACAAAAGGGGAGTATTTTGCAGAAGTTTGTCTGGTGGTCTAAGGCTACGGTGAGGAAACACATGGTGCGTGGTCCAAACCTTTAAACTGAAGCGACTCGTGAAGGACAAAAAACTGATGATGTTAAAGGGAACATGGTTCTAGAAATTCTGCAGAATTCTTTAAAGAATGTCATTTACATTTATTTTTTTTTAAACGATTCGCATGCACGAGTCTTTAACATCTCGTCTAACTGGAACGTGACAGTGAATCTACGAAACATGAGCGAGTGAAGACCACTGGTTGGTTTTTGGAGCCTGACCTCCTCTCAGCTGTGCATGTAGGTCCTGCAGGGCGAGTCCGGGTGGAAGTCGTACTTGCCCAGGCTGGGAGGGTAGTAGGTGGTGGTGAACATGTTGCCGGAGGGCAGCGGGGAGGGGAAGTGGTTGCACGTCTCGTCGTTGACGTGCAGATTGTTCTTGTTTAGCGTCTGTGGCGTGGAGACATAAAAAATAAAAAAAAGCAGGTGAGTGATCTGCAGAACTCAAGGCAACGGCACCGCGAGAATCGCTTTGCAACGACCACCTTGAACTCCATGGGGATGTACTTCTCGTTCTTTGGCGTGGCGTTGCCCCGCTTGTTGCAGGTGAGGTGGTTGGGTGTGCTCGGGTGGATGACGCCCGTCTCCGCGGGCGGCCGGCCCAGCTGGTGGCAGTAGGTGTAGGCCAGCGCCGACAGCAGAGCGGCGGCGAAGAAACTGGCCGCGCCCACGGCGACCAACTGGAACAGAGTAAAGGCTGGGAGCAGAAAGGGAGACAAATGACCATCCTCCCTTTGCACGCCTCACGGTCGCTGGGGAAATTGGTGTCTTTTTCTTTTTTTTTTTTTAGGAAGGGCGTAAACGGTGTTGTTCCTCCGGGGAACATGAATATCCACAGCAAATGGCTTGTAGTTTTCAGCGGCGTCAAGTCGAGGGGAAAGCTTGGCCTGATGGAGGCTCGAGGCTAAACAAAAATTTAAACCCATCCAATCACACCAAATAGCGTCGCGGGTCGGGCCAGTTGTTGATGACATGTGTTTCCGCCGGGCCAAAGCCAAGGAAAGACACTCTCTTTCCGCCCGTCATTAACACCCCGAGGCCCTGCAGCCGGTGAGGCGGCATAGGAGGAACCTCCATCATACTGAGAGGTGATGGCACTGGCTGGATGCTGTGCAACCAAAACACCAATAACTACACCAGCGAACTCGGTCCCATGTTGCGTGAGGGGAACCATCATACAAAAGGTCAATATGCCCACCGGGGGAGAGGGAAAAGCCGATACCTTTAACTTTCCCTATGCAGCAGCAGCGTGTTATTATTAGCACATAGAGAGAAGCATAGGAAAGAATAACTATTTGATGACAGGCTGGTGATAACTGAAAAAGTCACTTGTTTTCACTCACTTCCACAGCTCTGGTCCTCCTGTCCGGGTAAAATAACTGAAGGGAGACAAACAGAAATGAAAAGATGGAGACAGAAGCAAAATCACTTCAGCTGCGTCTTTTTCTTCCCCACAGGAGGAAAAGACAAAGGCTTCGCTGTTCTCATGGCAGGATGCTGACGGCCCAGTTAATTCCTCTTTTTAATTTCTACACACAGCGAACAAGTCGGCACTTACTGCGCCTGATTGAACTTTTGGATCTGGATTTTTCCGGCTCATATCAGCGACAGCCTGCGGCAAAGAGCTACGCGCGGCCAATTCGTTTTTGCCAATTTGTTGACTGAGGCAAGTGCTTACCTGGCACCTCACGGGGCTGGCAAGGCCTGGACTGGGTGACGTTACCCTGGCAGAGACCGGCCTCAGCGCCCTGGTCCTCACCACAGGGGCGAGTGCGATGCTGCAGCCCCTTGTCACAGTCCCCCCACCCCGTCCATTCACCCCAATCTGAGGGGACAGAAGCAGTGAAGTCGGGGTTTTTTTTCTTCTAAATTGAACAAACGTAATTTTAAAAGACAAAAAAGCAAGATCGTTTAAGATGTAACATGCATGAAAAGGGCTGCCTTCGCATCCTGATCTTCTTATTCTATTGCCCGTGTTATAGATGCATCACCTGCACGTCACCAACAAACATTAGTAAAAAGCGTTTGATGAGATAAACAAAAAAGCTTGGCCTTCGGGTGTCCCTACTGGGCTTCCTTTGTTCAGAGAACAAAGGCTCAGAATACACGAGATGTTGATTGCACCTATTTGATTTCCCCATGTTTTTTTGGGGGGTGGGGGTTTAAAGACAAAAGGGATACACGTGTCAATGACCAAATATAAGGCAATTTCATTGACAGCTTTCCTCCAATGCGTGCTGGGATAGGCTCCAACAACCATGGTCAATGGAGCAAAGACACCATCAATTCCCTCGGACGACTCACCTTCACAGGCGTGTGTGCTGCAGAGCGCCTCTTCGGTGTGCAGGCCGATGCAGATGTCCCCCCCGCCGGCGGGGGGCGGGTTGCCGCACGTCCGTGTCCTCTGGTAGTATCCGCCGCCGCAGCTGGACGAGCACTGGGACCAGGAGGACCAGCAGGACCAGGATCCGCTCACTGAAACACACACATAAGAGCACGTGACACACACTTTTTGGGGGTTTCCCAGTACTGCCACTACACCTCCGCCCACCCCCCCACACACACCCTCCCCCGTCACCTGGGCACGGCTGAGCGTTGCAGTCCTGGTAGTCCACCGGGGATCCCACGCAGGCGCCGGGGTTGGTCCGGCCCTCCGAGGTTGAGCAGCTGCGCTTCCGGGTTCGGAAGCCCCTGGAACACGACTGGGAACAGCTGGACCACGTTTCCCACGATCCCCAGCGCACGCCTTGGGGCTGGGGCAGAGTTCGCCCGCTGATCTTCACCAAGTCGTCCACCAGAGCTGGAGAATACACACAACGCGTCGGTTTACGCTGAATTACTATCAAAACACCGACGGCTTCTTGAAGGGGAAGGCTGGAATTGTTGAAAGTTGATCCGGACATCTTAAATCGACGTTGCTGAATAAATTGAAAAAAAGAAAAACGTTCAAATATAAAACATATGATTGTATCTTTTTATTCCCTTACTCAGCAGACTGTTATAAAACATTAATTAGTGAGACTTAATCTGAGCGACGTAAAAAATTAAATGAACTATCTCTCCGTTACACCTGCCACACACACACACACACACACACACACAGAATGAGAAATGATTTACTTCTGAATGAGAACGACATTCTAAGGTTTTCTGTGTGGACGGCAGAAATGTGAAACATTTAAATCACATTTTCAACTGTGACCTATTTGGGATAAAATACCCAAATCAACATGATTTTGTATCTTTTGTTTGTCCGAGTGAAGGCAGACGTCTTGTCACGTGACTGTTCAAAGTGTTTAATCAGTCAGGTGATTGATGTCTGCTTACAGTTTGGCTGCATCCTGCTTTCGATGGGACCAGCTGTGTTTACTGTGGCAAACCGGGAGCTCTGCCCCCATCAGCCACTCGGCAGGCTTTTAATCTGCTTTCGCTGCTCCGTCGTGTCACACCGGGCCTCTCTCAGCTTTCCCCTTTCGTTCCCAGTACTCACTGTCGGTCTGGCAGGCTCCGGACCCGTCGTTGGGGCAGAACCGGGTCTCTGTCTTCTTCTTGCCCAGCTGCAGCTGCTGGGGGTCGGGGAGCAGCGCCCGGCAGGTGTATCTGAATCTCTGCTCCTGCCTGGACCCGTCTTGACTGACGTTGACCGGCATCCAGGGCGTCCAGGGGGTGTTGCGGCGCACCTCTGGGCAGGCCTCCAGGTTACATGCCTTGTACTCCTGGAGAGCCAAGCGGAGGAACCACGTCACTATTGATGCTACGGCGGTCCACTCCACTGCGGGTTTTACAAAAGGGATCCTAAAGATTCAGTAATCCTCTGTGCAGACACACGCCGCCGCTCAGCTTTACAAATGATGCGGCTCTTTTCTGGAGGAGCTTGATAACGCAGCTAATTACTTTTTTTTAATGGGACTCCCGGCGTTGGTGAAGAGGCTAAGCTTAAGGCGGCATGGGAGGCTGCACCTCGCTGCGCACACACACAACCAAAGTGTTGATGTTTGTTCTTGGAAATCAGGTAAAAGGGGTGGCGCTGTTTTTGCAGCACAAAGCTCATCGATGAGGGCTTCCTGTGAGGAGGGAGTCGGGACAGCGTAAAAAACCCGCAGGCTACACCCCCCAGCTGCTCCCGACGCTAGCAGATAAAAAAAAAACAGCAGCCGGGAATAGAAATAGTTAAAAGAGAATCTGGGGGGAAGATTAAAACATTCATCAGTTTCTAAATCACCAGGGCTGCTTGCTCTCAAAGTACTCTGTCAGTACTACAGTACCATGGAGCACCCGGGACAGCTGTTGCCGCTGTCACAGGTTCTGGTCCTGGAGTGGACCCCCCCTCCACATTCAGCACTGCAGTGAGCCCAGGGGCCCCAGGCCATCCAGGACACTGGCGTCGGACATGGCTTCTTCTCGTTGCACAGCCTGGAAACACAGCGACACGGCATCATTCTTACTCCACGGCGCTTGGGAGGGGGGGGCGGAGGGGGGCGTATTTTCCTGGTCCTCCTCACCTCTCCTCTCGTCCCTGGCCGACACAGATTCGACCGCCGTGGCGGGGCGAGGGGTTGTTGCAGGACCGCTGCCTCACTTCGAATCCGATGCCGCAGCTGCTGCTGCACTGGCCCCAAGACGACCAGGGGGTCCAGCCGCCGTTCCTGAGCGTCACAATCAGGGGTAAAAACCTACCCACCCTCATCAAGTTCGTTTTAATCTGTTAAATGTTAAATGCAGTGTGAGTCCAAATGACGGAGAAGTGAGGCGGTAGTGGCTTAAGAGGCTGCACCTGGAACAGTTTGCCACCTGGATGAGCGGGCCTTCGCATTCGATGCCGCCGCACCGGGCCAGAGGTCCGTCGCAGGAGCGGGACCGGCACGCGCAGCTGCTGACGGAGCCGTCGCCGTCGCCGTGGTTACACGGTTGCCACGGCGCCCACAAACCAAAACCGCCATCCCGTGTCATGTTCCTCACCTCCAGAGGTGATTTGAAAGGGATTAATGTCAAAGCCACACGCACTTAAAAAAGTCTCATTCGCCTAAGAAAAAAAGTTTTGTTGGTTTATTTTTTAGATCAACCCAATAGTTAAAGACTCCTCGCTGAATAACCTGAACTCTTGATAGAAAGCTAATGATTTATTTACAGTAAAGCCCAAAACAGTGGCCTAATTGTGCGTCTGTTTCTTACCGGGCACTCTGTGATGTTTTGGGTCCACTGGTTCATGTTGGAGCTGTCCTCGATGGTGGTGCAGCGCTTCTGTTTGTGATCCCACCCACAGTAAGGGTCCCGCGCTTCCATGCACTGACTGATTAGAGGGTTGACAAAAAAGGAATTCAATGAACACCTTTGTTCACGTCTGCAAAAACATGCCGCGGCAGTTCACATCAGTTTTGGTCCGTATAAATGGTGGAATGCATATTTTTTTTATTGCTTTATAGAAATAAAATCACAGGACTAGTTTCTTTTTGTTCTGATCAATTATTTTGATCTTAAAGAAGTCTCCCGGATCATACCTTTCAGTCGGATAGCTGGAGCAGCGTTCCAATGGGATCTTCACCAGCCTGTCATCAAGCCCAACAATCAAAGACCTGTCATTGTGAAGGATTTGCAGGCTCTTAATCGATCCCATTTGCCCTTGGGGGAGGGGCCTAAGCTCCTCAAGGTAGCAGCCATGGAGGCTTTTATTGGTTGTGGAGAGAGCCTTCAGGATGGTGCCATATTCTGATTGGACAAGATAAACGCTGTAAATCAGTGACACTGTTGTATTTTTTTTTTGTATTTTGCGAGTAGCTGTCCTCCAATCTCTCTGACCGGTGCCGATGTACATGACGTGGTAGAGGGTGTCTCGGCCCTGGACGATGTCCACCACCAGCTTGGAGAAGCGCAGGTTGTCCTGGGTGAGCAGAGGGTCGACGGTGAGCGGCTGGACCACGTCGTTCATGAGGAAGAGCCGCTGGGCGTCCTGGAGGCTGCGCTCGGTCAGGTTCCCCCCCGGCCCCCCCTCCTCCAGCGTGCCACACTGAGGGGCGACAACAAGGAAACACTCGTTTTAAGCTGGAAGCCTTGCGGCCGCCATCGTAGGTGGATGTATCCGAAAAGGGACGATCCGTACGAAGGCTTTGTTTTGTCACAAATCTTTTAGTCAAACCTTCCGTGAGAAAAATCATCACATCAAATCTGAGATTAAAAACAAAATACACTCTGAAAGGCAGAGATTACATGGACTGAAATGTCCCCGCGGGCCCATTGTGGCAGCATTTTGTATATGAGATGGGAAAAGGTGCCACTGCAATCTCTATCTCGGTACAAGGCACGCCCAGATGAAATGAAAATGTTTCTTGGAAGAAAAAAAAACTTCCCAGAGAGAAAGCCGGGAAAATAATGGAAGGACACAGCTTTCACATCCATCATCATCTGGTTGTCTACATGTGCGAATTACCTGAAAATTGGGTATCGGGTTCGGTGTGGAGAGCCAAGCGGTGCGGGGGTTCTCCTGGTAGCGGAAGGGTCCGTTGAAGGCCCGGGTGATGGAGCTCAGATTGAAGGCGCAGACGGCAGACGCTGATATGCTGTTCCTGAAGGAGAGGACGGGGGGAGGACGTAGGGGAGGGGGGGGGTTGTCATCACAGTCAGAGCTCCGCCATTCAGGGAGGAAAGAAAGGAAGATGGAAAAAAAAGATGAGTGGCTCATAATCATAGTCATCGACCAGGTATAGCAAAGAAGAAGAAAAATCATGCTTTTTTGCTCCAAACTTCTAAAAGGAAAAATAGTCAAATGGCTGTAATTTAAACATAGAAAACACAATACCAATTTAAGAAAATCATGCCTTGTTATAGATGGAACTCACATACAGCCACCATAATCACGCAAATGCTGCTTCCGAATGGGTGCATTATGAATAAAATTCAGTCATAAAATACGATTACGTTATAAATGCATTTTCTTTTTATTAGTTTTTTTTACATAAGAAAAGGACGTTTAGAGGATTTCCCCATAACTTTCTTTTAGTGTATGTATCTAAATAAAATCTAGACCAAACCATCCCATTTTTAAGTGAACACAGATGATTTATGCTTGGATGCTTTCAGTGTTTCTATAGATCAGCAGCTCATAACCAAACAACAGCCTAGTATGTGATCGGAAACGATCGGGGCAGGCGGATTGCACGAGAGAGAGAGGAGAGGAGCGCTTCGTCGTGTCGTCGATCGACGCGACTCACACATTGGTGGTGAAGATGCCGTAGATCAGGTCCTGCTCCGGTAAGTGGAAAGTGCTCTGCAGCTCGTTGTAGTAAAAGGGGATTTCTCCCGAGCGCGAGCAGTTGAGCCGAGCCTTCGTGAAGGTGGTCCAGGTGTCCTCCAGGAGGAAGCGTCCGCCCATGTCGTTCTTGCAGACCCGCGCCACCCGGGAGAACACCACCTTCCCGCAGTCGTTCTCCACCGCCGTCTCCCTCAGGAAGAAGTAGGCGAATCGTCCGATCTCGTAGACGGACACGAAATGAGGCTCTAAAAAAAAAGGACGGACAAGAGGATGAAACAGGGGTGGGGACGAGGGAGGCTCGATGAAAACAGGACGAATTGGAGCAAAGGGTGGGGGTCTTCACCGTTGAGCCACTTGGAGTTGTACTGGGCGGTGCGCAGCGGCGGCATGTTCCCCAGGCTGCGGTAGATGACGGGGTCCCGCCCGGAGAAGTCGATCACCGTCGCGGCGTACAGCTCGCCTCGCTCCGTCACCATGGCGGTGGAGTTGTGGCGCGGGTCGTAGGGACAGCGGGCGACGCCGTTCACCGTGTCCAACACCCGACTGAAGTTACTAATCTGACAGGAGGATAAACAGGTGTATTTCATTTACTTGGTATGGATGCCTTCACAAAGTCTTACTTTTGGGATCACAAAGCCAATTATTAGTTTTGCATACGTTGCAAAGGTTACCTTTCTTTTAGAGGTCTGGAATGATTTATTATTATTATTTATCGAGCTCAAATGCTGCACAATGTTCTGGTTCCACCTTTTCAAATGTGAGGATTCAATCTCTTTCTTTATGTTACGTAAATGGGAAGAATCGAAAGCAAAGGGGTTGAAGATTTCCCCCCTCGGCGCTCATTGATCAACAAGATAACCAGACGACAGTTTAGAGTATTTATCGTTTTAGCGAGTATAACAATAAGAATTTGAAGAGGCCTTTCCATTTTCCTGATTCCCTGTGGCGACTGCTCTCTGAGTAGCACTTCTCTATGTTAACGCCGTCGGCCCGTAGCGTTGTACCCACCTGCCTGGTCGCACAGACGGGGGTGAAAGCGTTGGTCCCACACGTGAAGAGCGTCGTCCCGCTGATCAGCAGCACGCGGACGTAGTTCTGACACTCCTCCTGCAGGCAATCAAACGGGAACATTCAGCTCGGACTTTGAAAGGCGCGGTCGGAGACTTCTGCATCACACGGGACAACACACGACCTCGGTCTTCCCCTTGCTCTGGCAAGAGCGCCTTGTATCTTCATCGGGGGCCCATTCTGTCGCCTAGGTGAGGGGGGGGGTCAAAAGGGGGGGGGGCGAACAACAAACATGTTGGGTTGTTGGCCGCCAAATGAACTCTTGAAAAATAACGAAGCGGAAAGACTGTGTCTTTAAGGTCACCTGTATGAGCGAGACGTTGCTCAAACTCAGTCTGAAGAGGAAGTTCCTGCAAGAGAGACGTTTTAAGGAAGGTTCAAAGGTCAAACCACACCAAACACGTCGTACGGTTGCTACGTGCGTGGACCGGATTGTCACCTCGCTCCCACGATGAGCTGGTTTCTGCTCAGGTCCGGCGCCAGTCGGGAGAAGTCCTTCACTCCCGGGTGGGAGAACTCCGACATCCACGGCCTCAACGCTGGACAGGAGAAGAAGAAGAAGAAGAAGAAGAAGAAGAAGAAGAAGCATAGGACGAGGAGACGTGAGCAGGTAGCGCAGGGCCAACGACGTGAAGGGCGCGGGAACCCTCGTCTACCAGGGGGCTTCGGCCCCACGTGTCACGTTTCTCCTCGCCTGACCTCGCATGACCTCGCCTGACCTCGCATGACCTCGCGCTCCGACGTCTCCCAACCGCACAGTTCAAGGATTCAACTTCATGGACAAAACGTGGATTTGATTGTTAGAAAACTGAAACACTTTAAAACAAGTGACAAACGATCCCAAAATTGCAGCTCCTGATGATCCTTTTGTTGTAAAAAAAAAATCAAATCAAATGAAGTCTGGGTTGATTTTATTTTCCTTGTGGTCGTCACAATCAACACAACATTAACAGGAACGTCAATCAAAGCGAACAAAAGTCTCCCGTTGTGCTAGATTTTATATCAATTCAGTCTCTGCACTTTCATTTGTCGTTTACTTATTTATTTACCTTGCAGAGCACGTTGTGACTTTGTTCGAGAAAGCTTAATGGACTTGATTTAAACCCTCTGCCTGGCAGGATGACAGAGAAACCTAAAACGGAGCCATGAATAATAGTAATAAAAAACAACCCTCTGGCGGTTTTTCCATCTTCTTTGGGTCAGCACATAAAGTGCATATAAACTAAATCCTCCCCAAGGATTTAACAGCAAATTGCTGGTGTCCAAATGAATGCTGGTCCCTTTCATTGCTCGGCCCGGCTTGAGGGACGAATGTATCCAAAACAGCAGCAGCCCGGTTTGCCAGTCGAACACTTTGAGCTGAATGGGAGCTGACATCTTGTCAAAAATAATAACATCAACGGCCCTTTCACAGTTGTTAGACAGCTGTAGAGGAACATTTAATGAGGCCGTGCTGTATTCAAAACATTTATTAATTTCTTATAGAACCAGCTAGCCGGAAGCTTTTAAAACACACCACCCTGTGATCCTCTCTATTGTAAATACAAGCCTCACACACTTGCAATACTAGTTATTTATTCATTTAACATTAAACGCGGAGGACATCCCGGAAAGCAACTGGATCAAGATTGCGCCCCCCACAAGAGGCCAGCGATGCAACGTGAAGACAAAGTTTTTCCTTCATAATTGTGGAGCATTAAGAGCCGCAACATCTGGAAGAAAACGAGGGGCCGTCATCTAATGGGACCAACCTTGGTACGAGACAACGGGGTGCTCCTTTCTGCTGCAGTCTGCCGGTGGGATGCGAGGCTGCTGGGACAGACACACGGACGAGCAGATGACCAGCACGAGGCCACGGGGGGAGAGGGCCCACGGCCCCCACCCTGACGTAACCATAGTTACAACCACATCAAGTCTTCTATCGCGTCCTCGGGAAACACCTGGTGGAAGAAGGAGGAGACGGAGGTCGATGTAAGCGCATGAAACGGTACTTTACATTTCGGCACAGCCTGCCTTGGTCCTTGTCTGCCTGTCTATCCATCTGAACGCCCCCCCCTCCCCTCGTGCCTCCCTTAGCTCTCTGTCTGTCAGCCCTTCGGTGTCAGCCGGACTCGGTCACGGCTCATTCACCTCAAAAAGGCCAATGCCGGCTCTCAGACCGAGGGTGCCATCTCTCTGAGTGAGGGGAGCTATTCACAAACGGGCCTGGGCCCGGCGCCAGATGAGGGTGTGGGGGTTGGGTGTACTTTGAACCAGGAGCCACGCGAGGAGGGCCCGGCCGAAGGCGATGACCCGATGACGGGTGTCAAATGGACGCCGTGCCAAAACAACCGGTGAAGAGCTGCGAAAGTTCCCTCGGTGAGGCCAAATAACTCCCACAGCGAGGCCCGCCGGTGGAATACGGGCGACAAATGGAGCCGTGCTCTCACCGCGGTGCGAACATACGGACAAAGACACACACACACACAGCGAGGTGATGTAGCATGAACCCCTTTGTGGCTCCAAAAGGGAGTCCCATTAGTTGAGTTCTTCTAAAACAGAGTTTAGCAGGTTTCTTCAGCATTGACTATAGTTTCATTGCAGCTCTGGAGAATGGGGGGGGCGGCGAATGCCCGCCCGTCTACCGCTCCCCAAGAGGAGTGAATGTGTGTGTGTCTGTGCGTGTGTGTGTGTGTGTGTGTGTGTGAAAGCAGAGGTTTCCCAACCTGCTGGGTCTCACATTGCTGCCTAATGAAGCGACAGGAGCAGAGCCCGTCACCGCTGGCCTCCCCTTTGTTTTGAGGCCGGGCTCCCCGCGCTCTGCAGAGAGGCCGGCCGTCAGGGGGCGGGGAGGTGGTTGGGAAAGGCCGGGGGGGTTGAGGGGGGGTGTTCGGAGGCAGATTCTCACTCTGTGATCAGCCTCCGATTATTTTAATGAGGGCGTTTGTTTCCTAATCCAAGTAAAAAATGCTTTGTTCAAGTCAGAAGAGAAAAATATGGTAATTACGCCGAGAAGACATTTTTGACTTGGTCCCGAGTGGTGAAAATTCCTGAATGCGAGGGAGAAAGCAAAACATCACAGATTCATGGAGGCGTTGGAAAAACACAGTGAAGCCTGAACAACGTGTGAGAAGATTAGAAACGCACAGACTCTCTGATTCATGTGACCTGGCTGTGTTTGGACTGAGGGGGGGGGGGCACCACGGGAACATGAACCAGACATATGACCTCCGCCCGAGAGATTTTAACCCTCTTATAGCGGCCGTCAAAATAATAAATCATAGTAGTGGAGATCCACGGGTAATAAACTATTGGGATTAAAGCTTTGCATGACTGATAAATAAGTAATAATAGTAAAGATGTATTGTATTAACAGTAGAATAACACATTGCACAGCATCATTCAGGAAAATCCGCACCTGCGTTGGATTTTGGGAACAGAAACCAGATCAGCGGGGAAAAAAAACTACAAATCTTCTGAATTTTGGGCGGTTACTGATCTTTAGATTTTATGCCTCGCTTCCAAAATTAAGGTAACAGAGTGTGTGTTTTTTGTGCGCCCTCCCTTCTTTATTTATTTCAAGAACTTCCCATTCAGGCACTCTCGGCTTTGTCTTCCGACACACAGAAGCGGCCCTCCCACGGTGTGTGTCACTTGGAGACCTCGTAGCAAAGAGTGGATGCAACGGAGTGGAGAGTAAAGCATGGAAGCCATGTGACCACTGAGCTCGCTGAAAGGTTTGAATACGCCGGCAGGGCAGCCGCGCTTGTGAAGGTGCTGTTTTCTTATTCTGTCGGGATGCGCGAGACCTCTTCCGTTGTTTCCAACAAAACAGCCATTGCGGGGAGCTACATGTATGTATCTGACAAAAGCAAACAAACTTGAAAATGCTTGATAACACCTCGCAGGCAAGTGAGTCCGGCGTTTGACCTTTTGTACGTCAACCTCTTGTACTTGGACGAACCCCCCACCCACCACCCCGCACACACACACACACACACACACAGACACACCTCCCTAAAAACAAAAGGGGGTTCACAAAACAACAGCTTCTGGCGAAAGCAAATCTCTCCAAAAATCCCTCTTTCTCTGTCGATCGATCCAGCGGCAGCTCAGACTTCACACGCGCCCCAAATCTGGTATACTAACGAGCAGGGAAGTCAGCTCAGTCGGAGGGCATCCAGAGGCTCTCCATCAAAATATTCAGAGAGGACCATTTCCGAGGCAGTGTTCTCAGCTCCTTCCTTACCGGGGGTGAATGGCCTCACTGTGCGACCTGCCAACTATCTGCCAATGGGCGCTCTCTTTTACGAGTGAATGGACTGAGTTTAGCCACAGTTAAAAAGACACACTAACGCGCCATGGCCGCGCCACAATGGCCGCCCGGGTGCTTTGCCAAAGCCAACGATGCCAGGTTTGTCCTCGGCTCGAGGAGGTGGAGAGCAGGAATCCTAAAGAGGCACACAGCTGCACTGATCCCTCTCTCCTATCTCCCCCCTCTGTGCTCTTATCATCGCCTCGATTCCTTTTGGCTTTCGGAGGGGGGGGGGGTGGACACGTATGACAGCGTTCTCTGAAAATGCTCCAGTGTCAAGTGTTGTTTGCAAAAAAAAATAAGAAGGAAGGTAAGGAACGCAAGCCGTGACTACAGGTCAGCTAATAGATGGTGAATGTGGGGGTGGAGACCAAACCGGAGCTTAAAGCAGAGTAAAGTCTGGGGCCGCATCCATCAAGTGGCCAGAAACATCACACAAAGCCCCTTATGGTTATTCTTTTTAATTATTTCTCTCTCACACACACACACAGGCAGAACCTTGATGCCAATTTGGTATACCTTGAAAAGTCCTTGCACTTAAACGTCAGTCAGGTCCCAGTCAAAGGAAATATGGCTTTGAATGGAGAGTAGTAATCAATAAATCCTCTGGATATGGAGTAAACCGTCGCTAGAAGCAGATTCATCAGGAACTACGACATGCTTTTCAAATTGTATCTACCATCTCAGTGTAATAGATGTTATCCACACAAAAAGGGACTGACACCAACAATCCTACTGCTCTAATCTCAGTAAGCTTACAAATATCATTAGTCATCAAAGGCGGCAACTTTGTCCAAAAACATCTGTTATGTAATAGAATGTTATGGCTAGAATCGCGTTCAGGTCACGTGACGATGACCGAACCGTCTCCATGACAACTGATCAAGCTCCATCCAACCAGTGAGGTGAATTGTGGAGCTCCAGAGAAAGGCGGGAAAGTGCAAGATCACTCTCAAGTAATAATAATAAAATTAAAGGTGCTACAATAAGCCTCGCAAGGGTGGTGTGAAATGACAGCTATTGTATCGGAATTAATTGCATTTTAACTATTTGTGACTACAATATTGTTGCACAGGTATAAATCAGCCCTATTTGATATCAAGCGGGGAGGTTAAAAAAAAGTCCAGCCATTATGCTTGCATGCAATTTCTAGTGTTGGACGAGGCAATAGAGGTTTGGATTTTGTTATCTCATTTATACGGTCTGCCGACTGTCTTTTGAACTCTTGGGTGACATTAATAGCATTTAAATGATTAATGCAACACATCCAATTGGGGCTGTAGTCAATTTCTCAATGTTATTACTAATTATTATATCTTATTAATCTTACCTACGAAGAATATCAGTAAATATTATCATAAGATATGAATAGTATTCTCTGGTCATGGCTCATTCCCTACTCTCATAAAGAAACAATAAGTGTTATTAGTCGCCTAATCAACTAGTGATGCCAGTCCTGGTGCCCACAATTCTTTTTTGGGAGAAAAAAAAGACTGAGAGAGAATGGAAGTAGCTCCTCGTCCAAAATAAAACTCACCAGTATCCCAAGAACGTAACCAGTGGTTACAATCAGTGCAACATGGGGCTCTCGTCTGAAAAAAAGACTGATTGTTCATCCGTTGAAGAAAAACTGAATCCAGCCCGAGGCTGGATCGATCCAAGCTTTTCTTTACCCTCCGCGTTTCTCTCCCAAAACCATCCTGATGCCAATTACATCACTCAGACAGAACAAAGGAAATATCCACACTATACAATACCAGAACCAATAACACACGTTATTGCCAAATGCAGAGAGAGCGAGACAGACAGAGCCATTCACGCTAAGGATGGGAAAGAAAAGAGGAGGGGGGGGGGTCCTGGTGTGGATCACTTATGGAGAAATTAGGAAAGATGCAGAAAAACTTGGACACAAAGACAGAAAGGACCACACAAAAGAAGAAGTAATTGCACAGAAACAGCCAATACATATAAATAGATTTCGATACACGGGCATGAATATATAAAGATGAACAAGTAGATCAAACTTACTTGTTCACCATCACCAAACTGAACCGGGAGACGAGGTCCTTCACATGGTGAGAGGGAAGTTGTTACTCGTCGACACACAGTGGCACGCTGACCAGAGTGTGTGCAGGGCGGTGGAGAGGGAAGGCAGGGGGGAGTAAAGGGGTGTGTGTGTGTGTGTGTGTGTGTGTGAGGGTGGTGGGGGGGGAGCATTCCTGTTTGTGCAGAACGAACTTAAGTCTCTGAATAGAGAGGCATGTCTGCCGTGTGCGAGCGTGGTTTTGTTATTGCGAAGAGATCCAGTCTTTTATTTTGGTAAAAATGAGGTCATCTCGAGGCTGTAATCGGGCAACACGTGAACAGACTGACAAACACGTCCTCGCTCAGGCGGACTCGCAGAACATCCACGGACCGGAGAGAGGTCGACACCTGATTCAACAAAGTGCTGCGACTTCCAAGCTGATTATTCGTTCTATTCACATTCATGCCTCGCGAGGGAAAAACAGCAGGATGCTTTGGACTTTTAACACAAAATCCATGAAGGTGTCCATGCAAAAAAGAAGTGTGTTTCATTACGGGACAAATACGCACTGGCACATACTCTTTGTGCGTGTTTTAATGCAGAAATAAGCTTTGCATGAGACGTGCAGTCGTCAGGCCATCAGAAGCCACTTGACTCCCTTTTTGTTCCTTTCAAAGCGCCGCCTCCAGTCATTTATCAGACTATTGGGCACTTCCAGCCTCTCGAATAGGAAAATCTAAAGAGATCTAAGAGCACACAGAGTGATCCGAGGTCAGTTTCAAAGCGCGGTGGAGCCCGGCGCCGCAGTATCACCGACGTGCGAACGACAGAGGGGCCCGAGAGTCAACAGAAAAACCCAATTAGCTCGGACAAACACTGCGTTTGCCCAAACAGAGCCCGGCCTTCAGAGTCACCCGATGGCCACCAGGCTGTTTACCCAAAGCGACCCGCCAACGCCACAAAAAAACCCTCCATCGGAAATGTTCTCGTGCCTGACGGGTTGCTGGTACACTTGCAAAAAACGACTCCGGTAGTGGGTGAACCTTTGGTTTGAACTATTTTACCGGAAATCATCACGTGGGTTCAAAAGGTCAAGAACGAACCTCACACAGAAACACGTTTTCACACAAATTCCAAATGTCCCGTCTTTAATGTGGACAGTGCTCGTGTCGACCGGCGGGAAACATGACAGGTGTTTTTTTGTGCCAGTTAGGCACGGCTACAGAGGTGCCAATCTGAGGAGGTGGGGTTGCTGACCTCCCATTCAGAAATTAATGGAACCAATAAATCATATCCAGCGGGGAGGAAAAAAACGTCACTATCGCTCCGCTTCTCGTGAGCCCAGCGGGAGCGTGAGAGACAAATAACGTGGCCTCTTCTCCAACCTTTTACACAGCGGGACATTCATCTCTCTCAGCCCCCCCCGCCCCCCCCTCTCTCCTCCCTATGAGAGGACGAATGGATCCTTCCTGTGCAAACTTCACGATGACCTCCTCTGGCTCGTTTCTTTTTTTTTTGTTGTTGCAGCCCTCCTGTCACTGCCGGGGCTGAATGATTACAGGCACAGTGAGGCCGACATTATAGCGAAGCAGGGGAACAAAAGAAAATAAACAATAAAACGGCCTGCCGAGCAGCCAGAGTGAGTCCAACAGTGACTTCTGAATCACTTCGTTTTGTTTTGAGAATGCATCTGGGCTGGTTTGCTTCATTTCCATTAATCCACAACCCGCTGCAACGGTGAGCCAACAACTCTCAAACCCCCCTAAAACTAGCACCTGACCCCCCCCACACACCACCACCACCACCACCTCACGTCACAGCCCTCAATGGCGGCCTTGTCCAGCACATAGCGCTCCACTGTGAAACATTAATGCTTCAAACATTCAGCTGGCCTGGTGTTAAACAAACCTGGCTGTGTGGACTTTAAAATCCCAGCAGTCACTGACGTTTACCTTTCTGCTGGAGCAAAACAACTGTGCTAATAGGAGACTCACACACAGGTAGATGTTCCGAGAAGAACCCAAACAAGCGACCATATTACAGCTTCTACCTTGTTTATTCACCTAAATGTGGAGATTATTTCTGGACCAAAGGGTGAGGGTTAGCATATCACGTGGTATCCCAAAACTGTCTGTCTCCGGTGATTGAAAGGTTGTTGGTTGAAATCCCTCCACAGGGGCTCTCCTTTACCCCATCAGCTGTGGTGGTTCCAAGTGGCGAAACCGTGTACACCGATGTTGGATAACTGGAGGTTTCCATCATATTTTTCCGAGAAAAACCACATGACAACCTTCCCCTGAATAAATAAAGGCGAAACACAAACACTCGCACAGGGACCTCGCTCTTTGCCTCCACGTCCATCTGTCTCTCCCTTTCCACTTTGTGACAGATAGCTCACTACTTTTCAAAAAAAGGTTTTAAAAGAAAATCTAAAGTTGATATGATGACACACAGTAAACACACCAGTACAAAATAAATATAATTATTATTTTTCCCTAAAGTAACTTACAGGTTTAGGCTCCTCTGATATGTCTTGTTTAGCACAAACAGACGACTTAAAAGTGTCCCAATCAGTACACATGCATGATGGACAGGTCTTCCACATTAAACTGTGAAGGTAAAATACAGGATCTAGATATTATCAAGAACAATTTAGATATTCAATAACGTCATTGCAACAAACAAACTGGAAGGCATCTGCCATCCTGCGCTGAAACGTGTGAGTTTAATGCTTCTTTGTTCATCAGCATGTCAAAGAAAGTACTTTTTCTATGAACGAGCCTTTTCACTTTAATATACCAGATTACCTCATTTCTTTACGTTCAGTTAATTCTTAACCGAGGCCAAATTCATCACATTTAACAATGAAGTATATATGTAACCCCCGTATGTGGAGTACGATTTTCCCCCCATGAAAACACGTTTGCTGCACCGACCGCTGCCTGCTGAACACAAACCGCATTCATGTCAAACGCTTTCACCTCAGATGCGTTGTTTTTTCCTTGGGGTTCGCTTCCCTTACCTTTCACCCGTGGTTCCGTCTGCTGGGTGGATCAGTCTGCAGGGACCGAGGTGGTCCAGGTCCTGGGTCTCTGTATCCCCGCATGGAGTGTGCGAGGAGACCCGGAGTCAACGTGTTCAGCGTCTCTACCAGCAGGGGGCGGTAGAGACGCGTCCAAACCAGGGATTCAATCGACTTGTGCCGGTTTTGAATTATTTTGGTTATTGAGAAAGGGGCATCATACATATAGATTATGTTATTAGTTATATTATAAGTTGTTAAACATGTATATTATTGTATAGATTGTTTATCTTAACTTGTTTTGTGTATCGTTGTGTATTGCAAATTGAGAGCACAGAGACATGGAGGAGTAAAGCATGTGTCTATGAAGCAATAAATAACGACAGGTAAGGAATAGAGACGTTTGGTTTATTGTTATTAACCGCTGCGGATCATTTTGGAGTACCTGGTACCCTTAATTCCTAAAATATGTGGAATAAACTGTAGTATAAGTTACAGCGGGAGTGAGGCTGGTGGGTCTGAAAAGTAAGCAATTCATATTCATGACATCACGTCTTCTGTGTTGCTCCTCTTAAACACACAAAACAGACATCTACGTTTGAATAACAAAAGGTACTCTTGGATGCATGATCTTTTAATGAAAGAGAAAATGTAACTTTTTTAACATACTTTTTTGATAGACAGGACAATGAAGATGGCCGTGAAAAAAATAAGACAAAAAAAATCTACTCAATCTACTCATCTACTTGTCATGGAGCTGAGGAGTGTTTCCCAAAGAGCCAATCCGACCTGCAGATGTACAATACGATGTACAATACGATATACAATACGGATGTTTTCACTGGCAGACGTTTGCTGGGAGACGTGAATGGCAAAAATTCCTGAAAACATCCTTGGCTGCCACCTACTGGGATGTTGCCCTGTACCTTCCATTGTTTTCGTTGTCACTGTATGTGACATTATAATACGGTTTTGTATTAAGGACACCAATCGTGCCACAGACAATCATTTGTGGATTTAGTTAGGATGCTGGAACTAGCAGATATGATGTGATTACTTCCATTTGTTACATTAATCTCACCAATAGTTAGAAGAAGAAAAGAACACTTTTTAGATTCCAAACTCAATCAGGAGTGAGTTCAAAAGATAATATTATTTGAAAATAAAGATAACTCTCAAATAAATGAATCCTAAGCACTATATTTTGTAATGTTCACCTTAAAACCACTATTTTTCATGCAAGCCATGCATTTATTCTGAGGACATATTTACTAAGGGGTGTTCTTATACAATGTCACCTAAAACATGGTGAGTACTTTAAAGGCTGGTCCCACTTTAAAATACATTGCATACAATGCATTTATATTTCCATCATATCACATTTTACATGTGAAATAACAAACAAACCTAGGCTACATTGTTCACTTTCTATCTGTCTTTCTGTATATCTGCATCCATGTTTTTCTCTGTGACGAGCATGTTTGGTTTGTTGAGTAACGCTAATTTAGAATCTACAACGTATAGATGACTTATTAAATCAAATTTGACATTTCTAACAAACTTAATTCAGTAAATATTATACTTAGTTTTTATAAAATCCTAGGGATTGTAGGGAAATGATTGAATTATCATTTTCTTCTAATCCACTCACTTCCTCCAGTGCTGCTGATTGACATGTAAAATGAAGAATGCCCCGCGTTCACCGCGTGCGCGCTGATGAAGCCATTCTCCCGCGCTTTGGTCATTCATTATTAGCTAACGGGATCAGCGCGCCCTCCTTTCTCTGTCGATTCCACCCAACGGGAGCCGCCGTTCAGCGCGAGCCAATGGCGTGCGTTCGGTATGGCGCCCCTTGTCCAATGAACGACGAGTAGAGTAGATACAGGGAGCCAATGGGAAGAGGGCAGCATTGTGTGACCCAAGCTTGGTCTGCCGGGCTCATCTCGCCGCTTCTCCACCCGGCTGGTCTTTTTGGATCTCACTGCAATGGCGGAACAGCAGCAGCAGTTCTACCTCTTGCTGGGCAACCTGATGAGCCCTGACAACGACGTCAGGAAGCAATCGGAGGTGAGACAACGCGACGTGGCTGATTTGACGAGTGACACGTCGGGCTGGTATATATTAAAACGACGCGACCGGGCTAGCGAGAAGCTAACCGCCTAGCTTCCCAGCCGTTCGCGTCATAGCCCGATAGCCCACGTGTAGCGTGAAGCCGACGGTGAGTTTCTGGTCGGCTAATGGCTAACCGCCTCCACCATGTTGCGTAGTTGTGAGAACACAGTCGCGACACCGCGCGAGTTCCATGTCACGCACGCGGGTGGTTTTGTTTCCACAAGTGAAATATTCCGTTCGTTCGAGAAGAGGCGAGTCCCCCCTCCTCCTTCCCCCAAAAGATCCTCCAGATGACAGTGGGGCGAGGGGATCTCGCCAGAAGAGCACAGGAAGTAGCACGAAGCTAACGGTGTTGCTAGTTTCAGTAGCTGGCGAGCTAGCGCCGGACAGGGTGGGGAGGCTAAGATGGAAGTTGAAAACGAAACCCCAACGCACGAGTGATCAGCAACAAAACCGGGGTGGGGTGGGGGAGGCGTTGCAACTAGTTGTGGGGGGGTCGTTCAGAGGTGGAGGGCGCCATGCTAGCAGTGACTATGCCATGGCCTTCGGTCGGTCCCGTCCGCCACTCGGTTCGACTGTTTTACAAGCCCCTCTTTTGCTGTAGTGTCACCCGCGAAGTGAATGGTCTCAGTTTTCGGTCACGTCGCCACGAGTGGCTCGCTTGGGCCGATCCACTCTCGCTGGATTAACCGCCGGACCGGGGTGGATTTGTTTGGGTCGAGTCCAGCTGGCCTGTCCCACTTGCCCGTCCACCACCGCGATTTAGCCTCCTCGCCTCCTCCCGCACAGTTTCAACCTCTCCGGCACCCCGACTTTTGGATGAGGTGGTCTAATCTTATCGCGCTCCGCGGTCAGCGCTTTTTCTTTACTAAACCACAGACACTCTGCCGCGAGACTAAGCTCATCGGAATTCATCCCTTTATCAAAAAAGACCCCCGTCCCCCCCCCTTTCTGTCTCGCGCACACAAAAGGGATTGATCCATCTGATTGAGGACTTTTGAACCCATATACGAACAGCTGAAGGCCACAGCTGCTTAACATTGATGATTGTATGATGGTGATTGTAGAGATGAAGTGCACGCCCGCGTTTTAAAGTGTCCCCGTAGTCCTGAGCTTTAGGAGCAACCTGTGTGTTTGCAGTAATCTGGTTTTTCTCCTGGCCCCTCGGATGATCCTCCTTCATCCCAGTTTTGTCGTCTTTTTTTTTCCTGCAAAAAAAAAATTGTGTTTAATTAACACCAGTTGCACATGATTATCTTCGTATATTTGCCTCTGAACACAGTGTTGGAAATGTGTCCAAATCTGCAATGTCTTTCTGTTATCAAACGAGAAGTTGGCAGTATGACGCAAACCGTGGTAGTTAAGCAACAATTAAGTTGGTGGCTCACACAAACACTTGCAGTGACCCGTGCCTTAACATAATGATGTGCTGCTCTTTGTTCGTCCCGCTCATTCTTTTCGAAAGAATCCGAGGCCCACTGGATAGACCGATTCCATTACGAGCCTGCGCGGCTTGTTGCAACCACGCCCGTGTCGTTAACGGATTGATTGCCGTCAGCATTTTAGATTCTCTCTCAATGACCGCTGTGTCTTCTTCGCAGGAGACCTATGACACCATCGTGGGACAGACCAAGATCACCTTCTTGCTGCAGGCCATCCGAGATGCATCTGCCGCAGAGGAGGTTTGTACTCTCGCGACACAAGCTTTGTTTTATATCGAGCCCATCGCACGTTTGGGCTTTAACGTAACGCTTGATCGACTTTAAACGGACACCTGGCCGACAACCAGGAACCTCTGTTTTGAGAGACGGAGTGCCACGTTCTCGCCATCCTGATAGAGGGATGAGTCGTGGTTCTGGAATGCAGGCGGTCGTGTTTACTCGGGAGTTCACCAGCTGTTTGGTCCAGATTCTTTACCTACCAACCTTTGCTCGTGTTTTTTTATTAATACCTTTTTTCCACTTTATTCCATTGAATGCTCCCGTGCATGTCTGCATGTGCAGGTAGTTGTAAACTGCCAAAATAACTCAAGAAGTAAAATGCACTGTAAACAAAACCTGTGTTTTGTTGAGCTGCTGAAACGACACTGAACTCGCCCGCTCAGGTCAAACAGATGGCGGCGGTGCTGCTGCGGCGCCTGCTGTCCTCGTCCTTCGAGGAGACCTACCCGGGCCTCACCCTGGAGATGCAGACGGCCGTCAAGACCGAGCTGCTGAGCAGCATCCAGCAGGAGACGTCGCCCAACATCCGCAAGAAGGTCTGCGACATCGCGGCCGAGCTCACCCGCAACCTCATCGGTAACGCCCCCGGGTTTTGACCTTGTGTCCAGCCCCCCCCAGTATAGGGTGTTCATGGGTGAGTAAAATAATGTGTGCTTGTTCTCCTTTGTCCTGTGCAGATGATGACGGGAATAACCAGTGGCCAGAGGTGCTCAAGTTTCTCTTTGACTCCGTCAACTCTGACAGCGTCACCCTGCGGGAATCGGCCCTGCACATCTTCTGGTGAGCCGCTGCTCGCTTCGTCCCAGGCGCTTAAGTCCAGAATCATATACTAGGAATATGTCCACGATGTACAAGTGCACGTCCAGAATAAGAACTATGGATTGACGGCCGTGTGTCCTCTCTTGTCAGGAACTTCCCGGGGATCTTTGGCAACCAGCAGCAACACTACATGGAGGTCATCAAGCGCATGCTGGTCCAGTGCATGCAGGACCAGGCCAACCCACAGGTGAGCACCCTCCCTCCCCGACGGGGATCTGAGGCTGATACGGTCCTGAATTATACGACGCAACGTTAATTTGAAATGGTCCTTCAGATTCGCACGCTGGCGGCTCGCGCCGCGGCGTCCTTCGTCCTGGCCAACGAGGGCAACTCGGCTCTGCTGAAGCACTTCGCCGACCTGCTGCCGGGCCTCCTGCAGGTGAGACGCCGCACTCATGGTTCCTTCTGGTCATGTTCTGATGGAAATGGATGGGGAAGCAAAAATAAGGTTGCAATCTAAGCGCAGACTGTTG